ATATATATATATATATATATATATATATATATATATATAATTTCAATGCATTCTACATTAAAGTTTAAATGTTTATAACTTTTGATGGAGCATTTTCCAAAGAAATGTTTTAGACAAAGTTTACTTGCTTTTTCCTGTAGAATCCAAATATGTAATATTGTATAGGGGGTTTGATAGGACATATGTTTAAAGTTATTAGCTTGTAACACTACGTGGGCCACCCTGTATATGTGTATATATATATACTGCTATCAATGAGTCAAAATTAATGTGTACAAACTTTTTGGACAGACAACATATCCTGCAACGAGCCATGGAAATTACCCCCGTACAAAAAGTTGCGATACAATAATTATACATAACACTTAATTTGTTTGTTTAATACAATTTTCTCATAGTAATAAGTTTTAGAGTATAAGAACTGGTAACTCTCTACTGTATCACCTTTTGTACTCGCGCGAGCACGTCTTTTATCACGGTATAAAGTACTAAATTAATAGCTGAGTGCGGTTCGTTTTATCGTTACAATTGTTACAATATATGCGTAGAAAATGTATATATATGTACATCGGCTACGTGGCGAATGTGTCTGTGTATACGTGTAAAATCGCGTAACCTTAATCTTTGGGAATTCTTTGAGTATTCAAGACGTTTCGACGCTTTTCCCTAGACCCGACCATCTATCCGGCACCGGCAGGAAATAACGGTGCATAGCGGCTATGAATCTGGCGCGATACTCCTCCGGCGAAATTATGGTCGGCAATTTACCCTGACCGCCTAATATGCCAGACTTCTTCACCATAGTTTCGAGTTTCTTGTCCCACGTAAACGTTCTTATGTAATCTGCGAATTGAGATAACAAGTGAGACCAATGTCGTGATGACGTGGATGAAACTGTCCGGACTATTCGTCTCCGTAAGAATTTGACAGAATTCTCATACAAAAACATGTTTACCTATTATACCGAGCACAAGTTCGTCAGAGCTCGGTTCCAAGCCCACCAACAAGGAATAATCCATCACGGAGTTGTCTGCTAAGAACTTGGTGTCTTGCTCGATGGCTCGGTTCAATACCGCCTTGGAATGCGAACGAATGTACAAGGGGGAGTCGCAGCTCACTGTAAAATTAGTGCGCTCCTTATGCTACAGAAACAACATCGAATCACAGATTTACAGATGTGCGCATGAATACATACTGTTCAGCAGATTCTCGTCGAGCAAAACGAGTTCACCCTCGTGACACGTCTCGTCGGGATTCACCAGGCGATTCCGCACGGATCCTTTCAAGTCGAACTTGTCGGTGATGATCCGGTTGTAGAACAGATTCTCCATCACTAACACGCTGGTACGGAGCGCGGCATTGGTCGTGTTATTCTTGAACGACACTCTATACACGCCAACTATTTTGCCCAACAACGTCGGCTGCTTGGTCTGCTGACACTTCTCCATGTAGGCGAAGAAGTTCGGCGCGAAATCGAGGAAGATCTGCGTCTCGAGCCGAGACATTTCTTTTATGATGAACCTGTCGTCTGCAATAGGAAACAGTAGTATCAGTGTGAAATAAGAAGTACAACGACGCGACGACGAAAGGAGAACTCTACTCTGCGTTGCCTCTACCTCTGGTTTTGCAAAAAGCGCTGCCGCTTTTGCCGCCTTTCGCCGCCCATTGCACGCTGCGACTCAGACTTCTTGTATACCCATCCTCGCCGCACGGCAAGACGCTCTCTCTCAGAGCGGCGAATTGCGCGGCAAAGTATATCCTGCAGAAGAAGTTGGTGGTAGTGTCGTTGAACTGCACCTCGATATAATTCTGTTGCTTGATGGTCCTCTTGTCGTCGTCGACGACGGGCTCGGTAGTGCCGGCGACAACGTTGCCCGACTCCATGCCCGATATGTTCTTATCGGACTCGACAGGACTGTTGGCCAGGTTGGGACTGTTGCCGCGGAAGAAGGACAGCACGGACGGTCGTTTGAACTCGTTCGATTGCGCGAGATCGAGCGAGCTGTCTCTGCCCTCTGGCAACTTGCGCCTGCTCGGCTGCGGACTGGGGTTAAACTCCGATCCTTTCGTCGTTCGCAGCAGTTCCTGTAGCGCGTGCTTGTAGTCGTGCGAGTCCAGTGCGTACGCGATTATAGACGACGGCTCGGACTCGTAAACCACTATAGGCACAACCGAACTGCAATAGAGAATCACGAGTCATTTTACATCTGAAATTCGTGGAACTGAAAGCTCTCATTCAGATCATTTCCAATCTATATGAAAAACAGAAAACAGATCTTTATTTATCAACATAAATATCTCTTTAGGAGAAAGAAAATGCAGATTGCAAAAATGATCGTATGTAGAGGACATAGTTAAAAATAATTTTACGTAAAATATTACATGTAAAACTTTTATCATTATTTTTATATAAAATTACAGAGCTGCTGACCAACGATCGCGCCACGTACCCAAGCGGCAGCAAGTAGTGCTCCAAAGACCCCAAAGGATTCGTTATCGTGTGGTTTACGGAAACGGACGGCAACAATTGCGACAAGATTGTCTTCTTCTTTTTCTTCTTGTCGGACATGTCATCCGACGAGAGTGGTAGCACGTCGGAATGTGATCTCTGATGCATCTTCGGCGAGCCCTGATTCCCGGTGACGATCTCGTCGGGATTATTCGCGGACTCGTTGTCGGAGTTCTCGACCAGCTCGGTCGACGCCTGGAAATCACCCTGTATAGCCGTAATCGCGTCTACAGCGTTGTAATCCGCCGACATTGGACTCAAGTCCTCGAGCTGCGACTCCGACGCGGTATCCTCGGTGATGTAGCCGTCGTTGTCGATCACGCTGTTGCTGCCGGCAGTTAAGGATCGCTCGGTGAACCTACGCGGTCGCTCGTCCTTCCTCTTGGTGGACATCTCCGACAGTTTGTTGTTCCAGGTGAACACGGCCTCGGAGATGAGTCGTTTTAGTATCACGATACCGTCTTCGATTCTGAACATGAGCGCTTGCACTTGTCTTTCAGAAGTCTTGCCTTCGAGTCGCTTGTTCTCCAATGTCGGCGACGTTAATTTAAGCTGGATCTCCTCGATCTTGTTCTTGAAATACTGCTGATCCTTAGTCAACTGTTGCTTAGCGATGTTCAGGCTCTCCAAATCCGTCTGCAGGACTTGCGTGAGTTTCTCCCGGATCGCCGAGAACACCTCGTCGCCCTTCAGCGCCAGACTCTTCATCTCCTCGATCACGTTCGCGTGTTGCTTCGGATCGTAGATGATGTTTATAAGCGGTGGCGGCAGCGAGATCTCCCACTGGGAGATTCGCGTGAACTTGAACACGGCGAGCATGTTCTTGCGAGTGAAATACTGATAATGATCGTGGTGCAACGAGTGTTGGCACGCGTCCATGCCGCGTCTGGTGTACACACCGCCGTAGAAGCGCAACTCGAGATACTTGGCGAACGACAGGCACCACGTGTCGCTGGATATCGGTACCACCGGCGACACGCTCTTGCAACGCATGCACTTGCTCCACACGAGGATCTGGTCGTCATTCTCTTGGACGAACGGCTCAGAGCTCATCTCGCTCAGGCTGATGTGCACACAGCCGCCGTCGTGCGCGAAGCGACGCACGTGTTGAGAAATTTGCGCGCGACATGCCTGCGCTGGACACCTGTACTCGGTGGTGAGACAATAACGTTCGAGAAAGCGACCCAGCGCGATATCGTTCTGCCCGTACATGTCCATATTGACGACCCAGGGATTCACGCAGAATGCCGGGGTGTCATTACCGGTGTGTGAGAAGCTGCAGAACAGCACGGAGAGACGTTGATGGCTGCTTGAATCCAAGCAGTCCGGCCAGAAGTTGACGATGGCGGTGGTAGCGACGTTCTGCTCATTGTTACTCTCAACCGGTACGGACGACTGCTGAAGCAATACGTTGTGCGTCGGATAAAGCCGACTGCCGCACGCACGGAAATTCGCCAACATGTTCTGCACGTCGCGACTGTCGTAACTGGTGAGTCGCGTCTGCACGAACGGGTGCTGCGACTTGAGCCGCACGTTCGCCCACGGATTCTCCGACGCGTGTTGCTCGTTCGCGCTCACACTGTTCGTGCGGATCTCTTTTACTTTGTCGAGGAACTGCGTCGAGTAGTAGATCTCCCGCGGGAAGAAGCTTCTCAGCAAGCAGTTTCTGCCGAGCTCGGTCTCCAGGTACGGTATGGAAAACTTCAGGTACGGCGACACACTCAGCACGGTGCCCTCGAGCGCTTTCTTGAACTTGTTGAACAGCGGAAAATCGGCTACGCTCAAACACTGACCGTTCGGACTGGTGCGATCCAGCACGTTCCCTTCTTCGTCATCTTCATTGAGGTACTGATGCAACGGATCGCTTCGGTCGCTTATGGATTCCCCGTAGATACGCTTCTCCTCCGACGATATTTTGTCTTTCAGTTTCGTTTTGTCGAACGGCTCTTCGGTCTTGTGCTCAGCGCACGAGTCCTTATTGCCGAATAATTTCGCGGTATTGTCATGCTCCTCTGTGGCGTCGTCGGTAACGAAGCCGGAGGTGTCGTCTTTGGTTTCGCCGTCGTTACGTGAAGTACTGTTTCCGCGCGTTGACGTCGACACCGTGTCCTTTGAATCTTGCGGGGTCACTTGCCTCAATTTCGTCTTGAACAGCTTTAAAGTATCATAAGGATCAGAATCCTCCGATAGCATCGACGATACTTCCCGCAGAGAGTTAGAACCCAGTATACTCTCGGAGGAATAAATGCTGCTCTCGTCTTTTGCAACCACATTCTGATTAGTTGCATGGACATTCCGTAAGCCTTGTTGCCCGTTGTCAAATGTGCCATCATATTCTTCGCTTATTTCCGACGACTTCTTCGTGTCCGTCACTAGCATTTGGTGTTCATCTACAACATTATTCTCGATTTTCTCGGTTTGGTTTAGTTTTGGCGAAACATCTTTCTGCAACGTCTCATCCAGAAAGGAATTGTCCTTAGGCGACGGTGGTTTGGCGAACTCATCCATGAGGAATGATTTCTCGAGGCGCCACGAATAAGCCGCAAAGATCATCATCGAAGTAACGCTCTTCACTTTCTTCAACTCGACCTGCGAGCCACCACGCAGTAAAATAGTCGCGCCCAAATGCGGATTCGCGCAACCTTCGAAGTACATCAGCGTCTTGACACCTCCTGAAGATTAAAATTGCACGATCAATAAAATTGACGAAGTTGTCATGTTATTTTCCGACTAATTAATAAAACTCTCTACATATATTTATCTCAAGAACCTTTCAGTGTGTTGCAATTTCAATGAACGCATACAGAATGAAACTCATTCACGAAGTTTTACTCACTTCGTTCATCCGGAAACTCCCTTAAATAAAACTTCTTGCACGTGCCAAGCATATACCTGGCGCTTATGTGCGCGTCTATTGTATTCACGATATTAGCACCGGTACAACGCGCCACTCTCTTCAGTACACTGAGTTTCACATTCAAAATCAAAGTTACACCGCACTCCCTCAGCTTGTCCTGGGCGAGTCTGGATACAGATCGATGCACGAGTACTACATCCGGGCCCAGAGCAGTAATTCTCGCTACTGTATGTCCCAAGTACTCGCTCTCCTACCGAGGCAAATTTCACGTGAACGGGACAAAGAATAATCATCAGGAAATACAAGAAATAAAGTCAAGAGAAACAGAGAACGTTGAGAATTATTTACCTGTAACATTACGGGCTCCAAGCTCAGCAACTTGCCCTCAACGCGCTGATACATCAGTCCGCATTGCAGCAACAAGATCTTCGGATGCGCAATCATGGCGTTCATGCCGCGATGAGCGATATTCTTGCTACAGACCACGCCAGACACGATTTCACAGTCGTCTCTGCTACCACCGGGACATTTCTTGAACTGCACGTATTGTCGAATATCCAAATTGTCAGCGTCATGATTCAGATCCGGTCGAACGTGATCGACAATCTGATGAGCGACAGACAAAATCGTGTTGGACCACGTTTGCGACAAGCCCTCCTTGCTGAGAAGTTGCTTAATGAGAGAATCCTCGTGTGCTTTGTATGCGGATCTGCAATAAAAGAATGTCGCTTATCTTTTTTCTGCGTATTATTATTAATTATAAGACAATTATGTCGTTATAGTTAAATTTTAATAGAATATTTTATTCTTGCCGTAGAAAACTACCAAATTAAAACGTAAAAAGAATATTATTTTTAATCGATCACACATACATAGTTTCGCAGATTAATCTTTTAACATTAATATTATTAGTGCTGCAACTTACGTTAAGCACTCGTACGTGTTCAATTCGCCGAAGACCGTCCGCAGATTGGTCGCTCTATGCCAACCATTCTTCTCCTTGAATTCGTGCACCTGAAGCGTATCGCTCAACAGATCGTCGCACATCTTGAGATTGCAATTGTGTGTTTTCGGAAGATTGATTTCTTTCTGCTCGACTATTCCGTCGCTGCTATCTATAGAAATGGTGGTTAGATCTTCCGAAGTCGGTCTTTTCAAAGTAACTGTGGACGCCTCCAGATTCAAGTCTAGATAAAAGCTTGAACTAGACGAGGGCAAACGGCCAAAGGTCGGCTGAGCAATGGTGGATGGTACACGACCAAAGGACGTCGAAGTCGTCGGTTTTGTCTCGCTTTCAGAATCTACAAACAAATTATCCTCGTCGAATAATCCTCACTGAATGATTTACGTATCATTGACGATTTTAAATTACCAGTGGTAGAATCATGCTGAGGAATAGTCTTCACCCATGCTGGTTCTTGAGCGTCGCACGTCGTTTGCTTCTCTGTTAACAGATCTATACTTTGCAGAGAAGACAACTGTACCGGTTTGAATATCGTTGCTGTGTCGCTAAACACGTTATCGGTGACGACTGGCTCGATGAAGCCTGCTTCCAATAGCGCTTGACCGATTGCGGTTGCCTGCACGCTAGAAATAAGCTACACGTAAGTCACAATCTTAACTCAAGCTACAATACAATTATGACTAGAACATTTTATCGTTCGGAAGTTAAAATTAACGATAATTAAACTAGAATTAACGACTTATTTGTCTACTGATATATATATATACCGCGTGGCTGCCTTATTCTGAGCTATCATCCAATTCACCAGCTCGTTCGCCAGGAAACAATTGTGATAACTTTTCAATCGGATCCTGTGTGTTTGCAAAGTAATAGCTTGACCAGACCGGAATAATTCCTCGCAGATCATCCGCAAGGAGGCCGAATTTTGTAACACGAGAGTTCGTTCGTGCAACGTTAAATAACTATTACCTGATCTGTGACAAATGAAAGAACGTGTAGCGACAGTAAAAAAAACGAAAAAGGAAAAGAAACTTGTAATATTTAGAGACAGAAATATTTACAGATAAGTGGATAAAAAATCTCCTCACGAATGTTATATAGATTATATATATAGATAGATTAATATATATATAGATATATAATATTAATATATATATATATATATATATATATATATATATATATATATATATATATATATGTATATGTATATATATATATAATATAATTAAATATAATATATTATATATAATATAAATTATAATATAATATAAATTATATATAATATAATATAAATATAATATATTATATAATATAAATATAATATATTATATATAATATAATATAATTAATATATATATATATTAATTATATATATAGATTAATTTATACCGTCCAGTCGCGTAATTTTCCTCCATATATCCCACACTTGGTTTCCGACATATCAAAGCTTCGTCTCCTATCGACTCGTTTGTGTGTTTTCGCGCTAACAGCGGTGAATTATTTCCATACTTCACTTGAAGGTCCTCCTGCAGCGCTTTCAAATCTGCTGATAAATCACTTCTCATGTCTGAGGATTGCAGATAAGAAAGAACCACTTTACAGCAATATGTACAAACTCTGAGATCTCCTGTAAAATATTTGAGCATAGTAAATTATACACGTGTACTTGTGCAGTTATTCATACAAGCATCAATATATCTGAGTTCTCTCACCGGTACATCCCATGATTTTCCCTGGTATTTGATCAGAACAGCATTTTGAGCAAAAGATTTGGCCACACACACGACAGTGGTGCCTCCTGCGAAAAGTAGTAAATCTCTCACCACACTCGTAACACTGTTTACTTACGCTGTCTGGCATCCAATAGCTCCTTAACTGAGAATCTTTATATGAACGTAAATTCTGCAACCCAAAATGATTTAAACAATCTTAATAAGCTGTATTATAGTGTGCAAGTTATTATAAAACAAAATTGATACTTACATTACTCTTTAATGCTACAATGTTGCTGATGCGTTTCAAAACATTTGGTAAACTGCGACCCTCACGGGTATCTAAAGGAAAATTTATTATGCTGGTACTGTCATCATCAGGAGTTCGTTCTGTACTTTCTGATTGCTTCCATGACTCAGAATCAGAAGAACTACGTTCGTCGTTGTTAGAGGATGCTGTGGGATCATTGGTGCTTGATGGATCTATACATCAAACAGAATAATTATAATTATAGAAAGAGAGAGAGGGGGAGAGAGAGGGAGGGAAGGAGGGAGAGAGAGAGAGAGAGAGATGTTAGCACGTCGTGCACGTATGTGCATACATAGTAACATAACCTTGACTACAATAATTAATTAGACAGATAATCTTGTAAGTTAAATAAATAGATAATGGACAATAAGTGGCAAGTACTGACTTCTGGCGAAGTTGAAGAACCTGGAGAAAAGTGATGCCACGACAGGTTGACTCTCCTCGGGACTCAACGGAGCGAACTCCGTGAGTTTTGACGGCGAGTTCATGTTCTTGTTTATTTAACGTCGGTACTATCTACTGATGTGCATCTTGAGAATATGGACGATTCAGCTTGCACGTCTAGAGATACATCCTTTCCCCGACGACCACTGTCGAGTCCACGAGTTCCGTTTCATAGATGAGAGACAGACCGACGCTGATGGTTTGTCAAATGTCAGATGTTTCGCAGCCTAGAAAGAGCGTGGAACAAGACGTACGCGTATGCGCAGTAACACAAGCGTTAGCAGACGCTCCTTCTTCTTGTATATCTGTTGGCATACGTCAGATGTCGCGCGCGGTGAGAATCCTCCGATAGAATCTGACAGATGTCGTTGTTGATGCTTGTGCAGATGTCGCGCGACAAACACACCGCTTCTGTTCCGTCAGGGTGTCGAGTATTCACGACAGGTGGCAGCATCGAAGAAAACCGGTAGCGCTGTTTCATTTGATTTTAACTGCAATATGGACGAAGTACGAGCTATTAGAGACTGATAACTCGCTATCGACATCGAGATGGTTAGTCTGTAATACGGTATTGATTTTATAGATTATTATTATCCCGACATTTTGTATACTAGTGTATGTATCTACGACGCAGTAACATAACGTATTTTCGCAAAACTGCGTGTTCCTCTCTCACACACACACATACGCACACTCACTCTCTGTCTCCCTTCCTCCATGTTTGGTTTGAACAATAACCTTTTCTAGAATCAACGGTCCTTCATAATAATCTGTCAGTAGCTGCAGCTTTTGCGAATCCTAGTTGCTTGGAGCTTCTTTCCTTCCAACGCTCAAACACATTCCATTTCAATTCGAAGATAGAAGAGACTTGAACAGATGCAGATTTTACTGCAGATTTTGATGCAGTATTTACTGCCACGATAAAAATCCTCTTTAAACTCAAGTAAGAGTTACAAGTTTTTATCTTATATCATTATATTTAAATACGATATTCCAAATTTGCATCCGCAATATTCGGTATTCTTCAAAGATGTTACTTGAACTCGAGGGGCGAGTTGACGCGATTCTAATATAATTAAAAAATACGATTTAACTATAACACTTCCCATATAGCACCAAATGTCCGAAATACATCCCAGAGACGTTCTAGAGACGATATGATGCCTCTGTAACGTCTCTGGGATGTATCTCATGTGCTGTATGGGCTCCTATGCGACGAATATACGGGCGCAATTGAGCGATTGTGATCCTCTTATTCGTCAAGAAATTGGTTTTGTTTACTTGAAAATTTGCTTTCTCTGTTGTCTAGGATGACAGTAGTGTAAGAAAAAACAGAGAAGTCGGCGAGTGATACTATTCAGAGGCATAAAAACGCTTAATTATTCATAAGTCCTCCCAACTCGCGCGGAGCAGCGTCGGCGTTCGCCCCTTAGCCGACTATCCTATTTACCACCCTGCTGGCAGGAGGCGGCGAGTGCAGCAACCCCGCAGCTGCGCAGGTGTATCGTAGCCGGCACCTGCCTTCTTATCAACATCTCCGAAAACTCCTCCAGTCACGCCAGAGGGAAGGCCCGGCCCGGCTAGCACCTTCCGCACTCTCGTCCGACCTCACCCTACCCTCGTTCCGCGCGCAACCTCGCCGTTCGGAGAGGAGAGTCTCCTGTACTATCTTGTTCTCGTCACACCTTCTCGCATCACCTGCATCCATCGGCAGGCGAGCAACCGCCGTTGTTGGGCAGGACGATGCGATGGGCGAAGGTAGAAGCGACCGTTCCGGCAAAAGGTAACGTTTCGCGCCCTGCGCCGCGATGCGTCGCGCCGCGCCGTGCCGCTCCTTTGGCCAACGACCGTCGCTCGAATCTCCGCGTATCGAGAGCTTTCGAGCGATTCGATCGTGTGTACATGAGATGTAAACCGCTTCAAGTGATCTTCGAAACCGAAGTTTCGAGGAATGTCTGAGAAGTTTCGAGTGTCTCGACGGTCCTACATCCACGTCTATACACTCATAACAAACGTATAGTCAATTACGTGTAGCGTGCACGGAGAATGTATATAACTACGTGCAGATTGCACTACAATGTAGTTGGGATGTGTTCAAAACTTTTACGATATTCGAGACTCTCGACGAGGTTTTCGAAATATTTAAACAAGTCTATAGGAATTTTTCGAATTTCTCTTAAAATTTGTTTTTCTTCTCTTCTTTTTCTCGCGCTCAATCAGACGATTAAATGCCGGCTGTACAAATTATTTATGCAGAATACGACAGTTGAGTTAGGTTTTGAGAAGAAGATTGCGTCTCCGTTGTTTTTCTGGAAATATATTTTTATGGTAGTGAATTTTACTAAACAAGTAACAACAAACAAAGTACCATTATTCGTATCTGTTAAATTTTCATTCCTTTTGATTGATTTTCCTCCGAAAGATCTCATCATGATATATGTCCTTTGAACAAAATCGATTCAATTGACGTAAAAGCAAGGATAACGCTCGTGTAATACGGCTATTTATTTTATAAGTAGTTTATAAGTAGTAGCTTTTATAAGTGATAGATAGAATCGTGCCGCTAATAGCGCTTTCTGAAATATGTATTAGGGTATCCTAGATCGCGCGCTCTATGTGTGTTACACGGAGTGTTCGTAATCAGATGATTACTCCTAACGATTCACCGCTAATTGATATTGAGGACCACTTATCAGTATCAATATATCTTAATTTCCCGTTTGCGCGCAGAATTTTCGATAAGTGGCAGCACTCTCCTAATTCGATGAGTGGCAGCACTTCGCTCACGGTTGTGTGTATGAAGGTGCTTTTAACTAAATGATCATCGCCCACAGCCGTTTAATCCCATTTAGCCCAATCACTGGTCACACCTTTGCGCAATGGTGCAACCGCCCTGTTTAAAATGATGGGTGCAAAACGATAGCATTTAGCCTTCATTTTTAATCTAAATCAATAAGATGATGATCAATAAGATAATAATTGATTTATATTTAAATTCAGGCTCTGAACGTAATGTAATCTTCTCGTTTTTTATCCATCATTTTAAGCAGGGCACCTCCTAAATTCATCGATATCGCTTATATTCCATTTGCTTTCCCAATTTCACCGACAATGCTCAATTAATCCTTTTAGAAATCCAGTGCATCCCTCGAGGTTGTCCGACATCGTTCCATCATCGTTAGGCAAATTCGCACACAAAAGCAAGTCCGAAGACTGATAAGACAATTCCATAGCTCGTCAATTCAAGAAGCTTAGCAATGAGAGACGAGATGAGAGAAGACATTCAATGACCACGACCTGGATTTACCGTAACCGAGGTGGCTCGCGTGCCAGCACCGGCGGCTCTGTAAAATGCGTTCAGATTGAATCACGCACGACCGCGGAACAACTGACCGGGGCGACGGTGTGCCCGATTGCGAACTCGCTAGTGCGTGCGGCCACGTGGCGCGGACATTAATTTAGCCGCGCCACCAGAAATTCGTCGTGCCGGATAGTTAAGGTGCGGGGGTCTGCGTACATATATATACATATATATGTACGAGTTCACTGCTAAAATCGGGGTCATTGGGTTAAACGGAACCTCGGCATTACGAATCGACCGAGCAGAGCAAATCAACGGGCGGTAACCCGAGCGTGTGCGAGCGAGAAAGGCGAGAGACCGAGGGAGAAAATCAATGGGATTCGCGAAGAAAAGTAGCCGTCGGCTGTGGCTCAAATTAACAACATTATCGCGGCTTTGCACGAACGGGCGAGAAAAAGGGATCGTGACGGGGAGAAAAAAAAACTTGGCAGCGGTGGGATTCGAACCCACGCCTCCGAAGAGACTGGTGCCTTAAACCAGCGCCTTAGACCGCTCGGCCACGCTACCACTTATGAACCGTTAGTCTTCGCACGAGTATACAGGGTCGTGGTCGAGAACGGTTGCGTTCACCCACGTTTAAGTCACGAATTGTGTAATAGAGGTAGCGAGATTTGGAGATCCTCACGGATCGGGCACGACACGGGATGTCTCGTGCCTGGTGGTGCAACCAGAAAGGTTAAGATTCTACTTGAATCAATATTTTTTAACTTATCTTTTCACGTAGAATCATCACCTTCCAGATTGCACTATCGTCAATAATGAAAAACCTATATATTGCTAATGTAACTTAACATCTTTTTATAACGTTTTGTTTATGTGATCTTTGTTTCACGTGTCAATTTTTTACAAAATTACTTTATTGCATTATTTCTTTTGTTTAAAAAGAGCTGTTTTATATAAATTATCAAAGGATATTATAATATCACGCATTGAGGCAGAGATATCTCCATTTCGTCCCCTCTCTTCGCGTTTCAACACTCTGTGAAAACAGCTAAATTATCTATCTATTTAATATGGAAATACTGAAATTATCTTCGTTCAATGGGCTATTCTTTTCCACGGTTTCGACCGCAAGCACCGACTACGCCACGACTATACGTCGAAGACGTTTCACGGATGTCACGCTCGTTCGCAGCGTAATTCGCGAAAGTTGACGTGCGCGCGAGCCATTAGACCGGGACGAGATTTATTTTTCGAGCTCTACGTTCTCTTTGCAGATCGATTCGTCGCGTCTGGGAGAGCCATTGTAACGGCATGCACGTACCTTCGTACCACTCTCTTCCTGTTTCTCGTCCTCCCTGTGCCCTCCTCGCCGTTCACCGACCCGCCCTCTTATATCCCTAATTCGCCCTCCAACATTCCCTTCGGGCGTCTCTCATCGCCATCGGGAGATCTTCAGTAAGCTCAGGTCGTCCATTCGCATCGCGTCGTAGAATCGTTTAGCCTATTCTATACGCGTTTCGTATCTCGATCGTCAGTACGAATTTCCTTGAAGTCGATAATTCTCGTTAACAAACAAAATGCAATAAGAAATTTACTATTCTGCTAATTATCCAGTAAATGAAAAAAATACAAGGAATGATAAGTCGGAGTAGTCTTTGAACGAAACTCGCGAATAAAATTGAACGCTAGATGCTCAACATAGCTACCTTATTTAATAGACAACATAGCAAAGACCCAAAAAAATATAATTTTACGAATTTCGTGAAAGAAAGGTGGGAGAAACCAACGGACAAAACGTCTCTAACTGTCGGACGAAACAGGATCCATGAGATTGCCATTGAATACTGCTCATTAACGCCGTTTTGTTATCTGAATCTCAAACAGGCAAAGATCCTCCACTCGCGGCATCGGCGAGTCCTCCTCGGATTCCGAGATAGCGCGCGGCAAAGGGGGCAAAGGTAAAGCGCGCAAGAGCAAGGTCAAGGAGAGATGGCCATTCCTCGAAGGGCTAACGGTCGACGAGTTGGCTCGCTATCGGCGAAGACGCGTACACGATCGGCCAAAGGACAATCTCCAGCCTTATCCGGAACTGCTGCCGCTGATCATCCAGGACCCCGCGTCTGAATATCAGCGTGCCTTCGGTGTGACTGTCGAGGAACCGTCTAAGGTATATGCAGAATATAACGCTCTTACAAAATTCCTCTTGGGACTTTGCGTTTTTTTTTTCTAATTCTCTATTCATATCCTAAATTCGTCTAAAATCGTTTCATCCAAATTCGAGATAAATTTTACGCGTTATGGAAAAAAGAAACGTCAAGAGCAGGTCTCTCGTTCTAAATCTGTCCGAGCGCTTTTACGAATAACATTGTAATTAATTACTTGTTGAGATTTCTGGACAATCTGTATGAGAACATGTGTACCCGTATAACAGGAAAATGTCTGGCCAATAAAAGATAGCGAGCCCGAGGATTATTCACGCGTGGAAAGGACCGTCGAGGATGTGCGATCTTCGCGTCATATGGATGTCAGAGAACGCGAAGAGATCGAGGATCCATCCACTGGAAAAGAGATTCTACCTTCTCAAGTGGTTCATGACCACGAGACGATGGATGCATGGAGAACAGATGTCCCGCAGTTTGAGGCTTCGATCAGACGTCCGTCTCTTATTAGGAGGTAGTTATCAATGAATTTTTCTGCGCATTACTTGTATGTAAATCGGCTTATTAATAACTTCCATAGTGAACTCGTCGCTAAAATTAGTCACAAGATAAAGATCGTGATAAAAATACCATATATACATATAAATCGTTACAATGTAATGTGTAACATAATAAAATGATAATGCGTTGAATTATTACAATTACAAATACATGAAATTATTTTTCTATGATATAATGTATAATTTAATAAAAGAAACGTCGTGAAATGTTCAGAAGGTTGTAACATTGTTACAGTCGTCGTTACAGTTTGCAAATTATTATTCGATCATTTGATCGTTTACTTAACTAATTTCGCGGAGACTATCAATCTTTCGCTGCCATGTACCCGCAAGTTTAGAACGCGTCGCAAATCAAAACTGTTCCGGGACACGCGAGTTCGCAAGCGTCGCGGAAGTATAAGATAGACTGTCATGTCGCTATAATGCGACTGTCTGTCATGCACCAAATCGCCAACGGAATTGGCTCACCGCTTTCTTTCGCTTTTTTATTGACCCGTCATGACGTCTGCGAAACACCGGTGCATGCTTGATTTAAAGCTGCGCATTCGGGCGAACAAATACGTAATGGCAACTCGATCTCTTGACGCAGTACACGTCGAGAGGAAAAATTCGATGGAATAAACGCGATGTGTGCGAAAGTCAACTAAAAAGTATTGTTTCACGTTTCCAATAGGGGCACCAGCTTAAAGTGCGACGGTAACTTCTACGCAGACACGGAAACGTACTCGGCGTATGTGCCTTACGAAGGTCAGCATCGCGCCGAGCTCGCGCGCCGACCCACGTCCTTGAGAATGGAGGGCGAGCTGGACACCATGACGGAAAAGTGCGAGAAGTTCATCGAATGGCTGAACGTCAGCCGACCGGAGCTCATGCGTATACCCACTAATCTGAAGATGGAGGGCGAGCTGGAAACGGCGACGGAAAATCACGACAAGTACGTCCCGTTCGTGGGCGCGCGAAGACCTGAGCTGCTAAGGCGAAGCACGAACCTGAAGCTGGAAGGGGACACGTACTTCGTGCCGGAGTACACCGACGTGTTCAGAGACCACAGCGTCAAAGGTGATGAATGTTAAGCTTATTGAGCGCGTTTGATGAAGTGTTTGGGCTTCGCGTGAAACTTTGACACGCTTGGTTTCAATTCAAAGTTAGGCGATCACGGCTTCAAAAAAGTTATAAAAGTGGTAAAATGGTGTCCACATAATGCATATTGCAGACAGACTGTGGCCAAAGAAGCCTCAGACGCACTTGAAGGCCGGTGGAGATTTCTTCCAAAGCACAGAGACTACGGAGAATTTCGTTCATCCTCGCGTCAAGCAGACGCAACAGCAGGCTGAACTGGTTAGAGACGACGACGAGCAGGAAGAGGACAGACGGATGAGGGCTTTCGAGCGAGAGGAGAACCGAAAAAAGGACGAAGAAATGATGATGTTGGTGTCGAAGCTGGAAGACCTCAACGGCCGACAAGTCGAGGTCCCGGAATATCGAGACGCGTACAAGGTATTAAAAGCTCCATTAGGAGCTATTTATATATAACAGCTATAAGAAATTATTTCGAAGCTAACGTGCGATTATTATTAACGTAGGACTTTCCACGCGAACGACCGAGAATCTCCAAACCGGACGACGAGATAGGTCGCGCCGATGGTTCGAAAGTGTCCTCGCCATCGCGCTCCAGGTTCTCCACGAAGATCGACCAAGACCCGGAGTACAAATCCAAATATCTAGAATATCCGCGAGATCGTCCCGTATATCGGAAACCACCGCCGATGCTACGACCGACGATGGTAGCCTCTCCCGCGCGTAGTAGTACCTGCTTCTTTAACAAGATCAACCCGATTCACCAGGAATGCCGCGCGTTCGAGTATGAACCCATCAGTGAAGTGAGGTCGCAATACGTTCCGTACGGACACGTCCCGCGGGTCGAAACGTTAAAGATGCCGGCTAGTCTGCGACCAGAGGGTAACATCGATCTTCAGCCGGAATATAAAAACGCCTATTGCGCGCGATATGATCGTCAAGGTGCCGGCCTGGAGCCTAGAGCGTATGGTAGGGCCGATCGTAGTCCGAGCGCCTCGAGGAGAGGCGAAAATTATTGGCTGAACGACAACAACAACAACAACAACAATGATTATCAATGCGACAGGACGCTCGTCGGCCAGGATCAAGACGCGTTTCGAGTGTTGGACACGCGGATTCTCGAAGACAACGTCACCGGGAAGCCACCGCCTGCTAGCAGAAGGTATATTGAATTAAAAGAGTTTCTTTAGAATCTATTTTACAAAGCGATTATAAGACACACATTTTTGTACATTTTTAAGTACTATTTTATTCGTGATCACGTTGGCTCTTATTAATGTCACGATACCTTGCAGAGGTTCCAGGCTTTCCCAAGCAACGGCGCCAAGACTGACGCAGCCGACGGAGCTGACGGATCGCACTGTCACAAGGATACGATCTCCCAGTCCGACGTATCGGCTTCACGTGTGCGACGTGGACAACGAACCGCGAGGCTTTGGTCGACAGTCTTCCGGAAGGATACGGAGCCCCTCGGCCGACCGTGTGAGTCGCAACGACGTCGCCAGACCGTATTCACCCAGCTTTGGCAGGACAGACAGGCAGGATCGTCGCGTCGATGATCAACCGTTTGTTGTTTTGGATGAATCCTCGAAAACCGCCTCGGCCAGGAGACGTAACGTCGATGTCGCGGTACCGATCTCTCGAGGCAGACCTAGAACACCGACTAGGTGGATGCCGCCGTGGTACGACAATACGAATACGATTTAGAACGCCTGCAAGAGTTTGCCGAAAGAATACTCGAACTGCCTAAAAATTTAAGTTCTAAAAGCCGTAATCTTACACTGAGAGAAAAAATATCTGGGAAATAATAAATATTTACGGTAAGCCCTGATAACATATTTTCTTATACTAACACAAAATATTTTTTAAAAAAGAAAATATACATTATCTTAAAACTTTCAGATAGCTCTCTCTCTCTCTCTTTATCTTTTCATGAAAACAATTATTTAAGTAAAATAATTCAAATTTAAGTGAATATGTTATTAGTATTCCCACCACAAAAATATTTCTATTACTTTTTAGATATCTTTTCTTCTCAGTGTACATCTGATGGCGTATTTTAGCAAACATTTCGACATCTAACGTGACTCTTAATACTTAAATGTAGACGTCAAAAAAAATGCCAGGAAGTACATGTGCGAAAGATTCTCTCGTGTCAATCTTTGTAGGTGAGAAGAGTAGAATTATAATTATAACGATAAACAAACACTGCCTGTGTAACTTTGTACGCAATCAACTGGAATCAACCGATCGCTGTTTAAATACGCATTAACGTCATATTATAATATAAGGATGCCGGAGTTCGATACTCTGTCGTATGTTACCTGTGTAGCCGCGCAGTAGGTGATAAAATAATACCTCGTACTACTGCCAATGTTTTTGTTAACCTGTATCAAAACAAATATATGGACAACGCCTAATTTTACGTGGCCTTTCTCCAAGCATCACCTTCAAACGCATACTTTTTCCTTTGCGTTGACATTATATTAAAATTACATTGTATTCTGCTGTTTCATCTCATTGCACAAATAAATAAATAATTGAGGCTGCAAACAAGATAAAGAATAAAACATATTGGGGGAATCACAAGTGAAATTAAATTAATTGAAAGAAGAATTTCTCTTGAAAATATTCTTGTTAAATATGTTCCAGTTTGGCGGGAAACAAAACCGGCATGACTTGCGCACCTGCAGCTAACTTTATGAACGCACGAGTAAACGCATGAAGTTGCGCGTTATCTGTCCACGTCAGTTCGTACGCGGTTTGTAACATAACCTAAAAAGTGATTCGTGCCTTCGAAACATCGCAGTCGATGAGCGAGACGTTCACGCAGATGACAAGTTATTCGCACATTTCCTAGCGTGAATAAGGTACTCGTTAAAATTTTACACGTATCAAGCCGACTAAAATTATATCGAGTGTGTAAAAACGCGGAATACACAATATTCGGTGACAATAGTCGATAGAAAATATTCCGAAGATCAGTGAGTAACATATGTTATCTTTCGAACAGAGTGCAGCGAAATGCATTGGACGTTGTGCGCGTTGATCATCGGGTCGTTCGGATGCAAATATATACACGCTCAGGCGCAAAGAGTCGCGCCGGGTGTTCCGCCACAGCATTATCAGCAGGTAGGTTGGGTTTTTATGTTCGAGAATGTTGGCAAACATATGGTTTGATTCTGCCCGGTGCACCAGAGCCTGTGACGTGTGATTGTTTTGGGTTTTTATAGCTTATTGTAATCTTGATTTGTTATATTATGACTTTTTCTTGATTTGTTTTAGCCCGTTCAAGTGCCTCCATCACAACACATTCCACACCAGCAACAAGTAAATTCATGATTGTAACTTGATCTCATAAGTATTTATTAGTAACATCCCTGTGCAATTTATACTGATTTTCTTTTGGCTTTCTTTTTTTTAGCACTAATGTCATGGTTAAGTTTAAATCTTCTTAATATTATCTTACTAATAATTTTTGTTCAAGTATCAACAAGTACCGGTGCAACAACAGCAAGTGCCGATACAACAGCAGGTTCCTGTTCAGCAGATACCGATGCAACAAGTACCTATGCAACAGCAGGTACCAATGCAACAAGTACCTGTACAACAACAAGTGCCTATCCAACAGCAGCCATCAGTTCAACAAGGACACGGGCATGGTCATGGACATGGACAAGGGCAACCTCAAATACTTAATACTGCTAATATAGCCCATGAGAAACAGTATGTATCAATTGGAAAGAGAAACTCAATTTTTACCAATTTAAGTTGAATATCAACTGAGATGGAAGTAATTTGAGATAAAATAAAACATTTAAAGAGTCTTAATGTATTTCCAAATTTGAAACTGATATAGGCATATTTTTTCTTGTTTAGACATATCGCAGAACACGCTGATATACCCATAGATACAAGCAAGATGACTGATCAGGAATTACAGTTTCACTATTTCAAGATGCACGATGCTGATAACAACAATAAGCTGGATGGTTGCGAGCTGATCAAGTCCCTCATTCATTGGCATGGTATGTAAAGATTAAGCATTTTTCTGTGTTTCATCTTGTGTTCTCACTGATATTATCGTGCATTCATATGTATCTCGGAATTTTCTTAGAACAAGGAAGCCCAGATTCTGGTGGGCCACATGGTGAAAAATTGTTCAACGATGACGAGTTAGTACAATTGATAGATCCGATACTTAACATGGATGATACCAACAATGATGGTTACATTGATTATCCTGAATTTATTCAAGCCCAACAGAACGCCGCAGCCAGCACGCGTGTATAATAGTATATTCCGTGTAAACTGTAAAATTAAAGAAAAACTTTTATAAGGACTCTATAATAATGAGAAATCTCATTATATCATTGATGTCTCGCGATGTTCATGTCGACATTACACATTTATATATGTATGATCATGCATATATTACGTCAAGTTCTGTTGGTATTTGTGATAATCCACTTTTCATCGATTCGATTCTAACCATATATAATACGAAAAGGGAAAAAATTTTGGTTTTTTATATGATGTCGGTAAAAGATATATATGAATACTGTCATATGATATAATTAAAAAGCGATATATATAAAATATTCCAAAATTTCCCTCATTTATTTATAATATTTAATGAGATTAATTCTACGATAACAGTGTTTGCCGCGCATTATTATTCTATTATTATTATATAAATGGTTGTAATATTCTAGAGCGTTATTAAAAATTGGGTTTTTGATATAACAAAACTATTTTTATATAGACAAGAATATTTTATAGATACTCCTGCTGTTAATAAATAAAAAGATCATTTATTAGTTTTCACTGTTGTTTATATAATTGAAATATATCTATAAAATAGTAGTTTGAATTCATGTATAACAATATATATGTATTAAGGATAATAATAGATGTTTTACTAGCGGTTTCTACGTCCAACACAAAGTATGAATAATCTCGTATTCTGTAAATATATATACATATTGTTACCTACAATATTTTCGAATGAAAAAAACAATTTAAACTTGTTCTCGTAATCGATCGTATTGCGTTATATTCCTATGAGAATTTCGATCTTCATCGCAACAATTATTTCGATAAGAAGAGTGGAAATGTGGTGAATATACAGAGAGATCGATAGTTTATAAGTTTTTTATCAATTATTGTATCTTTATATTAAAAGACACTCTATTGTCAGTAATTTCAAGCACAGAAACATTTGTAATTTTATACGACGCAAGTAAGCATGTCATAATATAATTACATTTACTTTCAAGGAATATATATATATCATTTTGCTCAAGCGCGAACATCGTTAAAAATCTCACCGCTCTAGAGCACAATTATGGAAATACTTACAATAGTGTGAAAATGATAGATATGCTCAAACGACTAGATTATGACTAGATGTAAGACTAAATTTTTCTTCCTACTTTACTACTTATAAGTACATTCCGTTGACCAAATAATCGGCATCATGCGCGTAAGGTCCGTGTCCACATCTTCCACGCCGTCTCCTCACTACGTTAAAACCGCAACTAATTAAGAAAACCGCGATTACAGTCGCTATAAGACCCAACGTCAACGACACCACAGCTCCTTTAGGGTCGTTTTCGATTATTTGAACACGTTCCGAAATAATGTCGGTTCTTTCGCGCGTTCTGGCATGCTCCTCAATCACAATTACGCTTTTATGATCTAAATCTAAAATGTAAATAAGAAAAAATGTAAACGTAAATAATACGTTTTACGATGAAAAGTTAAACAGATGTGTGACATCAAATGAAAAATATCGTGATTGCAAAACTGATTTTACACGATAATTACTTGTATCTTTGTTTTTTTATCATACAATAAATTCAGTACAACATTTTTACCTTTCGTGTCTTTCGAATGACTATGTTTAGTAACATAGTCATTACTCGCTGACAATTTTGGCTTTTCGGTCACTTGTTTGCTCGTATGCTTTGCATGAGCCAAATGTGTTTCTACTTTTTCTTCCTTTTTATCCAATTCCTTGCTCTGTGTCAGTTCAGTTTTATGTTCTTCAGAGGTCTATACATAATTACAATCATTTAAATTACGATATTATCAAAATTACGACAATTCAAGATGTCAATGTGTGCTCACCTCACAGGCAGGCGTTGTTGTGGTTTTCGCAGTGTTTTCTACATTATCGATTTGCTTGTGTTCGGAATCTGATACAGGAGGTGCAGATGGTGACAACAGCATCTGATTCTCCTGCCAAGCTCCTTTATTCGAGGATGAGAAATGCGAGGTATACGGATGCTTAGAATCCATGTAAAGACCTCTAAGGTAAAATTATATTACAAGGCAGTGGAGGTTTAGTGATATTTAAGTGAATAATTAAACGGTAGGTTAATACTTCGTATTACCTATCCGCTTCATTGTTTCCTAGGACGCTCGAGCCTTTGTGGTTAAATATATGCGATTGCTCTAAAAAAGATGTATAGATGAAAGTTCATACGATAAATACACAGACATTCAAAAGTTCATAAGATATGCAAAATTATTCTGTCGGGAAACTTGAATGTTTTTTTCAAGGATTTATCGCTCAATTTCTTTTTAGCGAAAATGTATCACGGAAGATTGAAACTTATAGCAACTTATGGAAAGTTTATCGTTAAAAAGACATCTGAGCTTTTTGAGACAAATCAGATGTTGCACAAAAACACTATATATATATTTTTTTTTTTACATACGTTCGTAGGGATTTATATTCTGATCGTGGAATGAATTTACAGGAACATACGGCTCCTTGCTTTGGTCGTATAATGGCTGATAGTCCCACCGGTAACCCGGCGATTCATAATTTTTATGCATCTGCATCTGTATTTCCACTGGCTGACCTGGATACAGGATATTTTGTGGCTGCGACATTTGATGGGCCGTATTACCAGACATTTCCCAGCTTTTAGGACTAATCTCTGGCCCAGCGGAGTAGAATGGAGCGAGGGGCGGCGGTTTGTGCTGATCGATGATGTGTTGATACCTCATAATGTCAGCGGGTGGACGCGGCGCTTGTATCATCGGGGGTACTACCACTGGCTTCTCCGTGGGACATATGAGATCGGCCGCCTCGTCAGAGCCGTCTGCACATTGTGGAATGCCGTCGCAAACGTTGTATATAGCTATACAGTCCCCGGACGAACGACATTCGTATTGATTTCTGGTGCAAGCTACCATTCAAATATTTACATTAATTTTTCATCAGTCAAGGTTAATAGAAAAGGATAATTTTCAGAGTTTTTTACAGATATGCTCAAACAATCTGAAGCATTCTCTCATACAAATATCTTTTTATTTGGAAATGACACGCAAGAATTTTTTCATTTTAATATTATTAAGGATTATGCAGGATTCTACAACAATTGAACCAGAAGCCTTAACTTACATTGTTTTTAAGTTTAAGTAAGTTAATATACAAGAGATTTTAATACATACTTATGCATACTAGTGCATTTAATTAAATTTGCTACACAAGATTTGAAAGACTAAATAATAATATTACCTGGTTTAATTGGCACAGGAGTAGTTGATATTACTTTTGGTATCTGTGTAACTATAGATTTGATGGAAGCCTCTGTAAACCCGTAATCTGAAGTAATGTCGCTATTTTTCCTGCAAAATACAAGAGAAAAATTATAAGTCAACGACAAGATTGGAAATTGAAACTTACTTAGGATTTACAAAAATACCTAAGTGATTTCAACTCATGTTCCTGTTGAGATATCCTAATTTCTTCTTCTGTTTGTATATTCTGTATAGGATAATTGGTACGTACAGCACTGGTGTAGTTAGCATGTCTTGTAAATTTGCACTTAAAGTCATGGAGTGGACCACATTCAAAGAGATAGCAACTACCTGGTTTCTATAAAGAACATAATACTATGTAACAAAGGTCTATTGGATGTCTCTACAATATCACACTTTTCAGTTCATAATAATACTGTATTACACATAATGTTTGTATTTACCTTCTCTTCAAAAATGAACACATCACACCGCTCAGTTTCGCAGCAATATTTCAGACAATCCAATTGGGAATCAACATCCATCACGCTCAAATACGTAGCACCCATATTACGAGAGTCCTGGGTTTTGATAATATTATCTTTGTGAACGTCAAAACTTTCGAGGCACATCTGGTAGCTGCTCGCGCCAACGTATCTTTTTTCATGCATCTTGATCGCTTCATTGTCACCGCACGCACAGTGGATAATCGCAACAGAAATCGAAAAAATAAGTTGTGCCCCACGAAACATAGCTTCTTCTTGTACGTCACACAAATGTCGAAGTTGTGCTCGTTGCGTCGCGATGCCGTCCGCGAAAGCGGATCGATAATTCAATGCCGAACAAAAGAGATTATTGCGTCTTATGTCTCTTGAGATTAAACAAAACGAAGATCCTCTCTAATCTTTCTTTCCATCCACGCATAAATATATTTTGTACATAATTAATGATTTATTTGTTGATTTACTTGCCTATATAAATCAGTTACATTTTCCGGTTGTATAATAACAGTCACATAAACTCTGCGACACATAACCTTACGAGTGGCCAAGCCTGTGGCCAACCTAGAGTCATTAAAATCAGTAGTCATCAGATTGACCAACCTAAGGTCTGTCTTTTTTGAGCACTACGTAAATTAGAGCGAAACACCGATTGACATATTCCCTTAGATCTAAAAATGCAGATGTATACTAATCAAGTGCAAGAGTCACAGATGTAATTGGTCAATTTTTTACGATTCCGGCATAAGTTAGCGGATTATGGCCATCATAAACTAGTCTTATGGCTCCTGCAGACAGGATGCGGTAATGCTTGCCGCGCGGCGTAAGTCCGCGCAACAGCCAATCTATATGTTGCTTTCCGTAATAACCTTCTAGCTCTTACGGAAAAACAACATATTGATTGGCTGTCGCGCGGACTTCCGTGCGAGGCAAGCATTACCGCGTCCTGTATGCAGGAGCCATTATGCGATAGCCAATCAGAAGCATCAATGGTACTATTAACGCTTCTGATTGGCTGTTGCAACAAGAGTTACAATCGACAAGATGACAACCTCGTAGCGCCATCTAGAATGATGTCCTCATGAAGTGGAACTAAGAATTAACATGGCGCTTTACCCTTGATCGGATATAAATGGTATAGTGAGATGTGAAGAGTTCTTAAAGTTGATATGTGCTGTTTTGACGTGTAATTGTACTACCGGAAGATGAAAACTTAAGTAACACAGACTTTGAGGTATAGGATAATGTCGAGAAAATAATTAAAACATTTTTATAGAAAGTAAAAGGAATCGAACATTGTCTTGACGGTCGACTGCTATCCGTCCGTATTGTTAATTATGCGTTGCAGTGTATGAACATAGAAAGCTTCGAACGATTTGCATGTGAAACTAAAAAGAGATTGAGTTACATTGTAAAAGTTTTTCGGATAAACGTCAAAATCTTCCAACAATATGTCTCTGTACGACGATTTTGACAAACACCGAACTAATGAGAAGGTCGCAGGGTGGTCATCCGGTATCAAACTGCTGCAATCTCAGTTACAGCTAAAAAAAGCTGCCACAACACAAGTAAATTCGCGTAATATATTAAACATAGTTTTAAATTTTGAGAATGATTTGAGAGAAAGTAATATCTCTAATTATTCTTTGTGGATTTTTTATTTGTGGATTTATAGCCAAAACGTGAACAGTATAGGAAAGCTACTGCTGTACTAGCACCAGTGATAGACTTGAAATCGAAAGCCAACCGTGATTTGGATAGAGAGGATGATGCTACCCATAATAATCCATTGTCTACTAGCAATGTAAGTGGGATAGGAGTTGGCGGTGAATTTGATTGGAATGTAGTGAATGAATATGACCCTATATGGCCCAATGAATATGAGAAAGTTGTGAAGGAACTGCGTGATATGAGAGACAGAGAACATGATCAAGAGACAGAAATGCGCAAACGTAGGAGAGATAACACACGTTTTGAGGATAATCAGGTAATACATAATAATACAATTGGTTTGACTTAGTATATGTTTTTACAGTAGATTGCTCAAAATAATTAATATGTTTAAATTTGAAATCAATCTGTAAATTATAAAATTGTTCTTGTAAAATCAAGTAAAGAAAACTTGATCTTATATAAATGTATTTCCTTAAAATCAACTTTAGATATTAAGAAATTTTGTTGGAATATTCAAGTATCAAATAAAATTTGAATAAAAAGTAAATTACATACGTACATAATGTTATTAATATCACAAGTGGTTATAATATAGATTTATTGATAATAATACTGATAATTAATGAGATAACTAAACATTTGTGAATATTAGGCTTCTAGCAGTAACAGTACAATGATACCTCCCGAGAGAGACGAGGAGAGGACACCATCTTCTCGAGGTATAATTGGAGGTGCTGCGATAGCTCCACCACCTTCTCTGCAGGAATCCTCGGAATTGCCACCCCCAGCACCGCGATCGCAGCAATCTAGTCTAGGCTATGCCACGTCGTCTGTAGCTGCAAAAATAATGGCCAAATACGGCTTCAAGGAGGGACAGGGACTCGGCAAAAAGGAACAAGGCATGTCAGTAGCCTTACAAGTAGAGAAAACGAGTAAACGTGGTGGTAGAATAGTCGGGGAAAGGGAGCAACTCATGCCGCCACCGCCACCTCTTACGGCTTCACCGCCTCTGATGCAACTACCTCCGCAACCACAACCTGCAGAAGAGCCTAGTATCACCGAGATAATGAAGTGTCCTAGTAAGGTGAGTACTTGTTTATAGTATTACACAATATACATACTCTAATTTTAGCAAAGAATAAAGTTGAGAATCAAAATGAGTCAGTTTTATCAAATGAATTTTATTGAAACTAGAACGCGCTTCGCGCGCGCCACTTTAGCCTTTTCGTTGTACTATTTACAATTTTACAATATTACAATACTCGTTTTTACAAATTATATTCCCAGCAAACACAATGTTACATGTAAAGTACATGTTGGTTGTAATTTCCTATTCAACAATGTAACTGTTATATGACGCGTATATTATATAAGTTATATTGTTTGTTGAGTAAAAAATTACAACTAACATGTATGTTACATGTATGTAACATTGTGTTTGCTGGGATTACAATAAATATCAAATTCATATGACGCGAACAACACAACCTGATCTGTCACCGCGGTTGACAGCTGCAAGTGGCACGAATTCAACTGCGACGGAATCGAGACGGTCGAGACGGCCAATTAGCGTCGCGGAAAAGAGGCTTCACCCACTTCGATACATTCGAGATTTAGTTAACACGCACTTTTTCTGATAGGATAGAATCTTGCATATGTGTGCGACCCTGTTTTTCACATATCATCGTTAATATATGAGTTTTACTTCAGGTCGTACTTTTACGAAATATGGTTGGTCCTGGAGAGGTGGATGATGATCTCGAACCGGAAGTGAAGGACGAGTGCAACACGAAATACGGTGATGTCGCACGCGTTATTATTCACGAAGTGATGGAAGCTGCACCGGAGGAGGCAGTTCGAATTTTCGTGGAGTTCAAAAGAATAGAGAGCGCTATTAAGGCTGTGGTAGATTTAAACGGACGCTTCTTTGGCGGTAGACAAGTTAAAGCGGGATTTTATTCTAGTGAAAAACTCGATATGCTACAATTGATGGACTAGAAGATGGGTTGTGTGGAAAACAATTTTCATACATTGGTTCAGTATCTTCTCCCTTCACAAATTGTATATTTTTAAATAAGGTGTGAAAAAAAGTGTAAAATACCTTAGATATTATTTGAATATCCAAGAGATCATTTCTTCTGTTGATTATATTTTTACATTTATATACACGCAATGTTACATCGTACGCATTCAACGAGTATTTCTAGATAAAGATAAAAAATAAATTTTTCAATTATAATATATATTTATTTTATTTCATTGTCATTTACAATTATAGTTTTCTGTTTTTTAACAATCAATTATACATGCAAAATTTAATTAAAGAATCACTTATATTATCCAACAACACAATATATAATAACTCGTAATAACTTAAGTAGAACATAACAAATTTTAAATATTCATATATATATATAAGGAATGAGTAATCCTTGATCCTCTCTCTCTCTCTTTCTTACATTAGGCTTAATCAGATCTCAGTGTTCTCAAACGTATATTTCATTTCCGAAATTTAATTGTATTTAATTGTATTTAATTGTATTCATGGAAATGTTAATCTTTTCACTGATTGTAAGTATTTTTACTGAAATAATCTTCTGTTTTCTTCAGCTATTCGCTAGAATATTGTTTCCTAAATATATAAAGAAAGTCCTAATGCAAGAAAGAGAGTAAAACTAAAACAAGATGTGTGAAGACAGGTGGAAGATTAAATAAGCTGGGTAGCAATAATCTCTAAACGTCCAGTAAGAAATGCAGCTTTCAGTCGGATACTTAATCGATACAGAATATTACCAGTATTCCGTAAGAAAACGTTCACTTATTCTCGTAGTACCATTTTCAACAACCATTTAAGATATATCTGATATCGTGCAAAAGTTAAAAACATTGTGGATATATTCACTCAGATATCTCTCATTATGTTACATTGTTTTTCCGTTAATCAAGTCCTCTATCGCCTTGTTCAATTGGGCGCTGAACGCGGCGAAACTGAATACCTTTAGAAACCTGTCTTTGCCGGATTTCCCAAAATTTTCTGTGCGACTCGGATTAGTGATCAGGAAAGCTATCTTCGAAGCGAACGCTTGGCCGGATAAGTCGGCCAAGAAGCCAGTCTCTCCGGACACTATAGATTCCATCGGGCCGCCGGAATTGTGAGCGACTACCGGTTTGCCTATGTACATCGCCTCCAACGGCACAATACCGAAGTGCTCGTTTGGTGGTGTGTATATTACAATTTTGCAATGATGAAGTATGGAGACCTTATCAATGTCAGAAGGCGAACGTAGGAACATCACCTTGTCAGTCACGTGTAACTCGTCAGCGAGTCCTATTAACTCCAAGTGATATTCCACGTTCTCCTCGACCCTCTTGTCGTAGCCACCGGCTATAATCAAATATACACGTTTGTATATTTCCCTCGTCAAGAGATTCTCCAGCTCTGCTAGAGCTTCCAAAGCAAGGGACAAATTCTTTTTACGCTCATATCTGTTGATGGATAACAGTATGATACTATCATCCGGTAGTTTTCTATCTAGTACTCTCTCTATGGACACTATTCTCGTTTTGTCAAAAAAGTCGGTGTTGATAGAAGGATACAAAATTTCTGGTATTACGTGCAAACGCTTGAACGTGTTCCTGAACACGTTGCCTGTGTAAATGCTATTTACAAATATCTTATGAGCCATGCCTGTGGTAACTTCTTCTAGATAATTCAGTGGCATGCGATACAGCTGTTTGCTGTAGCCTCCAGGCTGAGTGAGCAGTTGATCTGGGTGATGACAATAAAAGACCACATATGGAATTCTCAATCGAAGAATGGGAATGCATACCGACACCAAGTCGCAGAAGACAACCTCTGGTCGTTGGTCAGAAAATATTATGTAGATAGCTGCATATATCTGTAAAAGAGAACATATAAAAATTGACTTGATACTGCAAAGGCTATTAGATACATGTCTTTTCTTTTTTTGCAAATGTTTAAAGTATATTCTTCAATATAGATTTTAACAAAAGTACATATGCTTGATATATTCTTTCATTGTTTCTTTTTAATTGAGAATTCCTACGAAACAAACTTTTATCTTTCTTGATTTACTATTATTTATTATCAATAGAAAATACAATTTTTGATACTTTTAATCTGTTACTTATTATTTATATTTTATCACTTAGGTATGACAGTAACTACTTGTTACATATTCTTGTTAAAATACTTCAATACTACCTACCATACGTAGGTAGGCGCAGAGCGCGTAAAACCTGCCCAGAACATGCCTGGGCAGCCAATTGCCCACAACGGTGACGGGAATTGTGCCATCCTTAGTCTCGGTGAAGCAGTGTTCCGGGTCGTGATGAGTCGTCACGAAATTCACGTCGTGACCGTTCTTACGCAGGGCAAGGGCCGCGTCGACGACCAGTCTTTCCGCACCGCCGATTCCGAGGTCGGGATGTAGGAAGGTGATGCGCGTCATCGTCGATGCTCTCACAATCTCGCCGTCAACAGTTACGGTAAGTCATGCATTCAGCTGTACGTAAGTACGAAATTACCGCGACGCGAATAACTGTTTATCGCATTTTATCGGTCACTGCCGGCTAAAACCCCCCACTACAGCGATCGGTGCATTAAACAAAATTGTTGCTACATACTGGACACTACACTACACAGCTGGCATCCGATTGGACACGATGCGATTGGACTATGGACGTAGGGGAATATCTGGACGGAGCGTAAAGTATTTTTATGGGCGCGGGGTGTGAAGTCAGCGCAGTGAGAGGAAATCTTCGTTGCGGTCATCTTTGGTGACAAAGTGACACACACACACACACACATATATATATATATATATATATATATATATATATATGACATGTGTGTACAAGATCGAGGATTTTTACCTTTGTGGTGAAAAGTCCTTATGGATGGAACTATATATTTCGCAGTAGAAGATGCCGGATTGTTACGCGAAATATTGTAAAAGCCGGAGAACCGAGAAGCCGGAAAAATAAAATACAACTAGAGAATGGGAACGTAAAAATGATAAGACTATTATTTCACAAGTATGTTTTAATATAACAACAGTTGCAATCAGGATAAAACTTTATATTCACACATACTCATACACACGTATTCATTTGTACATTTTTCAATACACTATACCAAAATAAACAATAGCTGCGTTTGGCATTGTAAATCGCAGACGTCGGATTGCTCTTTTATCTCGAAGATGCATAGAAATGAAAAAGATACGAAATCTCGTATCTCTCTCACTTCTGTGCATTTTCGAGATAAAAGAGCAATCTGACGTCTTTCAGTTACAATGCTGAACGCAGCTATTGTGTTCCGTGATATAGGCTGCCGCCATATTTAGTGATCACTTTCATTCTTCTCACCCCTGTGAATTCACACCCCGTGAAATACGCTCCGTCCAGATATTCCTAAGGTTTGTCGCGTCGCATGCCCCAACGTGCTCCTACTCGCTCCAACGCACTCTGATTGGTCACGTCACCACGCGGACCAATCAGAGTGCGTTGAAGCGAGTAGGAGCACGTTGGGGCATGCGACGCGAACAAATCTACGTCCATGGTTTCTCCTTAACCTAACCTATTGCAATAGGAATACTGTGATTGGATACTGTGTGGGATTTGATAAAACATGGATCAATCAAAAGTTGCTTCTTCGTGGCCAAATTCTGCTTAGAGTAACTCTATGACGATGAAGTTGTACCGCTATATAGATGTATTTAATCTATGGTTCGCTTATTTGACGGAGCTGTCACCAGATGGCGTATGAATTTATTTCCAAGCCAGAAACAGATAGATAGATGACGAAGCTGTCATCTCTTCTTATCTGTCCCGTGTGAATTTGTCAGTTGTGCGCAAGTGAATTTATTAATAAACAGTCTAGTTTTTGCCGTAAACGACTGACACTTCCAAGAACGAGGACGAATCATTGGAAAGCAACAAGAGTCATTCTAAAAAATAGGTAGTGTTTTCACTCAATGTCTGATGATATCAAGATTTGTATATTTGTTAGTGTAGTTTGTCAAGATATGTATATTTGTTGTGTTTACTAGTATTTCTCGTTTTAGGCAATGATGCGAAATTTGTAATTTGGAATGACAATTGATCAAACACGATCTTTGATATTTGTTACTCGTTGTTGGATATCGATCGAATAGAACGACAACGATGAATTTTGGGATGGATTGGGAGGCCGAGCATCGGCGCGTTCTGCAGGACGGTAACGCGGCTTTGGAACGCTCAGCACAGTCAGTCGCGAGATCACAGGCAGTGGCAGCAGAGAGTGAGCAAGTAGGAACTGAAGTCATCTCTGAACTGGGCGAGCAGAGAGAACGTCTGCTGCGAGCTAAACGGAGATTGTCACAGACAGATGAGGAACTGAACAAAACGCGAAAGATTTTAAATGTTATGCGAGTGAGAGTCTTGACGAACAAAATTGTGTTGATCTTTATTATATTACTAGAAGTGACTATAATTGGCATTATTGTATATTTAAAGTTCTTTCATCATTAAGCTGCATCGGTACGGTGAGGCTAAACAAGGTTAAGGGCTGAAGTTGTATATACATGCAATATAATGTATATATGATGCAATATATAGTTAATAATGTGTGTAGTTATATAGGCATCTGCAAATATTGTATAAGGTGTAATAAACAAACTTTCAAACACACCTTTTGCAAAATAGTAGATCTATTCTTTCTTGAAGAACTTCCTGAACTAATGTACATTGATATTGGAAATTAGAATGAGACAAGATATATCTGTTTCACTCTAATTTATTGCATAATGTACATCAGTTCAGGAAGTTCTTTGAAAAAGAGCAGATTTAATGTCGTTTGTATGCCATTTCCCAATGACTATTGAAATTGTTTTATTATGTTTAGCTATATATGTATGTTCTCATTTCTTATATATACTTTTATATATACTCATATATTCTTATATGTGCCTTTATACCACATGCCTGCAGCATGTGTCATTGATTTCAAAACATACTGACATGAATACAGGAACAGTATGTAAGATATGTTCATGTTTTTTGCTGCATATTCAGAATAGACTTCATTTTTTGTTTTTATCCTTGTAATAACTTGGCATTTGAGCTAAAAGATATTTTTTTAAATGGTCATCATGCATGATGAGGAATATTATCGAAGCAGAGTGCCCGAGCCGGATTTGGGACCACTCAGGAATTTTATGCGATTCATTTGGAATCCCGACGCGAGGACATTGCTTGGTAGAACGGGAAAAGAATGGGGTGGGTTGGAGTATCTTCTCAAGTTCACAGTCATTAACTTGTGAATTGATATTTCGACTAATCTAATGATTTGTGTAATCCAGGTCTGCTAGGAGTTTTCTACTTGGGCTTCTTCAGTGTACTGGGCTCCATTTTCGCGTTGCAGATGTGGATTAGCATCGACTACGCTTCGAAGTTGGACAAACCGTTCTTCTTGTATAGCGGTGTAGTTTCCAGGTCCTATTTTGGCAATAATTTTTCTCTCTTCCGTCATCTGGATTTCGAAAGCCCAGGTATGATATGTGTGGAGTGATTTATTTAACACTTGAATCTAAAAACTAATTTTGGTTTTCGCTGATAATATCTAATCTGATAATGTTCAATACATTTGTGCGATACATATTATACTCTGTACAGGAATTAGCTTCAAACCGAATGTTTTGCTGCCCACCGCGTCTCCCATCATTTGGGTGGACAAATCGAGCGTGAACGTTCGACCGGCGAGATACGTAGAGACTTTAACTGACTTTTTGCAAGGTACAAGTCCAGATATTGTGAGTGAAAATTCAAACTTGTTGCAATGTCAAAAGAGAACTGTGCAAGTTGGTATCTTTCTTCCAGAGTATAACAAAAGCAGGAATAACTACAAGATAACCGCGGAGTGCAGCGACGAGACGTCGAGCACGCCCAACGTAAAGCCGTGTTTCTTTGACATCGAGAGCCTTGGTGTTTGTGGGAAACCTCCATATGGATACACGGATCCGTTACAGCCGTGTATTCTCATTAAGTTTAACAAAGTAAGTCGAAATCTCATATATTCGACAAAAAGAAAACGATTTTGACGATTGATATTGATTTTATTATATTTTCGCGATAATAACGCGTGCATGGATCAAACTGTTGAAAATAAAATATGATAGGGAAATGCTTCTCATCTGATTCTCTTGCAGAGGTTTGACTGGGTACCGATACATTACAACAAATCCTCTCAATTGCCTGAGAACATACCATTTGCTTTAGAAAAGACTATCCGATCTTCGAGCAAACTTCAAATTTGGTTGTGGTGCGACGGAGCAAGCAACGTTGATAAGGAACACGTCGGTGAGATTGAATACATACCGAGTGCCGGCTTTCCCGTAAAGTATTTTCCGTTTATGGGACAACCGGATTATTTGTCGCCGATGGTAGCGCTGCAATTCAAAAATATCACACGTAAGTTGTTGAGATACGTATATTGAATTGGGATTGTCACAATGGATGACACACGGTGTAATTATTCTAATAAATTAAATTTCTTCTATTTATTATAGCGGGTAGATTGGTGACGGTGGAATGCAGTTTGTGGGCGCTCAATATCAACGTAGATCGGCAGAACGCGTTGGATTTCCAAATCATTCTGGGAGAGTCGTGAAATCGCGGTGAGTTGGCGACTATATTTATATTTCTCAGGCACTTATCAATGAGATTATATATTTAATAAGACGCTAAGAAAGCGAGACGAAGAATAATTATTCTTCGTTAGAAATTCGAATAATATTCTCGTCACCAATGATTCCTTTATTATCTTGTATCGTGTTACATTAACAATACAATCGAATGTAGAACATCGGTGCAGAACATCGTGAACAGAGAACGTAATATCAGAGGTATATATATATATGTATATTTATAAAAAAATGGGGTATTATTATCAGTAATAATGATAATTTCTGCAAATTTAATCGATGCAACATCGTGAACGCATATCCGGATTCCGAGACAGTGAAAAACGTAACGTGTTTCTCTCGGGTTCGTCCTTACGAAATATCTCAAGTGAATCGAGAGCGCTGACTCACGCTTTCGATTCTGCTGACGGAGTAGCGGATCGAAATCAGAGCTTCATACAGTTTTATTAATACTTTTATTACATGAACGATAAAATGGTAAATGAAGCTTCGTTTATCGACAGACGTGCGACTCGATGCATGAGAGAATTGTGCTAAACAGAAATAAACGATTGCACTTCTCGTGTCTTGTCCTTTAATCCGAAATGGGCAATTTTCTCCAGAATTTAGATGACGATGAAGAAGGAAATAAAGGACAGAAAATAGAAGGAAGAATGAGAGAGAGGGAGTAAGAAAGATATAGAGAGAAAGATAAAAAAAGGATAGAAAGGAGTAAAAAGATAAAAAGAGAAAAGTAGAAATGAATGTAAAGAAATATAGAAAAAGAGAAGCAGGGTAGAGAGCTAGGCAGAAAAATATCTTGAGAAGAAAGTAGAAAAACAGAGAAAAAGATAATGAAAGATAGAGAAATATACACAGAAATATTGAAGAATAAAATTGAAGAAAAAGTGAGAGTTGGCTAGAGAAAGAGAGACAGAAAGAAAGAGAGGAGAGAAAATTTTAAAAAAGCATAATATTTAATTCGTACAAGAGACAGAATTAGAAAGAGAAAGAAAGGAGGAGGCAGCAAAAGATTAAATATATCTGTCCTTCGAGTCAAGCCACGTGAGTCTGATATTAATATGAGGCTTCATAATCGAGGAACGTTTCCTTCTTGGTGAGATACAACTTCATCTGATCTTATTCCTCCTCCTCTTCTGCTGTGCCGGTCAACATGGCAATTAAACTCGGAGTATCGATGAAACCCTTATCGTCAATGAACATCTGGTCGAAAGCGTCATCCACTTCCCTGGGTGTAAATTTCTCGCCCCACGTCATCAGAGCATGCCTTAACCTGACGCGCAAGCATAAAAAAATCATTGTATACACTGTGTACCACACATATGCTAGTGCATCTTAATAAGAACGAATAAGGACGTAATCAAATATCACCGTACCTTTCGCCATCGATTTTGCCATTATCGTCGAATGTCTTGAAGGCATTGATTACAACGTCGTCGTCGTCAGCACCTGTTAAAGCGAACAAACATTAGTTCTTCAAAGTTCATTCATTTCACATATATATGCCGATATTGAAGTATCACGCGTACCTGATCCTGACATACGAACAGCAAACAGGTTTAACAACTGAGTGAAGTTGATGGGCGCCGGAGCCTCGTTGAGCATCTCTTCGAGCTCCTTGTCGGTTGCGAGTCGTCCAACGGAGTCGAAAGCTGCGCGAAGATCATTCTTACCGATAATACCGTCCTTATCCGCGTCCATCAGCTGGAATGCCTGTGAACACGCCCATGAAAAGCTTTAACTCCCTATTCTCACTTGATCATCATTATCTCGACTAGTTTCGCTTCTCTAAGTTCTCCTGCCCGGCTTTGATTGATATCGTTACTTGTTAATTTTAATATGTTTTTTTTCCCGGTTCAGTGATGTATCGACGTTTTTTTTTCTTGATAAAGAGAACAAGATCACAAACTTCATATCTTCTAAAGGGATCTAAAGAAGACGGATGTGTGTAATATATGTGTACAGATTCTTCGTGCCGTACCTCCTTGAACTCAGCCACCTGTTTCTGTGAGAACATGGAGAAGACGCTGGAACCACTGCGCTTGGCCTTGCGACTGCCGCGGCTGCTCGCCCTGGCGGAACCAGATTCTTTCGGTGTGCCCGTAGGGGTTGCTGGTTTCTCTTCTGCTGCAGGCTCGGGTTCAGGTGCTGGAGCCGCCTCCTCCTTCTTCTTGGTCTTCTTCTTCTTTTCCTTATCCGCCTGTGTGGTATAATATAGTTTAATATTATGTGATACTTCTCTTGCCAATCATTCCACAATTGAAGTATTATTCACTTATTTCCGAATGTATTTCCAAGCTCATTTTGTGAGCTTTTTGTAGCTCCGCATGATATAATCGAAATTAAATATAATTATAATGAACTGTTGATGATATAATGAATTGTTAAAAATGTATATTTGCATTGACTTGAAAGTTAAAGAGAATTCTAAGCGCACCGAAGATATTTCCGACTTTCGATGATTTTATCTGATAAAATCAAGTTAAGAATCAACCTCTTCGTCTCCAAATGCTTTAATATTTAATATACAATCGTAAAAAGCGTGTAAAAAACAATTATAAAAAATATAAGAGCGAAAAATTTAATTAATTTAAGCAATTATATATTCGCGTTTAACAAGTACAAAATCTATTTTGTTATTCCGCAAATAATTGTCGGGTTAAACGAAAAATCATGTGAAGAACGCGTTTCTCCTTCACATTGAACATTTTCATGAGGGACAAAATGAGAATCGATTTAAAGTATAAAAAAGTTGAAGAAGAAACAAAGTTTTAATGTGTAGAGACTAGATGATTTTCATTAACACACGTGCCGATTGGTTTTAACAAAAACTCGATGAAAAGTGAGACGGTGACCCGGTCCACTTATCGGGCGAGAAAATTTGCGAGGCGCGGCTCGTTAGTTACTAAAAATAGAATCGTTCCGTGTGAGTCGCGGAAAAGCTGCCAGGACGTATATAGAGCGACTGTCCGGTTACCGTGCCGCCTCTCGAATTACCTTTGTTACGTAATTATTGGACCGTTAGAGTCGGACAATTTATTCGGCCGGCCGGAAGATTGTCTATCGCACGAAGTACATGTTGTAATTGTTTCTTTCTTTTTAGATATCAAGAAGAGATAATCGGATATTTCTTTTGTCCGTTGTACTTTGAAATTTTGAGTGGCGAAGAAAATCACTGTCGCACTCCATCGTCACAAATCCACAATAGCAACAATACTCCGGCAGCACCTTCATCATCATCAACTCATTGCCGTCGTCATCATCATTATTATCATCATCACTTTATGTAGATCGCTCGAATGCACTGCGCGTAGTCCATCGCACGTATAATCCACCGTCGTGTGATGCGCGCGTATATTCGCAATTTGGCAGTGTTCCTGTTCCGTGGTCATCCCGATCACATACATAATTTTCTCGCGTTTCCCCGCGTCCGCCGAACGGAAGATCGACATGTGTAGAGTCTCGCTTCTACAGCCGCAGTTAGCCGCGAGATCGACCGATGTGTGGCGACCGAGCGCGGAGATGCCTCGACGGAGACGTCGGTACTTACCATATCTACGAGTGGTTTCTAAGAGGAGACGGTACGAGATGGTCACGACGAACCAACTGTCCGAATCATAGAGCTGAACTTGTCTAAGTAACTTTTGTGGATCTCCCCCACCAGAGAAGCGCGCTCGGCCTGAGCAGGGGTGCGCTGCCCGGGTACAACGCCACAACGTCTATCTGACCATATTTAGTGCGAGTCGCCTCAAAATAGCGTCCCTTTCGACGTTTCGACTGAAACAGTTTGCCGGGGAGAGTGTAGAACTGCCGCTGCCGAAATGACGGCCTCCTCCAGCCTCTCGCGGTGTCGTGATGCCGATTATCCGAGTTCCGATCGTGCGTTCTCATGAGCAAGTCCCATTTGGTGCGACGATCGTCATTGTGTCAATCATGATCTTCTTCCTCTTCTTCCTCGCCTCGTGACACCAATCGTGTGAAGTAATGAAGCTATAGGGTTGCGTTTTCATCTCGACCTTACGATTAGTGACGCTGTATTAATCCTGCTAATTCAGTCTACAAGTTTATTCGACTCTCATTTCTGTCTCCATATTTTACAGCAATTCCGTAACCGAACATTCCAATACATTCTTATATTTGTAAATATTCTATTTATAAATAAATGTTCGTGCAATGCAAGGGACGAATGTATTTGATTAAAATATGGAAACGTGCAGGTGATCACAAGTAATTCAAAGGTACTACAAGGAAAAGTCGCTTATTAAAAAATTGGAAAATAACAGATCAATCGAACGCAGATGGAGACTAACAGTAATAAGTAGAAATGCTTTGAGCATATATCATGATATCATAATGATTTCATGTTTGGCAATCTGTTGGGAATACCTCGACACGTAATACTATTCGTGCACGGGTTTTCAGTTCGTACCGCGATATCGGAAGCACGTGGATACCGAAAATAACTGTCCGACATATTCAAGAATGCACATATGTGTTTCTATATATCGTGTACAGTGTGTTACAAAATTTCCATGATATTTCTTCCTCCTTCTCTTCTTTTTGCAAAATTAAAATCGTTTCTTTTTCATTGTATATTTAATTGCAAATTTCTATATAGACTCCGTTTCACTATTATTAGAAGAATATATATGAGTACCCTTATCGAAATATCATACTAAGAATCATTGATAATTACTTATTTTCAGTATTAAAAATACTGGATAATAAGTAATTATCAATGATTCTTAGTATGCTATTTCTATAAAGGTAGACAAATATATATATGAGCAAACACATTTAACAATGCAATTTACGGACATCTATTTATGTATAGGTAAATAATCTATTTACGTACAAGTTCAAATATCGCAATACATCGATATTCGTATTACGTTACATGCTTAATTGGATCTCGAGGAAAACGCGCCAAATAGTTACGTATGAGATATATAAATAACGGTAATCTAACGAATTGCAATACATGACGTGATTATTGCATACAATTGACGTGTAATTTAAAAACTTTTATTTAAAGAACACGTTAATTATAAAACACGTGTAATTTAAAAACTTTTATTTAAAGAATACGTTAATTATACATGTGACGAATTAATTTAGTTTCTCCATCTTCGTTTGATTAGGACTAGCTTTTTAATTGTCTACTCACATAGTAAAGTCGATTGTCGATCTGATTGCTCTAACTTTTTTAACGTTTATGTTGCGTCTACTTCAAGAAACTTATAAAATAGGCTTCATTTATATTTTCGACTCTTTCTTCTCAAATTTTCCGTACACAAAATTATTACTAGAATTCGTATAAAAATAAAAGTATCGACAACAAAATTATTACTAGAATTCATATAAAATTAGGAGTACCGACAATAAAAATATCTTCGGTAGCGGCGTGTTGGATGCGCTACGATAGATGTTAAAGTCTACAATAAATATATTTAATAAGAAAATTATCATTCGATTGATATATAATTAATGCGTGTGGTAAGTGTTACCTCTGTCATTTGGATCACGCACGCCGCACTGTCGATGTCCTAAGGTGCTTTTCCTTTTCGTCGCTACGTATCCTGGAATATATAAACTGGGAGCCTCGAGTTTACCGCTGGATATAAGTTTGCTAAAGTCTTGCTCCAATATGTTAGCAATTGGACCTATACAAATAAAGTCGTCCGTAAAGTAACAGTAAAATTACGCTGTCTGGGAGTATAGACACTCTCACCTTTGAAATGTAGAAGAAATTGAATGCATGCGCCGTTATGTAATATTTTGGTCTTTCTATTATCGATAGACAGCATCCATTCGGGGATGCCCATCACTTTTCTCACATCCTCCAAAAACTGCGCCCTACGGAAAGGATTAAATCAACAAGTATACTTATTGTTAAATTCATGTGATAAATTTTATATCCGATGATTTATATTTCTGTTTCAAATGCTTAGAGAAACAACTTACACCACAAATCGCGGTGGTTTTCTAATATTCGCGTATTTCACGATGTCGTTGTCAGGCTCGATATTCGCGCAGGAGTATCTGTTGGTACCAAAATCTTTGTCGAAAATTACGATGGATCTACCCAACGCGGAAATCGGTCCACCCAGGGGGAAATTTTGATCTGTGAATACTTGTCGCTCTTCTCCGATATTAATGGGTCCTAGACGAGACGATATGTCTCCGACGTAACATCGCAGTGGTAAATCCGGGCCACATTCTTGTCTGTAGAGATCATCCTAAACAGCCATTGTATAAACGATTATTATACGTACGAAACATTTAATATATTTGAATCCAACATAGATTAATAATTTATCCAGCGTTTATGTACGATAGTTTCGCATTACTCACATTCAACGGATCGGCTAATTGAGTGAAGTAAGGATTCCACGTGTATCCACCCGCCACGCATCGAGTATTTTCCACTTTCACCGCGGCGTCCACACCCACGGGATTTACATATATAGCCCAGTTATGATTTCTCGTCTAAAATCATACATATGTAATTAACGAGCACATTAATGCGCGCAACACAGATCCATCTCATAGGATTTCATGCTTACAATATTGCGATCGTGTTTGCCGGGATGACGTAAGTTTACTTCGATCACCGTTTCGCTTTGACTGCCATCCTTATACACGAGCTGCGTCTGCAACCGGCAATATTGTTTTAAAATAAGTTCCTATCGTATGCTCTTCTTTGCAAGATATTTTTACAGCGCTGGCAAAACTACCATTCTTATGTAACCGTACAAAAAGCCGTGCGGATGATGGAACGATGCGATAGCACGCAACTCACTAGCATCGGTCGGAGAATATCCTCTCTCTACAGTAGAACACGCCCACCTGAATGTAAAACCACAGATTTAATAGAATGAGTCGATTATTCGAAATAGCGCGACAAAGATTCTTTGATAAATGAAAACGATTTCCTTCTTATTCTAACATACTGATGTAAAAATTTGCTGATCATAAATCGGTTACCTCAAGTTCTTTTCCTTCTTATGAATCACTATACTGCGTCCCAGAATGCTTCTCGGTCCAAATAGCGGTAACATCGTATCGTTATACGTCGATATGTATCTTTTCTTGTTATCCAGAGTACCAAATTTTCCGCTCAAATCACCCATCTCGTAGTGATCCAGCGTACCTTCCTCCGCCGCTGGTACGTCACTTATATTGACACCCAATGGATTCCAGTGTCCGTACAGCGATGTTCCTTCGCATGGAAATTCCAAGTCGTATTCTACAGGTGTCTGAAAGTGAGCGAATGCTTATAATTTACATTTAAATTGACGAACAGTCTTTGAGAAAAATCTATACAAAAAAAAAAGAATAGAAAAGAATCAGCGATATAATGAACGACAATATAGAATTTCGTTCAATTTTAGAAGACTTTTAGTTACCATGTGTACGTGATATCCGCTCATTTTTCCACCGAGTCCCTCAAGCGACACTTCTGCATTCGTGATATCGTACTCGGTCTGCTGCAAGAGCTCTAATTTTCCTCTCAGAGATATTTGTTCACCATTTCCGAACCAATCTCTCGCTACCGCCTTACGTCGATAAACTCCGCCGATACTGAAAGCGAAATTATACTTTTAATGTAATAGAATTTAGCACGTCGACTTATTCTTATTTATTGTGCAAGTACATGGAACAAGCCAGTCGATCTCCCCGTGCAACCGGACCGTGATCGTCGTAAATAACTAAACTCTTGCCGAACAATGAATGGGGCCCTGATAAGGGCAACATCGTGTCCGTAAAGAGTCGTCGAGTCAATTCCGAGGCGTAGAGCTTTCTACCGGCAATTTCGAGCACACCGTGTCGTGTTAAATCGCCCAAGCGACATAACGAGATTTCTGAGCTCGAACAGGGTTTATCTGGGTTCCAATCCACCTGAAATATATTTATTTCTTACAAATGAACTCAAGTCGCGCACATATAATTTAGATATCTCAAGAAAGAATAATTCAAAGTAAGATAAAATAATCAAGTTCACATAAAAAATAACCAAGTTCGTTATTTTAAGATCAGTGCGCGCTGATTATCATAATTAAATTCTCGGGAAATTATCAAAAACTAACAAATTGTAAATTAATTAATTTTAATTGGTTATTCCTACCTTATGCGGATTATAGGGCGATCCTGTGCTCAAGCACCGACCCGTCCAATTGTAGAAGTCCTTTCCCGGCGGGTTGTCGTGCACCATCCATCTGAGTCACAAAATTTCACCGTTAATTCCGTTACCTCTTCAATGTAAAATTATTTTCCTCTTTGTCTCATTAACTTGATAAATTTACCTGTGCTCCGCAGAGTTGTTTACTGCATTGCCATCCGCGTGAACGAGATGTTCTATTATTATAGTAGTATCCATCTCGGGTTCATTCTTAGGCTGTCGAAAGAGTATTCGCCCGACTATGGGATATCTAAATACTACTTCCGTCGTATACATCGGCATTTGCCAGTCGGTATGTGGTACATAATATGCGAACGTGCCACATACCCATGGGATTACGCCTTTATTGTCAGTCTCGTTATATCTAACAACGAAAATTTCTTTTTCCAGCATCAATCAATGAAAGTGCCTTGTGATATCACAAGTGCAATATAATTAGATAGATACGCGCATGATTGATTCGTTTTATTGTAATGAGCTTATTAAATTATTTGTGGTAGATTACTTGTAAAGCACCAAAGATCTGTGAACGATGCTGTGAATCCCGGAAAGCGGTAAATACGTATCCCAATAGATCCCGCTGAGTTTAGCGCTCCCGGGTAAAATGTCGTTATGGTAAGATCCTTCCTTTCGTCCTTGCAGCTTGCCAGACAAATCACCGATGGCATATTGATCCTGAGTACCGAAACCTATTTCATTCAAGCAATAAACATTTCTAGTATTATCTTTATTACTATCATTTCATGTTTCTTCATAATTCTGAATTTTTTATTATTGGTTTACCTATTTTTTTATTATTGGTTTAGCTTTCTTTAATTGATTAATCTCTGCGATATTCAAATACATAATTTATTTTTAGATTATTGCAGCTATTATACCTGCCGGCGGAGTGGTCTTCTCATCGATGTTCAAAGGATTGTACAATTTCTTGGTCGTTAAGCATGGATCAACAGTAATCCTCACATTTCGCGCCGGTTCCGGAGGTAACTCGTGTATCCTGTAGGATGCTACTTTAGTAGCGTATCGTAGTCTGGTTTCCAAATCGTTAATAGTTGTCAAAGAGACGTTGACCCATGTTGGATCGAACGGTGTTTCTTGAATCACCGTTATCTTGCCTTTAATTCCATGCGAATTGATCACAGCCCTGGATATTATTTTCATAAGGAATTTTGTCGTGGATATTACACATAGAACAGGATTGTAATACAAATCTTACTTGATGTGTATCGGCTTGCGGTGGTTGATCTTGGCACAAGCTAAGAACGAGTCTTCGTGTACGGGATGAAAGATGACTAGATACAAGTGGCGATGTGGACCGAGCAGATCCGTCGGCAATAAAGATAAGTCGGGATCTCTGTAGAAAGTTTTGTATTTTTCTTGCGTATTGGCGGCGACTTTTACTTTGCCTAGGCGCACGTCGACATCTCCGATGGACTTCCCGACGCCGACGTTGTTAGGATCAAATACGTTTTGCAGGATATTGCAGTTGTTTTTGTCTAAACGTACAAGAATTTTTAATGAAACCACAGTACGTCGTATAGATGGAGAAAATAATTTCAGTTCGAGTAACTCAGACGAGGATCAGACGAAAAAATCGTTGACAAGAAATTATATCTTTGTCACTATTACCGAAATCGTCTGAACATTCAGCTGCGTTAAAATTCGATTGAGAAAATTGAGAGTTATTTTGAGAAAAATTTTAAGTTAAATTGAGAATTACGCGATCGATCGTCATTAATTGAGCACGTAACGTTTGCAATTACGAATACTGACCTTTGCCGGTTTCGAAGATGTCGGTGACGTATATCTTCCAATGATGTTCGGTATAATTTAACATTTGTAACTTTTGCTTATGCACGTGGTGCAAGTTCGTGTGAATAATCGTGTCGGTAGATTCATCGCCCATCTGACCGCCCAACCATCGGAACAAAACTGTTCCCGCTACGGGACCATAAAAACGCGCCTGGGCAAACTTCTCGATGTTTTTCTCGAGTACCTGAAGGAAGTCCGCGCAATCATATAACGGAATTATATAATAGGAAGCGAATACTTAATTGCCAGATTGTTATTGTGGATTAACGAGTTACCGTAATCGAAGCGCATATTGTCCTCGGTGAGTAAGTGTCCTTCAACACCAAACTTTTTCCCCACAAACCCGTTTTTCCAGTTAAAAACAAATCTGTGACTTCTATTGAGCCTGTTTGATTCGTCGGTAATTCAAGAGGTCCGACTCTTTCCGTCAAGTCGATGATGCTGCGAATGAAACGAGGCAAAACGGTAATTGACATTTCCTAAATCTCGAAAAATTTTTATCAACGCAACTATATTTTTTCTGATATTATTTTCATCATTCTAGCGTCCGACATTATGTTTTTACCTTTCCCCGACGTGTCGTTTGTCGCATCTACCCTCGATAATTGTATAATCGACCGGAAATTGGTTGACAGACCAAAGCCATTGCTGATCCGGATATTCCAAGGTCGCTTTCAGAGAATATCGAATTCGCACCGAGGACTCCGTGGCTCTCTCAAATCGTATCTCGCCATGAAGACCACCGGAGGATACGTACGCGGCTAGTCTAAGCGAACTCGCGATAGTCACTGTCACAAAATATTCCATCATATTCGATAGTTCTTTAATTAACATATCGACATTTAATTCACTTTTCACGACTACTTTGACTTGCATTCGAGAGATTTACTATTTTTCCCGAATATTCAGAATTATTTTCCTTTAGAGATTTAAAGACAATTTTCTCTTAACAAAAATATCTATGCGCTTCAAGTAATTTTGAATTAAAAAAAATCAATTATTGAAAATAATTAAAAATAATTCAGGATTTTCTATTGAGCTATCGCAGAATTATTACAAAGTTGCAAATATGTAGCAAAATTATATTATCTGTCAATTAATTAACTCGTTAATAATTTCTCTTTTTCTAAGAATATAAAAATAAAATGCAATATTAAAATATCAATAAAATATCAATAAAATAGAATAAAATAAAATATCAAAATAAATTAAACTAAAATGAAATTCAGTTTTCCCAACTCCTCTCTCATCTCATGACGTTTAGATATATACCGTTTCCGAGTGGCACAGATGGAAACGGAAACGCGCTTTCACTTACCACAGCAACAGAGTAACAGGAGCGACCGCATCACTGTTAACGAACATTGGAAAACGATTGATATTTCTTTCAATTTTCGAGCTTAATTGCGATAATCTGGCGCGAGTATCGTCAAAATGAATTGCAGTCTGCGCAGTAAGAAATCGCGATTGAACAATGAGACGACCGACCAGACTGGCTGAAGTAACGGTCCGTTACTTTCTTATTCCTTGAGCAAAACTGGTGGGAGTGGTGCAGGAGTGGAAGCGAACGATGACCTCTCTCTGAAAATGAAAGTGTCGGTGGCAAAGAATGCGAACTGATGATGATTCTGATAAGTTCGATTTCCGGCGCTTAGAAATGAGCGGAAAAGGAGCTTGCATCAAATATTGCGTACTTATTCGTTATTCTATCTAACAGGTTATTTATATGCATTTTTTTGATTCGATTCTTCTTCAAATATAATTACAGAAAATAATGCGGCACTTTTCCAATATACAATTATATTCAATATATCTATATTTTAATATTAAAAGAAACTATTTCTTTTAGATTAATGGAATAATTTTACATTTGGTTGAAACTAAATATTTACAATATGCTATTAGATAATACTCAGTACTAGTCTTCTCAATCCTAAATTTAATTTTCTGAAATACTTTACGGAACACTTGTTAAAGTTATGTGGATAGATAGAACTCTCCCGCTCTGTGACCGATTTTATGAAAAAGACTCAGAATAGCCACCCTTGAGATTCTCCTTGCCCCTATTTAAAATGTCGGTCATCTTTGATCTTCGCCGATTGGTTCACTGCCGTAATCAACATTGAGCAGTAAAAATTCATCAAATCCAACCAATCAGCGCGTATCACAATTTTAACACTCGCTTCGCTTCTTATGGAGGATTCACACCGCGTCCGATATCCGACGTACGATATCCAATAAGAGAACAGCTTTTCAATGGAGAATTGAATTCTCTATTAGAAAACTGTTCTCCTATTAAATATCGGACGTCGTATGTCGGACATCGAACGCGATGTGAATCCTCCATAAGAAGTGTTAAAATTGTGATACACGCTGATTGGTTGGATTTAATTTAACTTCCCTGTGTAATGGCAACATTAATTAAAACGTTAATATTGAAACAATATTTGAAAATTAGTTAAAAATCAATGAAATTTTAAAAATCCCACCAAACTGACTGCCTGGCGCCATCTAACGGTACAAGCGAGAACCCATTCGCGCAAAAAATCAGTCGGCTACCAATGGTTCGAATCTTGGCTAAATATTAGTTTAGAAAATTTTCTGCTACGAGCCACTATTGTACTGTTCTGAACAATCAAAAATGTGTAGTTGCATTCGTGATATCCTAACCTCAACTTCAGAATGTTTCACGGGTGTGCCAAATAGTCGCTAAAACCTCGGGGAAGGCTGATGGCACGGTGATATCTTCACCAATCCAGAGGAAAAAAAAAAAATGTTTCACGGGTATGTATTTTCGTTTAAAAGGATTACGACAGCTTCTTCTAACTTTCTGCGACTTTTTTCGTTCTTCAACAACGATATTCGATCATTCCGGATCCATTCACTATCTTGGAATCAACGCTAGTCGTTATTTTAAGGTTTGTTTATCCGAACGTACTCTCTGTCGTAGGTGTAAGAAGCTTTGTACCAGCGGCTTGAGGTTACCGATATCATCGCGATGCGCCGGGACGCTGTCGAAGTCGGAGGCGAGGAAGCGCAGGTCTCAGATGTTCGAGGAGGAGAAACAGAGACAACGCTCTCAATTAGGTAGAATCAAGAAGATTGAGGTGAAATATCAGTCGGTGGAGGACGAAGTGGTCCTGGTGATGAACCGCAACATGTCCACGCCGTACGACTGCGCCAGACACATCTCCGAGAGCATCGCCAATATGTCCGCGATCGCCTTCGTCGACGGCCATATCTGGGACATGCATAGACCGTTCACAGACAACTGCGAACTGCAGTTAGTGACCATGCAGTCTCCACAAGTAAACGCGATCAACAATGCCTTCTGGCGAACGTGCTCGTTGATCTTGGGTGCTGTAGCGGACGATGCCTTCAAAGATAATGTGAATATGCATCTACACAGCTTTCCCTATCCTGTAATCCGCTCTGGTAGTTTTATATACGATGTATTCATTGATCTGCCAAACTGGCAGCCAACTATGTCAGAATTACGTGCTCTGTCTGCGTCATTCATCAAGTTTGCAAATCGTGAGCTGCCACTGGAGAGACTCACAGTATCTTGCAACATCGCCCAGGACATGTTCCAGGTATGAACTGAATAAAATAACACATTATGATTTTATACTCAAGAAAATTATATACAAGAAAATTATATACTACTAAGAATTATATACTCTTGTACAAACTGAATCAAATCTGAGACTAATGCTACTCTTTCTAAAGGTGGAATCGACATTATGAATTAGTAAATATTCATACACAACGATATACTTTCATACATTATAAAATGTTAATGCATCAAATAATATATGAATATATTCATAATTTATATTTTTATACATTATAAATTACACATTATGAATTATGTATTTATAATTCATAATATATTGTAAATATTCATGTACAATGATCCAACGTTTATGTCGACTTAGTCATTATAAATTTCAAGATTGCTTATTAATAACTTTATTCTTCTCTGCTTACAGGACAATCCCTTCAAACACCAACAGATACCTAATATTGCCAAAGATAATGGCAATGTGATATTATATCGTTTAGGTGATCATGTAGATGTCAGCAAAGGGCCCATGGTAAGTCACAGCGGTCTGATAGGGCGTGCCAGCGTGATGGCCATTCACCAAATCACGGACGGACCTGTGGACGGTTTGTATCGCTTCCAAGGTCTCGCTTTGCCCAAAGGTATCATGCTCAATCATTTTGCTTATGGTATCTTGGAAAATCGCGCAAAAAAACTTAATACTGTCACATGGCAGCCGCAAACAGTACATGAAATTATGAACAATGCAACAGCGTCTGCGAACTAAAAATATTCATCTCACAATCTAAGTAAATTTTCGTGTAAATAAATATACTCTTTAGTTATTACTTCTGTGTAATTCTTTGACTGTAAGGCCTGCATCAATAGTTGTCACTTGAAACTTGTCTCACGTGAGATACTCAGATTTGAATTTAGAGTCAGACGTACATTTTTTAATCGTGGTTACAAATGTGTCACATGTATGATTCAAAAAGTAAAAACTCTAATCTAACGCTAAATTCAGGTTCAAGTATCTCATATGAGACATGTTTCAGATGACAACTAGTGATATAAACTTTAATTTCGTTCGTGATTAAGATGTATTAGTCTTAAAAAAACCTTTGTAGTTCGAAAACTTGGAATAAAGTATTAGGGCATATTTTTTATTCAATTTCTCACGTACTGTATTACTTGTTTCTCTCAATCGGTTCTTGGCGAGAATCTCAAATCTATTCTATGTCGGTAACAAGGATAGATCATCGAATACAACGGGATTCGGATAAAACGTGCACGAAAAACATTTTATTTTATCTTCGGAATAACAGTAAAAGCTGTATATAATTGCGTGGGCGTATATTACATGTACGAATGTACACAGGATATCTCGCAATGATCGCTTAATAAATAAAACACATACGACTCAACTATTTTGTGAACGGATCCGTCGTGGACTACACACCTCCCAAACGAAGACATTGGGCAATCTGTTGGCTTTCGAAGCCGCGCACTTCATGCTCAACTTCAAATACAACTCTTGACTCGAGTTAGTACCACAACCTTCGAGATCGTCATATTTTAAATTCGCTCTCGCTGCCAATGGTGCCAATTCTGAGGAACACCTGAACGAGCAATGAAAATAGGAAGCTGATTCGTGCGAAACTTCTGCCAATTAATACTCGGAATAATTAATATGAAATTGTTCGAGAATGATTCCTGAGATTGGAAAAGTTCCGCGATACTTCGAATTTCTAATCTCTACAATTGATTGTTAGATCACCTCAACTCGACCGTGATGACCAGATCGAACTGAGGTGGTCGATTGGTTTCCTGCTCGAGTTCCCTGCCGGTGTTCTCCACGTTGCTGGGTCTTGCATGCTTGAACTTGTAATCGTAGGCGCACTTGCTCATATTGCCATAATAGAAGAACTGGCCACCGTATTCCCCGTATCCTGAATATATAGAGGCCGGTAATAGTTTTCGGGGTGGTATCGACGGTAGCTAAAACACAATTTGCGAAGAATCGTTAATTTTCAATTACTTTTACGCAAAGGATGCGTATGATTTTATTAATTTTTAGTTTTCAAATTATATAATTCTCGAGTGAATTCCACGCGTTACAATCGATAGGGACATCTCGTTGCGATTTACGAACCGTCACTCGAAGATCAAGCTTGCGTTTGTACTGCAGCTTATGGAGGAGATGTTTGTTGAAACTGCCGACTAGCCGGCGCAATCTCAGATACATGTAACGTTGCTTGTCCCGCCAGCAGTGCTCGTCGCTCGCGTTGGGCACCTGCAGGCACGTAAACCACGTGCGTTTTAGGATGTATCTGAGTTGCATACTGACCTGAAGATAAGATTTAACAAGATGAAATTATTGTAAGATAGAATCATGCGTAAGAGACCCTAGAAAACGCAATATTTATGGAATATTTTGATCTGAATGATTATGACTCTGCTTGAAACAAATTTATGAAATTTGCTTCCAACGGCAAAAAATAATATTGAAGCATTCCTTACCACAGAGTTACTTGCTCTTGATGAGGTCCAGAAGGATAGCAACTGTCGCCCTTCTCCCAGACAGTCTAATACATCGACAATCTTACACCCCGAAATCAGTGCAGATCTACAATTTTACAGTTAACAATTTTTATTATTAGCTATTTATTAACGAGCATAGAGACAGATAATCAGTTAAAATAATTATTACATTAATCAATGCACTAAAATTAAAAATATCAAAAATAATAAGTTATTGCTAGAACACTTAGTGGAAGAACACGAATTAATGGAAAGAGTGAAGCGTCACCTGTTCACCCTACGCTCAGTAACTTTCTCGAAGTGATCCATGAAATTCTCGCAGCTACGTACGAAAATCTGCAGGTTAACGTAACTGAGAACGATCGAGGATCCTCGGCAAGGATCCAAGACCGTCTGTAATATGCAGTTCAGATTGTCGAGAACTCTGCCACCGTAGAAACAGGAAATGGGCGAGCTGTGAGATCTTGTGAATAGAATAAATCATAATAAAGAAAGAGGGAGAACAAATTAATTTTCTTTTTAAGTTATATATCTACGTAATCTTCTTAAGATATTATTATCGACAATGATAGAATTAATGAGGATTTCCCGAGTTTCTAAGTCATTTGGAAGACTGAAAATTTGGAAACCTTGGATGCGTGTATCGCCACGTAACTGCCTTCAGCATGCGATACTGCGATCGAATAAGCTCCAGTGTATAGGAAGTCCCGCTGTAGTTCTGCATCTCAATGTTGGTCTTCGCACTATTCACGAGATCCTTCATGCGCTTAATCGCGACTTCCAGCTTGGTGCCAGTCACTAGGAATTCGCTATTCAGCACCGTAGCGGCAATATTGTAACAACGTCTATGGAAAAAGGATCAACGGGAGAAAATATGAAAATGGATCGATGAAGCTTTTGTGAAAATACGGATCCTCCGGAAGTCGGATCTCAAATTGAGCATCCAAGATCAATGATTTTCATTCAAGTCCAGGAATTCAAAATAGTTAGGTTTCCAAAGTTGCAAAATATTAAAAGTTTATAATCTAGTTATAAAAATATTCGTATGAGCTATATTTAACAAAAACTACAGTCTCTTTAACTTTACAAATAAGTAGTAAAACTAGATTTGCAAATCACAATTATTACAATTTATTTTTTCTTTGAATACTTATTCTATCCATATGCATATTCAAATAACTTCAACAGTGTTCCATGATTTCGAGCTAGTTCTTATCACGAGTTATCCTTACTGTGCTGATAATTTACCTGGATACCAGACGAACGGTGCAGGCGACATCGTGCAAAGATAGCATTCTCAAGATGATGCCAAAAACTTCTGGGGGCAGAGTGTCTAACGTGCACCGCGTGCTCTTGTGCTCCTGCGCGTTTTGAATGCATCGCAAGGATACTCTTCGGCGTTTCGCGCGCATTTGGTTCCTCTTGGACGTAATTTTGTCTTAAAAATCCGCGATCGCGACCAAGTGCAGACCGATCGCGATCAATCACGAAGATCACGTACGTTCTCGCATAGCGATCACGTTACGAGATTTCCAATTGGTCGAGAAGGAAAATAATTCCTGAAATTTTGTGAATCCTTGGAGAAGCGAGGACTCCTGAATTTGCGCGAAACAAAGTCGCCTCTACTTACGATTTCACCATTACTAAGATACCTTCAGAATACTGAGGACAAATGAGGAGCTGTGTTCCAAAATGGAGATTTAACTTTTTTTTTCAGATGACATGAGAATCTGAATGAACACGTTAATCCTTTGAGCTTTCTGCAAACTTTTACATTGCTCTGACTGATCGACTAACTTCCTATGACAGTGTAAGATTTTTTTATTCACAAAAGTAATACTATATCAGTCGCATGCTACATTGATTACTTTAAGATTCTTAATTAATTATTTCTCTCTTCTGCATTATTCCCTGTAATTACTTTCTCGAAATTATTTTTATCTTAAATCTAAAGATATTGGATAAAGGTTTGGAGATAAAATATTAAAAACTTCTTATGGAATATCTCATGTGTTATTTGTAAATTACGCAAACACAAAATAATAGCATTACTTATTCAAGATTTATTTTTTCGACATTTCTCATGAAGTATAGAATAGCAGGTCAAATATATAGTCAACACAATAACCAGTTCCACTTATCCTTATTAAAGTATGTCGAATATATCATTTAATTTGGAAATTCGTCATAGTTATCTGTAATATATCACTTTCTGGTCGCAGAAAATTACCGAAATTGCAAGCATTCAAAGATTTGAGTTTCAAGATCCAAAATTCTAGGCTACTAAAGTCTAAAAAATTTAGGATTCTGAATCTCACTTTTTATGCGGCCCGCGTTTCGAATACACCAAGTTTCAATAATCACAATCCTGAGGATCTTAAATTCTGAACAGCCAAAGCTGAGAACTCGACATCCCAAGAGTTTCATGTTTTAAAAATCCGATTTACCAAGTATCCAACAAAGATCCAAGAATTGAAGTTTTCAAAGATCTAACATTATAAGAGAATGCAATGTTCTAAAAACTTGGAGTTTCACGGATGTAAAGTTCTCAGAGAATCAAAGATTTCTTGAGAATTCGAAGTTCAAGGATCTGAAGCTCTTAAGGCGACGAAGGCCTGTTCTCTTTAATGCTTTATGCGCTGAAGTTCACCGGCATTAACAAGGTAAACTTAGTTTGATCGATGTTTTCTTCGGCCGCGCAGGGTCCGATGCTATCCAATAAGCTCTGTATCGCATTCTGATTGCCCGAGTGCTTCCTTTTGGTGTGCTCACGACGATGCTTGAGTTCTTTGAACGTCTTGCCGCACTGCTCGCAGATGTAGGGCCTTGCTGCCTCATGAGAACGCACGTGACCCTCAAAATGGCTCTTCCTAACAAACTTCTTACCACATTGGCCGCAATCGAATTGAAAGCGACCTTCGTGAGCAGCGACATGCGAGCTGAGAGTCCACTTGGTCTTGAAGGTTTTCGAGCAATAATCGCACCTGATCTTCGAATCGCCCTTGTCTGATCTTCGAGGCTCTTTCTTTAGTAATAACATCTCCTCCAACAAAAATTCGTCTGTCTCAGTGGAGTGGTCCTTCGGCATCGTGGACTTGTCCATAGACATTTGACCCTGAAGCAGGGCCTTGGCATGATCCTCAAGCTTTATATGGCCATTTCTCGGCGATGGCTGTAAAATTAATAAATATATGTAAAGAAAGAAAATAATGAAACAAACGCGTAGAACATAACCTTCCATTCCTTTAAATACTGTAATGTCTTATTTTTATTATCACTTTAATTCAACAGAAAACTTGTTTTATTTATGCTAGTTAGGAGTTAGATAATGAAAGGATATAAATCACACCTTATAGTGCGAGGCTAAATGTGCTCTGAGTTTATCTTCGTCATTGTACCTCTTCTTGCAACGTGGACAGGGATAGCCACTCTTATCGTCTATACCTCGTAGAAGAGCACTCCGAAGGGTTGCGTCATTCGTGATGTTCTCCATGTCAATCTTATGTTCGTCGATCTGCAGCTTTTCTTTGCGCATCGCATGTCGGATGATATGCCGTTTCAGATCATGTGCTCTCGAGAACGCTCGCCCGTAGCGCGAGCATGTCGGGTAAGGGCAACCCTTTGTTCTATCATTCCTTGGACTGAGTAAAGAGATATCTTTAAAATTTAACTTTCCCCATAAAAATACGTATAAAAAAATATTTAAAAATTCCGAGTGTCTTACGTGAGGAAAAACTCAAGTAAGGATTATTAATGTAGGCCTGAACATCACTGATAATAAGAGATCATCGCTAAGATCAGTATAAAAAAAATAGAAAAATCAAGATTAATGGGTTGAAAACTACTGAGATATTAAGAATCTTGAACTTAAAAGGAAAATAATAAAAAAGGAAGTTCAATTATTAAAAGATTTTACAATTGATTAATATAGAACTTTATCAAGCTCAGAAATATTATTATAATAAAAATAAAGAATATTCTATATTCTCTATATAAATAAATAAATAAATATATATATATATATAAAATTCAATTTATATATATAGCCCACAAATTATAAAACATATAAGGTGACCTAAGATCTGCTGGATCTGTAGGTTGCAAAAGTTAACAGAAAATCTTCTTCGATCATGAATCCTGTGTACCTTCGAGTGGTATTAGCGCTGGTAGATGTTTGCTTCGAGTCCTTGCTACAATCTTTGGGATTCTTATTGACTTTTTGACTGGCCATTGTAGTCAACTGGGCCGATAACGGTATCACGATGGAAATGGTCTCGTTGGTCCCGGGTGTGACGATGGGACCGACGCGGATTGTTGGCGGTGTCACCAACGGCAAAGTGTTCTCGTTTCCTCTGCTCATATTGATCCTACTCGTGGACAAATTATTGAAAAAGATGAACGGTTAGTTTCCATTATAAATTTGCACATCCATTTGCTTATTCCAATAATCGCTATCCTAAAATTTCTAATAATTATTAAATTGATAATTATTAAGGATAAGTAATAATAATACTATTATTATTATTGATCATACATTTTTTTATTATAAATTGTTAGTCTGGCAACATGTAACAAAAAAGTTTCAATGTAAATTGAAAAACTGTATGCAAGTAGTAATGATATATTAATTAAATTAATGGCAACTAATTTAATTTGATTCCATTAGTAGATTGCACATAAGATGGCCCAAAAATGTGCATTTAATTGATATATCTACACAATAAAAAAAAATGCAGATAAATAATATATCACCATCAAAGAAAAAATAATTCAAAGTTGTACAGACAACAGCTAATATTTATGATATTACATAATACTATACGAAAGTTCTATAATTTAAAATAAGAATCTAATAATATACACGCACACACATATATTATCTAGCTATAATTATAAAGTAAGGTACTTGTAATTAATCGATCATAACTATATAATTACATTGAACAAAAGTTACAGAGAGATACGTTTCTGCGAGACACCCTGTATATACACCGCAAGTTTCGGAAGGGTTAGGGTAAACCGCGATCGATGGTAGGTCGTCTATCCACGCGTATCAGTGACGCGTTAGTTCCGAAAACAAAATGAAACAGCTATGAATTGGGATCGATGCGATTCCGCCGAGTCTAAATTTCGAGATCTCGAAAAAACCTAAAAAAAAATAATCCATGCTATTTCCTACGCAACGACAAAAGAAACTACCGTACCGCATAAGGTACGTTCTTCCGCAGTCGACGGCGTCAGAAGCGCGAACTCGCTGAAATTACATCGGCGTCACCGTCAGACTCGATACGGACACGGCATTATCGTGACGCGTCACGGAAACGTCACGGAGACGCTGCCGACGTCTCACCGAGATGTTTTCTGGCGAGCCAACGGTCGCGAGGGTACGCGTTCGCGCAGTTGGCTCGAAAATGCGACGCGGGACAACGGGAAGCGTGTGCAGAAGGAATCGTATCAGGGAGTTATACTTACTGAATGTCACTGCAGCGTCGCGGAAACCTGGTGGCTCGTCGATGCCGGAGGGCTTCACCACATAACCACAAAAGGGCGCGCTCGAGGACGGCCTGCAGCCTCGTGCCTCGAGGAGGACGCCGAGAATCTATTGAGAGGAACCTCGCTCACGTCGGGATGTCACAGACGACTCGCTGATGCCGTAGGCTCCGCGGGCACAAACCTTTGCGTTTCCTTCACTGAAACCTCTCGGGCAAGATTCGCGATCCCTCCAGAGGAGAATACGACGCCGATGAGAGAGCAAACACGGGGTTTACCGTTAAGCTCGCGAGGATCCCTTCATCCTCGCAAGGAGAAATCGCGCGAACGTGTCCAGCGGACTACGTGGCGACGAAGTGCTCGTTCGTTATATGCACGCGACACGAGGAGCGGCCATCTTGAAGCTACTGAAGCTCGCGTTCCAACTGCTTCGGATAGGTCGCGCCGACTAACGACGCCCGCGAGCGAGTGCGTCGCGCGCTGCGAGCGCTGCGGTCAGCCGAAAGGTCGCACTTCAAAATCGTCCTTCCTCCCGGCCGTATGCATTGTTTACTACTCTTATTTTCTTTCTCTACTTTTGCTCTCGATATCCGAACCGCGATACTTGTTTGAGTTTACAACGGAAAAACGATACCTTTGGAAAGAGCAAAGGTCTTCGTTCTACGTTTTCTTTCATCGATAAAGCTGCTCCTAAATGTAATTTATGAGGCTTCCGATTGACGTTTGAGCATATTTGCAGACATTTTTATCGATATAAAGGTAGTTCGGAAGAAGAGCTGGAGAAAATCAGTGTGCCAATCAAAACCAAACTGACTTAACAAAAATCTGCAAATATGAAAATTACTTGAATGTTACTTTGTAAATAAGTGCAATTAATGTGCATGGGAGTATCGATACCTTTACGTAGCGTCACGAAAATACTTCCAAATTACAACGAGAAGATTCGGCGAGTCGTTCGTCATGATATCTTCAGTTTAACGGTTCGAAAATGGCGCCATCTTTTCGGTCGAAATGGCGGCCGCCCGAATTTTTTCTCTCTACTTTCCGGTCGCTCGGCCGGATTTCTCGTTTGCTTTTCACGACGCGATGAAAGCTACTGATCACGTAGGCCGATTCGAACAGGATGGTGAAAAAAGTTAGGGGAAGCGGGAGCGAATGGAGGAAAACGCGGGCGGAATGCGCGCGCAGACGATGATTCATTCACGAGGGTGTTTCATCCCTTACGGATGATACTCTATTCTTTTTTTTTATCTTGTACGTGATTCTTGTAAACCCGTTTAGCAATAAACGGTCAAATTTAGAGAAAAGAACATACAGGAATACACTTAAATACTAAATTAAATTTAGCTTCAGAACACGCGCAAGAAGAGCAATTATAGTGCGTATGCGATGCGTGGAAGTGAATCAGATATACTTAGCAAATTGCCACGTGCGCCGGTTGCTAATTAGTAATTACATTAGGCACACAAAGGATCATATTGTCATGAACGTATACAGAATGCTTAGTTAGATTTTGCACGAAAATTTCAACGATATTCCGTCTCTCCAACATAAACGCCGTGGTGGCTGTGAAGATATTTTTTGATAATTTTAATAGTATAATAATTTAACTTTTCTTCAAATTGTTTCGTTTCTTTGCTCAATATGTACACTGAAACGTTGATTTGTTTCATATCTATTATCGGTCTTGTATATTTTACAACATATATCAGATTTCTAATCACCTTGATAAATAATTCTGCTGAAATACGTGTAAAAATAACCGTCGAGCGATTCCGGTTCGCCCTGGTCTCACCTAGACGCACGTGACGGCCTTGTTTCGTCATTGCGTTATCAGAGCGAATAGAAATGCATATAGAGACGTGCGCTGAAAGTTGGAAAGAAAAGCTATTCGCCGCGCGAGAACGAATACCGAGAAGATATCTGCATTTATATAAGAATCTCTCGATCCTGAGGAGTGCGCGCTTCTGCCGTTGCGTAACCGTGTCGAACGGAGTATCGCAAGCATATCTATCAAATCGGCGCACTGTAATGCCACATTGGCGTTTTCTAGCTTCGCCTCGCGATTGCATCCCGATCAATTCCAAATCCACGGAGATCCTTGAACGTGTTCCTCCGGAGAGATGCTGGTGGAATCTTGCCGCGTCGAATATTTGTTCAGTTTGATATCGGAAGACGCCCGCGTGATGGTACGCGCGCGCGCACATGCCAAGTGCCGCGTACCTGTAATTAATAATTAAGGCTAATTAAGGCTTCACCCTGCAACCGAATGTGCTCTCACGGTATATCGCGTGTGCGCCCTTCATGAATCGATATTTCTAACTAAATCGTCCACATAGCGCACGCTCCGCGTCATTAAAGCGCCGTGTCCTACCCAGCGAGACGAACTGTGGCATTATAATTCACTGTCACTTGTTAAACGCGGACACAGCCGCGTACAATGACGAGCGAATATTTTCTGTATAACGGAAAAAGATTTCAAATTATGCCGTCATTGTTATTATTCTGTTACAATAATGGGACTGGTATGAGAATGACTCTCTAAATCGAGAAATGTCATTACGTCTGATGAATCAAATTTCGCAAAAAGTTTGAGAATTTTTTTCGATGTCTTTCCTCGTTAAAGAATGATAAGATTTCGATAAGATTTAGACCAAAGAAGAAGGCAATGTCGTAATTTGAAACCCAGGAATTTCATTACGTTCGACAAGACAAGCGATTGATCATCTCGATAATTTCGAGCGAAATAGAAATTCATGTTTCTTCAATGTAATTTAAGCGATTTATAAAATGAGATCGTCTCGTCCTTTCCGGTTGAATGAACAACCGTGAAAGTTTTAACCAGCCGCGGTCAATGTTCCGGAAAGAATCTTTATAAGCTTTGGAACTTATCATCCCGTCTATTTTGATCCCAACGTTTATTCGACCGGATCATTTATGAATAGCCGTAATTACAGCCTGTAAATAAATAAAGCAATTATTACGAGTAACTGTATGTATAAGAAGCACCTGTACGTCACTTCCAATATCCTCAGCTTTCTATCGTCCGTTTATTATCTGACAATGTCGAGTCAACACGTGACCTATATATATATATATATAAGAATTATAGTTGTCTTTTTTATTTTTAATAGATTATATATATATATATATATATATATATATATATATATATATATATATTTATATTAAATTTTTATCGTACGGAAGGATGTATATACGGAAGAAAAACGGACGACTTATAAATATATATAACATATAAAATAAATTACTCTTTCTAAAAATAAAAAAAGACTAACGTTATAAATTATAAAATAAACAGATATAAATAGTTGGTATGTAATGTAACTTAGCATACTGTACATTATACAACGTAAACAAAATACACACTATATACAAATAAAATTTTACATAATGAAACCTAAAAAAGGATCTTCAGAAAGAGCTTTGTACATATTTACATCGTCCATATTTACACAAGCGAGTTTCACCATCGGTCTTCATCGTCATTCGCGATCGTCTTCTTGATCCAGTTCAGGTAATGCTGTATCCTGGTGTACACGTCCGGGTAACCCGGCCTGGCGCAACCAGAACCGAAGGACGTGACGCCGGCTAGCTGCCAAACGCCATCGGCACGTCGACATTGCAGAGGTCCTCCGGAATCGCCCTGAAAACATAAGTGGATGAATGGAGAAAGAAGAATCGCACGTCCTGCTATCAAACTTTCTTTAATACTAACAATTTTTTAAGATTGCGATGTTAGTACCAGAAGCTTTTGGCATGTTTGATACATTAATAAAGCTTTTACTTTATTGATCTTCGAAATCAATCACCATGTTACTACTAAAAGGCTCTGTTACAGTTGTTAATATTGTTAATATTGTAGATCCTCAAAATTATGTTGACTATGTCGGTCGTATTCAACAACGAATTCATTGGACGTTTCCAATATTAAAACCACTCGCCATTGAGAAATTTAGCAACATAAAAACGTCTGTCCTTTTATACGCGCGTATGTATCATTTTGAGATCCTTTCAAGTCGAGGGTAAATGGTCATAGACACGCGAATCTTCGTGACGCGTTTTGCTGCTACTCGCGAGATCCATTTTACTGCGAGAAAGTATACGTGCGGCGTAATTAACACCAAATCGGTACTTTCAGGTAATAAAACATGTCCGCGAGCGATACACTTGACAGCCCGCCTATGTTAACTTGTTTCAATGAATTACACAAGGCGCACAGGGATTTCCCGTCTTCCCCTTTAACGGCAACACGTTCGATTTCAATCGCGTGTAGGCCTGGACTAGCGTGAACGAATTCTTCACTTGGACTTTTTTCCTCGGATACGCGAGAAAAGAAAATGTAAAACAATATTTTCCGTTGAAAAACGGAATAATTACCACGCAACTACCGGTGGAACCGTCAGTGTGACCCGCGCAGAGATGACCCTTTTTGATCGGCACCGAAGTGCTGTAGGCTTGCAGGCACTCTTCGAGATTCAAGAGAGGAACATTGGCCTCCAGAAGAGCAGTGGAGAGCGAAGGCGACGGACCATACCGACCCCAACCAGAGGTCACGCACTGTCCTTCGGCGAAGTCCTCCTCGGGATCAGGAAGGCAAATCGTGCGAACAACCTTGGATAATGGCGCTGATCTGGCGAGCTTCATCAAGGCTGCAATAGCGATATTCTTTCATAATCTTATAAACATTGAAGATTCCTTGACTTTTTAATTGACTTAAGATGAATTTAGATAGCACAGGAATATTTCATGAAGGCACTAAAAATACTGTTATATATTCCGAGTACGTTGGTAGTGTCTTCAAATGACTAACTATATATATTTATTGCACATGTATAATGCATTTATACATGAATATTCTATGAATATGCACAGAATATTTACAAAATGCAAGGTAAAGATTGATTTTGATTTCACAATAAAAAAGGAATATTTTAAGTATTTTATTTCATAAATACGTGTCATTACTGAACATTAATAAATGCGTATTACTATTTGGAACATTAGGGAAACTTTTATAGTTAATGCATAAATGCATTATACATATGCAATAAATAAACCTTATAAATGTTCTAAGTACATTCGTTTCTATTATTCTATAAATATACGAGTCTCTGCGTACAATATCAATTCGAATATTCCGGAATTAATTTGTATTTCACAAGAATATTCATAGAATACTTTGTGCCATCAAGGAACAAAATAAAAATAGATGCAATGAAATAGGATAGACAGAATTTATATGAAGTCAATACAGTTGATGAGATTGGTTCTCATTGATTGATAAAAGAACTCACCTATATCGTGCATGTAATTGTTGAATCTCTCATGTAGGATGACTTTTTCGACAGGCAAACGAGCGGATCCGCGTCCACCCGCGTCCAATTCCCATTCGCCGACTACTGCTGTCCACAGTGCACCGACAGGTAAATTGAACAGCTCGCTGAAGTAAATATCCACTTAGGAGGATACGTGAGATATGAAATAAATATCAAGCACTACGTAGAATGTAAAATAATATCGCTATTACACGTTAGAGAACGACGCTTGAGATAAATAAAAAAGCTTGGTTTAATCTCGAAGTTCAGCACCAACTTCGCGAGACAACGCTTTGCAAAAACAATCACGAAAGCGACGATTCGCTTACTTGTGAATGCAATGAGCGGCAGTGATCACCCACTTGGGGTCTATGAGCACACCACCGCACCAATGGCCGATGAAGCCGAGTTTCGGGTGCAACAACTGAAGGGACACTTGCCAAGGCCACGAGCCCCTCTTGCTGGGCTTGCCGTTGAAGATGCGTCCAGTGGTAGTGGTGGTCGTCGAGGACGCGTCAGCGTCCTTCAGTATCTGTACCTTCGACGACACAATCGAGCGCGGTTGCCTCTGCGACGCTGCCGGACATCCGCACTCTGTTACCCAAAGTCGCTTGTATTCGTTTAATGCCTTCGCGCGGCCGGCTGGGATTTTATCGCGCGCTACGTGGGTATCAACACTCAAAGGTGCGAGGATCCAAAGGCTCGACGATCTAAAGTCCAAGTGTTCAATGTTCCAAGGATTTCAAGATTGAAGCGTTATAAGAAACGTATCATTTATACGAGTGACAAGAGAGAGGATTTGATATAATTTTGGATTAAATATAATATAAATTAATATTATGTCAAGCATTGAGAATGCTTAAAATTATAAACATTGAAAACGAGCGAGAGGACAAAAAAGCAAAGACATCGTTCGACGTCGTGTCTCTAAGCTTTCACTGAAAGGACAATCGTGACAGTTGGAAATTAATGAAATCGGGATGAGGGTCGTGGAAAATGCTTACTTGCGTGATCCTCCCGGACGATCCTCATCATGGCACACTGAGCCTCCGCCAGGACGACCACCAGCAGGACGATCAAGTCACCGCGAAGACGGCACATCGCCAGCGAAATCGAGAATACCCGCGCGCCGAGGACCACCGCGATCACCACAATCTATGGATCCGCATAGCCCGCGACTGGCCTTGGCGATGCCGATCGATCCTCGAGTAGGATTAGCGCGACGCCAACAGCGGATCCTTCGGCACGAGGCCATCTCGAAGAAAGTGATCGCGTCGTCGATGTAGGAGGGGGCAAGAGCCAGCGACGATGTGGTCCAGCTGAGGAACATGAAGCGCGTCCGAGGGTCGCTCCTGGTGATTTATGGAACGGGACCGACGAAGGTGAAGGTCCTTCTATCTCAAAGATCTTCCATTCGAGTGCACAAATATAAAAAAACTCAGGGTTTTCACTTTGGGAATGTAGAAGAGCCTCTCGTGAACATTTGGAAATTCGGCACTTCAGGATCCTTTCCATCCTATATTTTAAGACTTTCAGACTTTTCATCCTTGGAAATTCAAATTCTTGAAATATCAGTTTCTATGAGTTTCATGTATTTGCATCCAACATGACTGGAGTGTATTGTATCAATCGACATTTCCTTAAAACCTGGAACTTTTGCAACTTGATCTTAGAACACGAGAACACGAGTTCCATCGACTTCGAATTGATTTGACAAGAATCAGCGATGAAGACGTTGAGATCCCTTCGTGACAGAAGCAAATAGATAGGTAGGACTTCTTTCTCGTATATGGAAATCGTCCGAAAGAAATCCTTGCGAAGTTGAGAGTTGCGGCAAAAAATCGGCGAAGCGAATCAAGTAAAAAGGGAGAAGGTGAGGAACTTTCTCCTGCCTCGCCGATGGACAAAGTTTACGCAGGATTATCCGGACTCGAAGGACTTTCTTCCTTAACAAGGATATCTGTCGCCGGAACCGCGGCGAATTATGCGAGAAGTCGGGCATGCTACAATTAACGATCTGACTGATCGACGAAAGAAACCGAGGCGACGGAGGCGCAATTCGAATCTCTCTGTCTCCTTCTCCTTTGCTTGCTCGATCGCCTGCTCGCTCGATCGCTCACACGCTCAAACGAGGCGACGACTTTCGAGAGCGAATCGCTCTCCTCGCGCGAGCCGAGAGAAACGCGGCCGATATAATGATATAATCGTTAAGATCGATAATCTTCTGTTCTGATTCGCGCTCTTATAAGATTACAGGATTTCGCGTTTATACTTTATGAACTTCTTAAGTTTTCAAATTCCTCGGAACTTCAGATCCCCGAGATTTTTTACACAGTTTTCCAAACGACCTGTAAATGAATGAAATGAAAAATACATTTCTCTAAAATAAAAATATTTCGAGGATACTCACGTATGTTCTGATATTTTCCAAGATTCGTTTATGAGAAATTATGCAATACTTGTATCCCGATATTTATCCTGCAGCTGTTATAAGAATCTATAAATTAACTGAAAGTTTCGCAAGAAATGTCTTCGAGAATATCCTCGAAACGATACGTCGATACTCGCGTGATCCTCGGAGGATCGGCAGGAACAGTTCGTACCGTTAGAAGTGAAAAGAATGCATCTCACCTCCCGCGGAATCATGGCAGAATGAGAAAGTGAAACTGCATTTGCAATCGGGTCTTACAGAAGGAAAGGAAAAGCCTGCCGGAGTTTGTATTTCGCGTTGCATATTGGACACGCTAAAATATCTATCTTGCTAAGGTCGTGACAGTGAATCTCAGAACTCTGTAAGTAAAAGAGTGAAAATAAGTGGAAGGATCACTTGAAGCATAGTGGGAGGAAATGGAAATAGGAGAGAGAAAAATATGAAAGATGGAAAACAGAGAAAGAGGAAGAATTTTGCATAAAGAAAAATAACCTAAATCTGTCATCAATATTACCAATATATAAGTAAATGAATGTAAAATAATATTTAAAGTAATAAAAATAGAAAGATAACTAAGCAAACCATTTCTTTCAGCTGTGCACAGTCAATTTTTTGCTGCATTCCGTGAGAGTATCGCTCGATTTACTTACGCACGTCGTACACACACTGTTGATGAAAGAAATAAAAACCAAGAAATAACGCTTGAATTGCTGCTAAATACCGGTGATCACTGGAATTACACAAAAGATAATTTAGCGACCAATAGATGGCGCTTGTTCGAGGAGAATTGAGTTTACATTTTTGCATAAGCTTTTAAAAATCGAATCCTGTAATATAACTCTTACTTATACAAAGGATATATTAAAAAAGATCTCGTGGGAATATGTAACTCCAGAGAGAAGAATGTAATTCTTCTCCGAGAAGTAAAACTGAATAATTACAGATCCACCGAAGTACATATATAATTTTCTTTTGTAGCGTCTCTATACGTATAGAACGTGAACTATGCCGCGAAATTCCTCGGTCGGTAACACGTTACATTGGCTAGGTTATGTTCCACGCTGCGTTTCAACAAATATCAGCCATATCCGCAAACCCATATCTCTTGCGCATAATACTGCTCTTAATGTTATCAACAAAGGTATTACGTGAAAAAACAAATTTTATTACAGCATAATGTTACATAACAAACAAAAAGATCAGGCCACAAGAGCACTAGCCGTAGAGCTCTCGTACTTCCAATTCGGCGGTAAGGAACCTTTTGTTTTATAGTAACGCGCCAGTCTGTGGATTCTCGATTCTACGAGAATCAGACGGAATTTGCTATCTTTATCTTTACGATTGCGTTCTAAGTGCTTACGGACAGCGACAGCTTTTTTAATCAAATAATACAAATCTTCAGGCAGATCCGGAGCCAAGCCCATGCTCTTTACGATACGCAGGATTTTGTTTCCTGTTCGGAATCTCACTTGTGCAACTCCATGAGAGTCACGAAGTATGACACCTAAAATAAAATAAGACATTCATTTAATCTTGTTACCTCAAAAATTTGCCACAATTTTTATCACAATATATAAATGTTAGTGGTAACCTATCGCGAAATGCTAACTTATTTCTTTCATTCACGTCAAACACCACTATCAACTTATAGTTTTGCAAACATATTTTGTTAAAGAGATCAGATTGAAACATCTAAGATCTCTTAAAGCAGTTTGCTTCGATCAAATTCATGGATGCTTCTACTTCTGAAATATATACTTTTAAATCCTTTTATTAACGTTTTCTTCTAAGAAAAAACTAGAACATATGTGTTCTTTTCTTTGTTAAAGTACTTAAATGCATTATCATCTTACCAATTTGAGATGGTGTGTGACCTTTTTTTGCTAGTTTGTAAATGAGTTCCTTGCAGTCTTCTGGTGTTAGCTTGAGCCAAGTTGGCACACTTCTTCGATAGGGAAGCGCAGACTGGGATATACCCTTTCTGAAGGAACAATATACTGTTACATGCATTATTTTAGATCTATCAAGTCAAATAACTTTATTGGCAAACACATTTTTTCTTGAGAAAAGTATAATTAAATAAAAGCTAATTGATGTACATATATATCATTGTCAATATAATTTTATTATGTACATTTTTTTTAAAGGACAAATGTGATATTTAAAACTTGTTGAGTGAATTTACTTAATTATAATATATAGAATATTCTTGTATGCCTTAAAATTTAATTGACTATCAGGAAGGGGAGGAGTTATGTATTCCAAATGCCGAGGTAAATATTTTGTTTAAAAAATGATGCGACTTTAAAGAGGTCAGAACAGTGGAAGACTTGATTGTTTATATACGTGACAAAATAAATAACAAGAATTATTAAAGTAAAAAAAGTAATAGAATCGACATACGGTCATTGAGCGTGCACGTGTCGGCTCGTTGGTATATTGATCAAGCCATTCTCAAATCGTGTATGGAAGGATAAAAATTCGAAATATGACACCGCAATATTGAGCGTGAAAGTGGATAATCTTGATAGAAATACAATAAATATTACTACGTTACCCATGTGAGTGCATACGACCCATCTTCGCGAATTTTCTTCAGCAAAAATATGGAACTTGCAACACACCTAACCAAGAAAAAAAAATTAGTTCCGGTCTGCAACGAGTAACTTAAGCCTTATGCAGGATTCACACCGCGTCCGATGTCCGACGTACGACATTTGATATTCAATAAAAGAATAACTTTCCAATGGAAAATTGAATCCTCTGTTAGAAAGCTGTTCTCCTATTGGATATTGGACGTCGTATGTCGGACATTGGACGCGGTGTGAATCCTGCATTAGGCTGATATTAGTGATCAGAACCTTATTCTTGAAATAGTTGTGTATACGTAAGTTTTACTGCGCAGGTTTAATCATATCATAAAATAGCTGCGCAATGAAAATTACAAAGAATTATCTAGTGAATTACCAGGTCTAACCAATCATTACAATCTGTGTCCAATCGTACCGTGGTCAATCGGGTCCCACCCGAAAACTTATACTTGTCTCACTTATTGCACCAATTCAGCAGTGCGCTGAAAAAAACAGACCATAGATGAGTTGTACGACAAGCTTTTCGGATACGTTTATTGGTTGGCGAATAGAGTATTTCTAGGATCTCTGTTCGTCAACCAATGAACGTATCCAAAGCCTAAGGCTTATCACTTTCGGGATAAATGCATCGTATCTTAGTATTTATACTTCATAGGCGATCATTATTGAGCGTAAAGATTGTGCTTACGCGCCATTGGCTGACATTCCTTTGGCCGGGTGCATACTTAGGAAAGTGAGGAAAAACGGTCGTGATCAGTACGCGTGTTCTCTTATAATGGATTATATTACACGAATATGGTTTAATTAGCTTATATTTAAGTGATACTTACTATATTTTAATTGATAAGACGCAAATGTAGTGTTACTTTAAGAGAAACCTGACAAATTAGTTCTGAGAAGATCAACCGACCCAACCTCGTTAAAATAGATTGATCGACATGGAAGTGGTTGAGGACAATGAGCTTAAAGTTCTTCGGGAGATCGCGAATGACGAAGAACTTGCGCAAATACCGAAAGAATTAACGAAAAAAATTTATTCATATTTCAATACAAAATACGATGAATTCATAACTGCTAAGGCTGTCTTTGAGAGTAACCGCAAGAATTTAGGTAAGCGCGCGCGTGTTTGGACTTTATGTTTAATATATGCAATTAACACTTTAGCTTTATTTAAATCATCCTCTTATTCCTTTGTTTCTTTGTCTATCTTTCTTTCTCACAAATATATAAATTTGATTTTCTTAAAAATTTTAAATATCACAGCCACAAGAAAATATATATTATGTTAAGAAATCTACTGAGAGAAATAAGTAATTGTGCATGACTAAAAGAGATTTTATATGTTTGTTTGCAGAACAAAACTTAGAACAAACACAAAAAGAGCTCACAGAGCATAAGGTGAATCTTGATGAATGCAGAGGAAAGTTGGAGTTTGCAGAAAAGTACAATGCAGAATCAAGCAGTGATCTTGAAGAAATAAAGAATGAAGTACATAAGTTACAAGAATCTATTCAACGGTAATTTTTATTTCTATAATATTATAAACAATAATATATTAATTACTCTGTAGTGTGATTAAAGCAATCATGCTTATTTTTAGTATATATATATATGTATATACATACATTATATATATATATATATGTATTAATATTAATTGTATATATCCAATAATATTTATAACAATATCTTAATATATAAATTACAGATTGGAGAAAGAAAATGGCGAGTTACGCAGACATAGGGATACAGTTACAGATGATAGAAATACATTGCAGTTGCAGGTTGAGAGAAGGGATACTGAAGTCGCAAGAATGCGTACTGAATTATCTTCTTTGGGCACTCAGCTTCAAACCGCCATTGCAGCTAAATGTCAAGTTTTGGCTGAAACTGAAGAAATTCACAGTCAAAAAATGACATTGGATTTCAAGGAAAAACGACTGGAGCAAGAACGAGTACTTCTCTCCCAACAAATAGCAGGCCTTGAAGAAGAACTAGCCAAGAGAAACTCCGAACTACAGACAACAAGGTCCGAAGCCTCTGCCAGAGCTTTGTTAACCGACACTAAATTATCTCAGCGTGAAGAAGAGGTACGAATAGCCAATGAAGCCAATTCTCAGCTTCGAGAGTCAGTTTCTTCTCTTCAAAAGCGATCAGACGAATTAGCTCAAAAGTTGGAAGAGCAACGAATGCATGAAATTACCATGCACAGTTCATACCGCGAAGAAATCACTGCACAGACTAGGTTAGCTGATTTGTATAAGTCCATGGCGGATGAAGCTAATGCCAAGGCAGAAGAATTCTCCGGTGCAGTGAAAGAGCTTCAAGATTTACTGGAGCATGCTTCAGAACAGTATGGAACTTTGGAAACTAAGCATAATCAACTGTTGTTGCAACATAAGCAAGATATCGACGACAAAGAGCAGAATATTCAGGAGTTAACGAAAGAGTTGGATCATGCTAATGAACTGTTGAAAAATATTCAGCAGGAGAGATTGGACCAAGCTGTTGAACAATTGGCACCCACAGCAGCTATAACCAGTCGAGTTTTACGGAAAGGCTTGAGCCTCACACAGATTTATACTCAGCTAGTCGAAGTTACCGATCAGTTGACTCAAGAAAGACAAGAAAATGAACGCCTGAAATCTCAGATGGACGTGATTCTTTGTGAATTGCAACAGAAGGCACCATTGCTGCAGCAACAACGTCAAGACTACGAAACAGCTATGACGAATATAGAGATGCTAACTAGCAGGCAAGATGAAATTCTTGCCGAGAATCAACGTCTTCTTGAGAGCTCTAATGAAGCTAAACGTCTTGCTAGTCACAATGGTAAAGAAAATCAGAAGTTGAAGATAGAACTCAGCGATTTGGCTAGACAAGTATGTTATCTTCTCAAAGAAGTTCAAGAAAGTCGTACCGGCACTCACGTGGAAACTCGAGACTCGTCTTTCCGAGACGCCTCCATTGATACAGACAACATCGTGTCCTCACAGATCATTAGTAAGAAATTAGTGACTTTCAAGGACATTGAAGAATTGCAGGAGAACAACCAGAAGTTATTAGCTGTCGTCCGCGCATTATCGTCTAGACAAGAGGAGATCGAGCGTGCCACAGACGAGATAAATTCGGGTGAGATGAAGGAGAAGCTGGATAATTATAAGGAGCAATTAGCAGATATGCAGGCTGCTCAGGATCGGCAGGCGAAAATGGTGGATAATCTCCTGAAGCAGAGAGATATGTACAAGAATTTATACCAGCAAAATCTAAAGAATTCCAACGAAAAGAAGGATATGATGGAAGTGGATGATGAAGAGGGTAAATCGAAGACGAAAGAAGACCCAAAGATAATGAAAGATGACAAAGACAAAGAAAAAGAAGAGTGGTCCAGGAAGTTGAAAGAAGCAGAGAATAAAATTAAGCAGGTTTCAGACGAATACGAGATATATCGTAAAGAACGAACTGCGCACGAAAAGATGTTGAGTGAGGAGGTGGAAAGGCTTAGGAAAGAGGCGGAAGCAAATTCGGCGAGATGTTGCAGACTGAAGGCGCAACTGGACTCAGCAAATGAGAGATTCACGCTTCTGCAGGGCAATGTTTCTTCGTACAAGACTCAAATTAAAGTTCTTGAGGAGAAATGTAACAATTACAATGTTACTATCGGCAAGCACGAACAGAGCATCATGATCCTGAAAGATGAGACGCTTTCCGCCCAGTCTCGTTTATCCCGGGCCGAAGTTCAACTGGAGAACCTTCGCCACGAACGCCAACTCCTCCGAGATTCTGAAGGACGATTGCTGAAGGAGCGAGAAGTCTATCAAAGAGAAAGACAAACGCAGGCTTTGCTTAAAGCAGATATGGAGTCCATCAAAGCCAGCTTAGAACGAGTTCAAGCCGAAGGACAGCTCAGAGCTGAGCAGAGACTCGATGACGCTAACAGAGAGTGCGCTGCTCTTCGACGTCGCCTTCAAGAAGAACAAGATCGTTTCAGAGAATTAGCAGCGCATCTGGAAAGGCAACTGACGACTAATCAAGAAAGATTGAAAGAAGAACGTGAATTGAACGAAAGGCTAAGGACGGAAGTAGATCAGTCTAAACAGACTGAAGCTGAGAGCAGTCAGAAGATTGGAGAATTAGGAAACAAATTGAAACAGATGGCTGCTCATTATATCGAGAAGCCCTTGACAGGGGACGAGAATCTGGTGAAGAGAGTTAAGGAATTGGAGATACAACTGGATACCTACCAAGCTGAAATAAGATCGCTCTCGGAACAATTGAAAACTGCCAGACAACAAAGTCAGCAATACTGCGACATTGCTGAGAGCGCTGAAACACAGCTGCGTGAGTTAACAAACGAGTACAATAAATACAAGAGTGAAATGGAGAAGGCTCTGAAGGACTCGCGTGTGGAGATCATTTCGTTGCAGAAGAGAGTGAAAGATCTTGGCGACGATTTGGCAAAGATATCGAATGGCAGGCAAGAAACCGATTCTGAATTGAGAGAGAGACTGATTGAGGCTGAGAGAAAGGTCGAAGAGTTGGATGAATTAAAGGGCGAATTGGAGCTGTTGAAGAGTGACTTGAAAACTACTGCGATCGCGGCCAAAGAAGCGGAAGAAAAATACGCTAGGGAGATGGTGCTGCACTCAAGCGATTTGCAAGTTCTGGCTAAATTGAAGGAAGAAACTCAGCAGATTCAACAGCAATTCAACACCTTGACCCAAGAGCGAAATATGGCAATAGAATCTCTGAAAATCGAAAAGTCAGTCTTTAAAGAAATGGAGCAGAAACTGATGAATGAGATAAGTGAGTCTCAAAAAAGAATTGATGATCTTGACACACAAAATGCGCTCTTGCATAATCAGATTCAGGAGTTGGGCGATCGAGCAGCTGTTATGCAGAGTCAACAGACCAAGTTCACCGGACGGGAGAGCCCTAATACCAGTTTCGAAGCTATAAACAAGAGTTTCAGTTCTTTGGACGAAGATTCCAACTCGGTCGAGCAGTTACTAAGAGTTATGAAATACCTCAGGAGAGAGAAGGATTTGGCATTAGCGAAATCTGACGTTCTTAGGGCGGAAAATCTTAGACTGAAATCACAGGCTGAAGTAGTAGAGAAACGGCTCAAAGAGACCGAAGCTTTGTTGAGTTCTGAGCGAGAAAAATCCGAGATTGACGTTGCGACCACGTCTAAGCATGCAGAATTACTACGTAAAGTGGAGACTTTGAACGCCATCACTGATTCTAATCGGATTCTCAGGGAAGAGAGGGATAACTTGAGCGTGAAAGTAAACGAGCTCACAACCAAAGTTAACACTTTGTCGGAAGAAGTTGTGCCTCTTCGAGATATATCTCGAGATCTAACAGCCAAAACTGAAGCTTTGATAGAAGAAAATACCAGCTTGAAGGGCGAAGCGACTAGATGGAGGCAGAGAGCGAACACACTGTTAGAGAGAGCGAATAAGGCTAGTCCTGAAGACTGGAGACGATTGCAAACCGAAAGAGAGAACCTGAGTAAATTGCTAACTTCAGAGAGGGAGACTCACGCGAAACGAACCGACGAATTTAATCAGATGAAGATGGAGAAGACGAAACTTGAAGAGCAACTAACGCAGTTGCAGAAACAGGTACAAGCGCAAACTGAAGAAGTATCTCGAATATCTGAAGAAGCCCGAAAATTAAGCCAAGATCTTAACGAAGCGCTGGCAGACTCTACCTCGAAGGCTAAGGATCTGGTTTCCCTTCGAAAGGAGTTGAGCGACAAAGAAGCTGTTGTTAACGACATTAGAAATAAAGAGATTCAAATCCGAAAAATAGCTAAGAAATATAAAACACAATTTGAGGAATTGATGAAGACCGTCGAAGAGGAGAAGAATCGCAACGAAGAAGCCAGGAATGAAGAAACTTCCGCCGCGAATACGCAAGAACGCGAAGACCAATTGAGAGAAGAAGGTCGTCAAGAACTCCGTCAAGTCAACACCGAACTCACGACGAAAGTGGATGAGTTAACTCGTCAAATAACGACGTCTCAGAACGAAGCTGAGAATTTAAGAAAAGAAATCGAGACTTTGAATCGCAGCATCGTAGAAAAAGAGGATAGGGCAAAGCAGGTACTTAAAGGTGCTAGGACGAAGATCATGCAATTGACAGAATCGAAGAAAATCTGCGAGAAAGAATTAATAGATTTAAAGTCTAGGATAGAGTCCGCGGGTAGCAGCGCAGGTGTTCAAGGTGATCCCGAGGCGGAACACGACAATCGATTGACAGCATTAAAATCACAAATGGATGGTCGTATTTCCCGATTAGAGCACGAGAAAGCAGAAATACAGGCGGAGAAAGAAGCTCTATTGCAGCGGGTTAATCAACTCCAGAGACAATTATCTGGTGTGAGTGGAGTTAGCGCAACTACAGAGCCACCCACCGCAAATATCAAGCCCATGTCCGCTAGAGCAGAGACTCCTTTAGCTAGCATCAGACCGATGAGTGTGGTGCAATCTAGAACAGCAGCGGTGCTTCCAACCACAGCTAGCGCACCGGTAATGGTCGCGCCACACCAGATGCAACAGCAACAACAACAGCAGGTAATGATCTGGTGAATTACGAGATAGAATCCTGTCGTAGATTTTATTTAATTTGATAGAACTATAAAACATTGGTCTATAAGCAACAGGTGGTACACACTACGGAGACGAGCTCGCCGACTAGCAGTTTGACAGATTTCCAGCCGGCGAGTACTAGCAGTTCATCGCAGGGTGCGCAAACCAGTAGCCTTCGTCAACTGGTGGTACAACCACAACTCAGTGAGTCTGCTGAATCTACGCAAAGAGAGGATCCGGAGAGTGTCGAGACTCTAAGTGTACAGCCGCAACAGCAGCAATGCCAGCAACAACAGCAACAGCAACAGCAAACGGTGGCACTAGTTAGTCCGAGAGTGGAACAGCAGCAGCAGCAGCAGGTCGTCGTCAGCGACCAACAACAAACTGTTGCGAGTAGCTCCACGCAGTCGGTTAGCACGTCGCAAGCTTCTACGGGACTCAAGAGGCCTCGTGGCCTGGATTCAACAGCTTCTGGTTCCGGAATTGTCGAAGGAGTAGACCACGGACGTCAGGAGCAAACTCAAAGTCCGAAGACTAAACGAAGCAGACAAGACATGAGCGCTACAGCAAGTGCCAGTGCTTCGGAAGTGGAATATCAGGTAAAAATAGTGCGATAGGAAGAGGAAGAGAGAATGCGAGAAGCAGTTAGTAGCAAATAAATAATAAATACGTATAAGTGTCAAATATATAAAGTAATGAAATATTAAAGATAAATCAAGACTAGATAATTCATGGATTAGCATGAATTAGGAATTAGAATAAACAAATGCACGAATGAATAAACTGAATAAATAATAATATTAATATTATTAGGTGCCTACATCAAGTCAGAGGGACCAAGATGAGGAAGTAGAAGAAGGGTGTGTGGTAATAGTAGATTGCGATGAAGGCGAAGGTGGTGGCAATCATCAGACACAAGAAGAAGAGGAATTCGATAATGACCCGTATGAAGAAATGGAGGAAGAGGAAGAAATGCCTTATGAAGTGGAAGTTGAGGTTGAACGAGACAACAACGAAGTGGAGATCATTATGGAAGAGGATTCTACCAGTGTCGAGGTTCCCAGACAAGCTCAAGCAGCTATTCCTACCAATCAACAGCAGTCTGAGGCTATCAGTAGTGCTGGACCGACCGGAGAACCTCCGACATCTTTCACAGCAAGATCATCTAGAGGAATCGCGCCTATGCCCAGGCAACAACAACAGCAACACCTTCTCTTGGTTGGTATTTAAGGATATATATATAGCATAAGTTAAAAAAATGTGCAAAAACACTTTTATATTTAAAAAAATTCTGGAAATTTATACAATTATTACGTTGTTAATTTTTCTAAAAGCCACAACAAGGCTATGAGGATGGTGGCGATGATTGTATTGTACCGAGTACTCCCACTCTGTTTGTTCCGCGTCGCGGCGATGGCTTTGGCGAGGCTGTGAGTTCTCCACAAGTGCCTCAGGGTCGTTTCACCTTTGGAGACTCTTCGGCACCTACTACAGCTTCTTCTACGCCATCCTTGACAACACCTACCGGTTCTGCTACCAGAACTATCTTCGGTTCGTCAAGTTCTGCTGTAGCCCAAGTTGTCCAAGAGAGTTTGGACGATAGCAGAATGGATCTAACACAACTGGAAGATGGTGGAACTGGACGTAGCGTACCTACTACGCCACTACAAGTGTCACCAGCTGCAGATTTGCCACCTTCGGTGAGAAAGATATTCTTTTAATAGATTTAAGGATATTGAAATGATTTATATAGTTTATTAAAAATGAACTCTATAATAATCTATTATTTATACTTTAATTTATATCTAATTTCTATTATTATAAATTTTGAATGTTAATTCTATATATGTTTACTATAGTCATCTTTATAACAAGTAGAGTAGTATCATTAATCATTTATGCTTTCTTTTAATTATTGCAACAGACTAGTAGCGGTCAACCTGAGGAACAAGAAACCACTATTTCCGTGACACCTGTTTCCGTAACGGCTACTTCTGGTGACAACGCCGAGGAACCCAGTATTCCCAGCATTCGTATCGTCAGTGCTGATGATCAACAACGCAGCTCTACAGAAGCTACAGAATCTAGCGCAATGCCAAGTGAAGGTATGACTATGTTTAATTTCTAATTAATCGTTCTTTATTTATTACTCACTAATATTCATTAAATTCCCCAAAGAATTTAATTTCTCTTTAGTTTTAATGGATAACGTCAAACAATTAATACACTCAAATTTTACTATTTCTCTTTCGGATTTTTTATCATAGGAGTGAGTTCAGATGGTGAAAAGCGACCGGAAGAACCGGTGGCTCTGGCATCCGGCGACGACGATGCCGTAGACACGGCGGAAGTAACGGAGGAAGCCGGAAGTGAACTTGTCGAGGACGACGTCGAAGAGGAGAACCGCGAAGCAGAAGCGTCACCATCCAGCAACACTCGCCAGAGGACGATGGCGGCCAGTTTGGCAGCAGCAAGCGCTTCCAACAGTAATAGAGGAGTAACAGTGAGAAGATCACCAAGATCACCTTTCAGAGCAGCAAGAGGTGCAAGACCTACACCGATTGTATGGGGTGAAACTCAATCAGGTAGAGGTGAGTAGATTAATTGGTTATAAAGGTGGACCTATTTTAATTTTAATACTAACTTTAATTTTAATACTATTTACTTTTAATTTTCTGCTAACTTAGCGACATTGTGTGATAAATATTAACGTGCGATTTTTCTCTTTTCGAAGGACAAACCATATTGCGTGGCCAACACGTTGCGAGAGGAGCGACCAATGAGGGAGGAGGACGAGGGCGAGGAACACGAGGGCGAAGAATGCGTTCGAAATATCCTTACACCCGATATTCGTAATATCACAGCGACCTTCTGTCCTGTATGTCCTTTTTTATTTACTATATACATTCTACATAGTTTATATCATTGACCTAAGTTCAGGAATCAACGAAACATCAGTAAAGAAAACTACAGTCAGCTTCATGGTCTATTTTGTTTATTGTATAGCATAGTAAGTACTTTAATATGTTTTTAAATGCAAGTTTTTTTCTTTTCTTTTTTTTAAAGCATATTGCGGCAATTTGCGACAATTATTTTTGTATTAATTGCACTTCATGCTTTTTCTTAATAAATTCATGATATAAATTTAAATTTGACAATTAAAATTCTTGATGTTTACAAAGCTTTTTTTTTAAATGCTGGAAAAAAGTACATTCTAACAAATTCTGATACAAAAAACATTTTTCTATTTTTTTTAGAAAGTTGTGTGATCACTTGATAAATAAAATATAATTAGGCCAATTTATAAATAATTCTAATTAAGTACGAATATAAAAAATTTCGGGAAATATCAGTTATAATAAGTAATGCAAACTCAAGTTTGATAAAAAAAAGTTTCATGCAACATTTAATAAAATACTTTTGAATCATATTTATAAGAGAATTCGGATTTTTTTCTTTTTATTTTTTGGCAATGTCAATTTTATCGAACAAGTGTTCACAGACGTCAACGTCGGCGTCTCTACTTCGCCGGCTCTCCAATCGTTGGGCATCGACCCAACCCGTTCACACGTTGTATGCTAAATCGAGAATTCGCATTATCCTACTATTTATATGTTCGGCGAATGGATAAAATTCTTGTAATAGTAAAAATTATTATTTATTCGAGTTTCGCTTATTCGCGGAAAGAATAGATAAATTCGCCATATTTCTTCAAATCAACAAACATTCGTCAAATAGAGATGGGGAAGTTGAACAAGACTAAGTTAACTATCTAACTTAAAAATTATTTAAAACTTAGAAATTAGAAGTGCTAGACAATATAGACGTACAAAAATAAATTGCACTGAGTTGGTACAAAAATAGCCAAAGTCGTGATTTATTTTTATAAATATTTTTGTTGCTTCAGTTTTAATATAAATTACTCGATACATAAATTAATTAGTATAAAAATTAGATACTATTTAACTAACTAGACACTACAAGAATACTGTTGAGAATTCTTTTGACATTTTGATTTGTTTTGATTACACATCTCGATTTAGTAATAACTTATCCTATTACTTTTTAATGTGATTACTTGTTCAATAAATAAATAAACTATAGCACACGACGATTATCAAAATACGTTTAATCAATAATTGTCAGAATACTCAATTATTTAACGAGATGGTCACTTCACTTATTTAAAAAAGTTGTTTTTAACTTTAAATCCGAAAGTATGCGCTTATAATCTCATGACTCTCTGTATATAAAAAGTTATATACATGTAATCGTGTATATAGCGCGTTATCTTTGCCTTGTCTGGACTTCGTTAATCTAGTATAAACTTTGTGTTTAACGTACGAACGGCTTTCGCACTTAGTAGTGCGAATACAACAGTATAGGTAGTGAAGTTATATTTAGCTTTAAACGTCGCGGTTGGTTTCGCACTTTGGTACTATCAATTTAATATAAAGATCACTTTGGAAATAAACCATAAATTCGACAGGCGTTTAGCGTTAAATTAGCCGTATTTTGAAAAACGTCGTGTTACAATCACAAATTAATATAATTTATCACAATATTTTTTAGTGTAGAAAAGCATTCTTAAACACCCTAAAATGTCCATAATAACATTTTATATAGCAGATGAATTATGATTGCTTTTACTGAATGCTTTTGTTGTCATTATATTTATGATATAACATTTCGTTTTCGAAGTTATTGGATAAAGAAAAGAGAAAGATTTAAACGTTTAATTAATTCACATTCAATCTCTTTCATCTTTCCCCGTGCAGATTTTTACAAATTTTTTTTGTATTCTTTAATATTAGTTTTTTGTATTCTTTAATATTAATTCTACATTCTGTTCACATAATTCTATGATACGTAACAAAAGAATGGCACGACTCGAAAAGTCTATTAAACGCATTGAAAAAGATATCACTTTTAGATATTACTTATTAGATAAATATATATACAATTAAAATCTCCTCTTTTTGAGCAATGAATGATGAGATATCTTATGCATATAAAACGTATTCCCATTGACTGGAAGATCGAGATATTTATTATAAGAAAGAAGAAACCACACACATATACAAAACTAATGTCCTTAAATTTTTACCTAATGGAATACTCGCTTTCACCCTTCACCACATGACAGTTTTTGCTTCTTCACCTCATACTCACTCAGTCTTTGAAGTACCTTCTATGAGATATTCATTTACCTCATCACCCATTGATATTCATCTTAAAAGCTTCGTATCTTCACGATGCATGTCTATTAATTCTTACTTTGTACGTCCAAACGTATGTAACGTTTGCTAATTAACTTTATATAAATATTTTGTCCGTTGCTGTAATTATAGTCAAACACAGAGATTATGGCCAGGCCAGTTTACATCTGGCTTTGAGAAATTTAATCCCAGTCTAGTCGATATCACTCTTAGTTCGAATCGAATAAAGTTTTTAATACTTCGTGTCAATCCATTTCATAGCATTGTCTACAAATAAAGGTCTAAGCCAATACGTCAATTCCAGACGCCACAATGCGTCTCGAATCTCTATTCTTTCCGAACGCGCTAATCAATTGCACGAAACAACTGCAACGAACAGTTCTAGTCCGAATTAATTAACTTCAATTAGCGCCCGGCTTTTTCCCTGAATCACAAAATACTGTACACAGGCAAAATCCGGAAAAACTGAGCGACAACATTGTCACACTCCTGAGTTCTTTAATCTGCCTCAATACTGAATAAAAAAATCCGAAGGACTTGAAAGAATTGACCTGAAAGATCAAAGGATCTGTATAACAGGTGGCTCAGTATCTGTCTGATTAGCATCAACAATTTTGCAGATACATTCGCCGTGTTGCTTGACTCTGATCCACCTGTGATCCGCCTTTCTCTTAGTGGTCATTGCCAAACTCGACATCTCGATTTCAATATCTTCATAGTAGATCGACGACTCCACTGGGATGCAACTGAGATCAGCACTACGGCAACAGCCTGAATAACTGTCACACCTCTTCAGCACGATGTATACTGGTTGCCTCGTTCTTTCGCTCGGCAAATGCTGCATCAAATCCCTCAAGTTGTAAGCCCTCTGCTGAGGTTCCTTACAAGTGAAGTTCTTTCTGATACTTATAGCAGACTGTAAGTCAATCCTCCTGGCTACGTGTTGGTTGCCGCTATGATGATTCGCTGGAGCAAGCATCGTCTGGTTAACTATCGTCAAGATCAACAGTAGAAATCTCAAAAACATTCCCGTCGTTGGTCTGTTTTCCATCGTTGGTTTTACTGATCGTGCTGAATTGCCAATGCAAAAGGTGGATGAAGAAATAACTTAAAATCCGATCGAAAGACCCGTATCCTTATCCCGAAAACAAGTCTGAATCCTTCAATACAAAATATCAGTCACAATAGATTGAATCACAATAGAGGAATAAATAATTCTTCTTTTTCCACTTTGCTTCATTTGTCCCGTTTTGTGTTGTTCCTTCTTTTTGAAGTTTTCTTTTTTAGTAGCACTACGCTTTCTCTTTTTTCTTCTTCGTCTTATACAACAAAGTAGTTGACTCGGTCGATTGTTTTGAAATGTTCTTCTGTTTCTTCTTGTCTTTCCTTATCCTTTCTGAGTCTTCGTCCCTTTAAGGAGGCAAGACGAAGAAATCACGTGGTAAGCGTGAAATCCTAGTGGATTTTTCACTCGGCGAAGATGACTCAATGGATGGGCGACGAGTATCACGAGCACCATGTATCGGCCGACTGAGATTTTCCTACTAGCACACGAGTATTTATATATGGAAGAGTCTGCACGCATGCCTCACATGAGAGTAAGCGTAAAGACCCGATCGTGCGTGCCTTCCGCGATGATTCCACTTTGTTGTGCAACCGTTGTACGCGTTTAATGCGTTGCCACGCCGGTGCTGCTTAACCCCTTGCACTCGGAATAATGATTGTCAGGTAGCGGTGGAAATTAGCAAGTATCAATCGTATCGATACATTTTTGCTCAAAACAGATAAACTGATACCATAACATTCAATTGTGATGTGCGAATAAAACGGTGAATGTTAAGACGAAATTCCAGACTTCCCTCGAGGATGTAACGTAGAAATTCGTCTGATTCGGAATGTTTGCGCGACATTAACTCACTTGAATGGCGGCCGCGTTATTGCACAAATAGTCACGCTAAAAATCACCTTTCGCTGCTGGGCAATCTCAGCGACGAAGACGAAGTCATCACCTACAAACAATTACTTCGGATGTTTCGATCATTTTGCCGGTTTCCGCGAGTCGTAAAATGTTCCTTGTACTTCACGCTTGCGAGCTTTACTTTTTCTTTGCAGAAACTTTGTTATCGTTAACTTCTTTCCTGCTGCTAAGCAATATATACCGAACGTTAGAAGAGAGTAAAATACTAGAACACTAGTAAAATAAAACATGAGTTTCGTAACGTGAGTTATGGAAAACAGTACAAGATTTACAACATTCAACTTTAAAACTACTTCACCCAAGTTCTTGAATTGTCTACAATTGTTATATAATTAATAGGTGTGATCGCATATGTAAATAATGTATAACTAGTACAGTACAATATGATTCATACAACATGTTAAGCGATACATGATGGATAACATTGTTTGCTTGCTTGCATTAATTACTTGAGTTATGTAATTAAAGAGATGTGACCCATCTTAATAAAGAGTATACACATGAAGTATACACATTAGATCTCACGACGTCAATTCTTGATGATTAACTTGAAGATAGACCAAGATCCGTATCAAGAGATGTTTTGATTGTATCTCTGGAGTTAATTGTATCTTGAATCATCACTTTTGTAGTCATCCAATTGGCCATCCAATTAGTTTTGCTCTATAAAAGAAAATTGTACATTTTTATTGACAATCTTCTTGGCTCTTAGAATTCTGGGTCCGAGAAAACGTTGAATTCATCGAAACATCGAATCCTTATCTTCAATTTCTATCAGTTAATCATAGACTAACACGTGTCTTGAGGAAAATACAGATTTTCCAAGAAATCGATACTCGTTAACATACAAACGATTGCATGCATATTGGTCGATTAACGGGTGAATAACCAAACGCGATCGATATCCAGTATTAATCACATTTATCTTCTTGGTAATTAAACTAGTATGTATATTGAACGTACAGGAACGTGCAGGATACATTTGCATCTGAAGGATTTTCTTGCACAAACTGGAGACATTATCCACGTATAATTAAATAGTCATCATCATTAGCAACGGCGTAGTTTTCGTATGTTTGATTTTATCAAGGCCATATTGTAGAAGCAACTCGAATCGTACTAATACGTAAGCAAATGTTACGTCTTCGGCATGAAATATTCAGCTAGGTTAAACTGTTATACATTTTAATAACACACAGACTGTTACGCGACAATAGAATTCACAACTGGCATTTAATTTGTATGACATAATAATAAGAGCGTTCCATTGTCGATATTATAATCAGTTACAAGATAATGATGATTTATAAGTACGTTATATAAGTACTGGCTTATTTTGTATGTATTTTGACTATTTTATAGTCTATATTCTGAACTCTCTTTTATCACTAAAAGCGCCTCTAAAAATTTATAATAAATTTATAACTTATAAATCTTCTGATTAACTATAAGTCATTTTTAGAAATACTCTTAACGATAAAAAAAATTTAGAATGTAGACCTATAAATATCTTTACACAGTCTATATGTTAAGCGTGTCGTGTGATATTAAATTCAACTTTTATTTCATAAAATCTCATCTCCTATATAATGAGACAATAAGTTGCAGTAATTTAAAACTAATATCATCCATTAACTTTTGTACTTGGTCTTGAAGATCTATCTATCAAAGTAGAGTAAAAAAAATCCCTTTTTTTTCATTCTAGACATCCGCAACGGGCCAGATGATTCAGACAGAATAAAAAGAATAGCGTATTTTTAGCAAATCTGATATTTCTGGTTAACGCGGTCAAGTTTCTTACTAGTAGTTCCATTGCTAAGCTAATTATACGATGTGGTTTGGAGTGTTTCTCTTTAATGAAGCGCCTCTTCATCAGTAATAGGATACAGGACCATGTGTTCGGCCATGTGCGTACAGTAATTAACTATTTTAAGTCCACAAAACATCCACGATTTTTCTCCTGGATAATTCACGAATAAAATGAAAGTTGAATCTCTTCGCTTATCATGTACATTTCTTTATTATCAACAATTTGTTGTTCGTTCGACCTGCATTGCACTCTTATGAATTGATCTAAAAATCACAATAAAAATTTGTTGTAACTTATAATTTTGACTTATACAAAGCCTGTTAACGTCTACACTTACGGAATCGCCTGCAAGTATGCAACTTGTCTACCTGAACAGGGTAGGTTGCAGTAGTTTATAAATGATATCATCCATTACAATTTCTTTGTTATATTACTGATACAAGTATTAATCTGTAAAATTTCGTACTTTTTATGCAAGTCAATACACGATCAATAATTATGTAGTTAAGTACGAGAAAGGAGCGATTTTAACGGTACTAATTCTGCGGTCGTCGTGAAAGGCGCAATGCTGTTCTCCGTGCCGTGACGCAGGTATGTACATCTAACTAAGGATATTTCCTTTCCTTCAGCGGGGGTTTCCTTGTTGCTGACGCACTTCTGTTATGCATGCATGTTACTTACGCACCGGAAATCCCGTGCGTAAGTAAAATACGCTAATTCTCAAAACAACCTGCATCATATTGCTAGTTTAATACTAAAAAAAGAACGATCGTTTCAACGTCGTATATTGACGTCCAATTTTGCTAATTCGATCCAAGCGGCTAAATGTCTCTTATAAAAATATTGTAAAGTCGTTCAAATGATGTTCTAATTTTTCAAAAATGCTTTAACCCGGGAGTGGGCGCGTATCGGTCATTTCCCCCTACTTTTTCGTTTTCTACTTATATCATCTAATCTATTGACATCATATTTTTGCTTTTACGTAAATTTTCTTTGATCTTTTCTCGTATAGCATGGAGAAGTAGACGGTGTAGACGCGCTTATTTCTATGTGAAATTTGATATGTTTTTAGCAGTCGGTTTAAAAAACTATAGCGCGCCTACTAATGTTAGTCTTTTATCTCTGTCGCGTTAGCGTCGCTCGATGTGCCGCCGAACTATTGTCTTTCCGACATCGTAGTTGGACGGTTCTCTCTTTTTTTGTTGAATCAATAAAATTTTCAACAGCATGCGTAATTGGAGTATATATTCTTGATTCAATAGCGATATTATTAAAATTAATACTTGAATTATTGAAACAATACATAATGTGATAATTTTAATATTGCCATTATAAATCAAGAAGATTTATTTATTCTCTATTTCAAAATTTATCAAATAAATTTTTAAGTTTATTAAGTCAATGTTTAAGTTAATCAAAGTAAAACGAGAGAAGCAAGAAATTCTTATTTTATTTTATTAAACTAAAAGAATGTTATTTTTTACTAGTGCAGTTAAAATAAAAATATTATGATTTTATTTTTAATATATTCACACATGTATAGTAAGTTTAATATGTTTTCTAAACAGATATAGAAATGGTAAAGAGAAAAGAAGAGAAAAAGAAGAAATAGTGATATAATTATTCCCTTCAAATTATTAAAATTTATTCCTTCAATTCAAAATTATTCAAATTATTTCCTTTAATTGTTATGTTTCTTTTAATAATTGGATTGATAATTTATTAATTATTACTTAATTATTACACATATATGTGCTTAAATATATTTCGGTCGAAATGACTGATACGCGCCCACTAACGTTGATCCTGTTAACGCGCCCACTCCTGAGTTAAACGTTTCCTAAATGTTCTATGGGCATATTTTTAATTATTTCTTCTTTCTAATCATTTTTAAAATTTGAGTGGTTTCGTTTTATTTTGTCATTTTGAATTTGGAGAAAGAGATACTCACGGTCTTATTAAGGGTTTTGTATTGTCATAATTTCGCAAATACCTGAATCATTTCCATTACCACGTAATGACGTAGTTGCTGATTAGCGTTGGTACAAGAATGTCTTCGACACTTCCGCTGTTTCCAAACAGCATTTACTTCACAGACAGGATTACTTTTCCTTACGCAACTCATAAATATGGTTTCTGTGCCAAAAATAGAAGCGTGATACAATACGACAAAGTTTGCAATGACGATATGAGTACAACTTGCGGTTCAATGAACTTACACTGTAAAGCAATTAGTTTTATTTCTTCTTGTAATAGTAAAGATGATTTATCCTTGAAATCAGTGAAACGGTGAATCTCTCGGTCGATAATTAATAAAAAATAAAAATGTATCGATATATATTATGGCGAAACCAATCTATATTATGACAAAATCAATCTATATTATGGCGAGGCGAATCCTATGAGTCACACGGTGGTGATTCAATCGGATGAAATGCTGGAATGCCAAAACGGTGCGAATTCAGTTTTGAATCTTGATGACTCATTCTCACCTCACATGTGTAAGGAATTTTAATCAGTTTCCTCAACTTGGATAACACAATATACTTCTACTTTGTTGAGGTCATCACTTTTTTGTACCAAAATTGTAATATTTTACAATTTATTTTACAAGCGGCTAATAATAAAGAGTATGTGACGATAAATATATTAACATGAATTTTCAAACTATATAAAATTTTCAGGCTTCTATTTATTCTACAAAAACGATTCATTAATGTAAGTGATTTTGAAATTCCTTATAATATCTTTCAATATATGATAATTATTTATACTTATATTTATCGTTTAATTTCATTCTCAAAAGCCTTATGAAACGTCCTTGTATAATATAGGAGTGAATCAATTATGATTCACTGCAATTATTATAGACGGCATCCTCCTTTATAACTATTTTACTTGTCATTTACACGTATGTCAGAGGATTACGTAGTCTTGGCAAAAACAAAAAAGAGCAATCAGAATAAACACTCCGGAATACTCACTGCAACCAGACGCGATGTAGACGTTGATGACACTAAACCATCAGCTGTCGTATTAGCATCACATTACATCTGATAATGGTAACATCCATCTCAAGTGACTTTCATTCGTAGAAATGCTTATGATTCGTATCATTAGTCCTATTACTTTTGAGTTGCATATACATACAAATGTGTAGTACAGAACTCTTTTATTATATTCCGTATTAAGAACAGAAGCCATCTAAAATGATTCACTATCAAAATAAGTTTTACTTTTATTTTTTATTTTACTTACCACGATATCAAAGGCACAAGTCCGTAGTATCAGATAAAATCTGCAATTCTAGAAATATAGATATCGATGCACCAGTTTTGGAATGTCAAACTCTCCGACTAACCAGCAGTTTAAAAAGGCGAGATCTTCAATTTGTTTCACCGTGAATTTCGTCGGATTCTGAAGCAGGTGGCCAAAGAAATTGATGAGAAAGAGAAAGGAAGAAAACATTCGGAGGACGAAGTAAGCGAAGCGAGAAGGAGAGGAGTCACGCGACGTAACATCGCGCTCTCGCTGCTCCTAATAATTATAGTTATCTCGTCGAGCTTCTCAGAACAGTTAGACGAACCCCTCCTCGAACCTCCTCTTCTTACCAAGAATCCGTAGGGAGACGCCTCGAGCGAAGAGAAATCGAAGAGCGGGCGGGAACAAGAGAAGAAATCGGAGGGGAAAGAATGAGGATGAGAGGACAGCCTGGATGAAACTTACGTATATACCAGGACGAAAGAATTCTGATCGCAGTGGTTGACTGCACTCACAGCGAGCCTCTTCGACGCGAACTTAAGGAAGTCTCCAAAAGGCACTGAGTGTAATTGGATTTTAAAGAGATCATTTGGAGACCTCCAAAGTTTCGATCAAAAGAAACTTCTGTGAATGTGAATTTTAAGAATTTGATTTCAACTCGTGTTCAATCAAGTAATCGTGGGATTTAATGTTTTTGAAGAACGTTAAGGTGATTTAAAAACCTATAAGAATTCGCTTTGTGGATAACTTTGAAGATGAATACATTTACGTTGCTTGCAATCTGCGTTCAGTTTGTACTGGCTGTCCTTGGCAGGCATCACAGGTGAGAAAAAGATTATATCTCTTTCAAGAGGTAATCATTTATATTATATTCTTTTCGTTGTTCTATTTTCATCCCTTCTATTTTTTATTATTTTCTCTTCTTGTCTTTATTCTCTTCTTGTCTTCTGTCACTTCTTTTCTATCAATTTCTTTCTTATGATTCATTCCTTCTTCTTGTTCTCTTCTTTTTGACGATTATATTTTTATTTGCTTTTTCAGAGACAGTGGTTTTCTAAACCACGTGCAGCTAGTGCACCAATTCCGATGTTCTCTGCCTCAACCGAGAGCTGTTCCGGTAGAAGATCTCTTGACTATAGGTCCTGGACCCGACGAAATCTTCTATCCTGCATCCACAGTTCTAACACGTTGCGCGGGGTCAGGATGTTGTTCCGATTCTAGACAAATCTGCGCCCCAATCGAGACCAGGAATGTCAGTCTCGTTTTCATGGTGAAACATCGCATCGATCAGCAACGGGATCGTCATCATGAAATTATTCATGCTCTAGAACACACTAAATGCGCCTGTGTAGATGAGATCCTAGCTGCAAAAAATACTACGCTTTAAATGTGAATAGTGGTCTTGAAAATAAAAATTCGTAACCTGAAATCAGATTAAATCGAGTTACGCCGAGAATTTACAAAGACCGGGAACGAAGGCTTTGTTTCTGTGATATTTTCGTTGTTTTGTATTTCACTTTTTATAATAAACTTATGCTACAATATAAACTTACTGTTGATATAAACTTATCGTGTAAACATATCAGTATATTAATAGTAAAACAGTGTTATGAATAATTTATAAATGCTTTGCATATTCCTATATATTAACTAACTGTAAATATTTTTAAGCAATTTGTGTTCATTGACTCATTGATACTATGAGTAAACAAATAAATAAATAAATGATTCCTACTGACAAAATCTTGAAATATCCGATTCGTCCATCATTATTCTTTTATGTTAAAGTATTGTCTGGCGACATGAAGATCGCGTTTTATACTTTCGTTATTCGGGTCTAATTTCAAGGCAGCTTCCAGTTCGGGGATTCCATGCTGCGGTGCAGATAATTTGCAAAGAGCAGCACCCCGACGAGCATGACATCTTGCTCTCGATATTCTATTACTTTCGCATTTTGGTTCCATCAATTCCAGTACCTACCGACAAAGAAAATTGCGCTCTATTCCTATCTGTTGCATATAAACTGAAGAAACTCTCATTACCGTGGAACAGTCTTCGATACATCTGTAATAATTTCCAAGAGCATAATGTGCAGCGGATCTATTCACGTAGAGCGCAGTCATCTTATTGCTAATCTTAATTCCGTATGTGTATGCGTTAATAGCAGCCAAGTAGTTCCCTACTTTGAAGAAGTCACTGCAATATATCAAACAAATTAATTGAATTATTAATACATAATGTGTGTATGAAATGCATTGTTCTCAACATACTTGCCCTTATCCTTTAACCATTGAGGATCTTGTTCTTCAGGACGGAGATCTTCTTCAACGAATCCGGTTTTCCTTCTAGCTTCCACTTGCTTCGAGAGCCACTAAAATAAATTATATATGAAACACACAAGTAATTAAATATATCAAAGATGTTTCATAATAGCTTTGCATAAAATTAATTTTCATAGAAATCGCTAACAGGAAATTAACTTTCATTATTTTTCTGTAAATTTAACTTTTTTATAGTACTTTTTTGTAAATATGTATATTTGTCATATAATTTATAGTTGCAGATGTGATAAACATACTTCCTGTTCTTCAATGTGAGAACTTTCTCTGGCAGGAGTGGGAAAGGCCCTTTCAGAAAAAGTTACGTTAATGGTGCCACTTTTTCTGGGAAGCGGTATTGTCTTGGAAGGTTCGTTGAATATCTGATTCACCTTGAAATATCGGACTTTCAATACCTTGTCAATCAAATTCTGACCTAGTTTCTGTTTCTTCGTTTTCGCATCAAATCTTTGTAAAGATTTCTGATCCATTTCTTTGACTAAAGGTGTTGTTGAAGATTTGTGAGCTGTCATTTCGTAATTAGATTCGGAATCTTCAGAATAACTGGAGCTCTCTTCAAGATCAAAACTTTCGTTCGAAGCTGATTTTTTCATTTCTATAATATTCGTTTCCTTTTGAAAATATTCATTCGAAATTGTTTCTGTTTTCAAATTCATTTCATCGATTGATTTTTTTATTTGAGTTTCTTCAGTAGATAATCCTTTAACAATTGATTTTTTCTTAAGATCCTGTGTAGCAATTAATTCTTTTTTTGTACATTCTTCAACAATCGGTTCTTCCTTTAAATCTTCTATAACAACAGGTTCGCTTGCCTGTTTTTTTACCATATTTATTCCTTCTTTCATTTTTTCTCTTTCATTTACTTCCACACATTGCACAATATTAGAATCATCTTTGAACCACTGAAGTGGTGGCCTTATGAAAAAAAACAATTACTTAGTTATATACAATGATATAATATAATCAAACTGGTATATCTTAGAAAAAAATTCTTAAATTTCAACAAATTTCTCCAATACATTCATTAATTATTCTGATATACTTTTAATATTTTTATGAATGTCAATGTACCTATATTCTTTTCTATTCTTTTGAGCTTTGCCGGAAATGTTTTGGAGAATTGGTATTTCTGCATTAGACCGCCAATCTTCGAAATCTCGCATCGCAGCTTTTCTATGAGCATCTCTTAAGAATTCTATCTTGTTTAACGTCTGAGTATCCAAATTGATTTGCGCTTTAACAGCTTCTTTTTGAAGATACTGACGTTTCTCTACACGTTATGAGCAAAAAATATTGTTTATTAATTAATGGAGCAGCAATTAAGGAAAAAGAAATTGCTTCTTTTTCCTTTTTAAAAAATTAAAATTTTAATAGATAGATAATTATATCTTAAAAACTTTGAGAATTAATTTTATAAAAATGAGAATATTTTTATGTTAATTTAATTATTTCTTTACGTGTAAGAGCTTTATAATTAATAAATTATTTATCACTTTACCGCTTCTAGATTTTGCACGATTTTCTGCAACGTTATGCGTCTTTTCTAAAATTCGATTTCTAAAATCATGTTTTTGCTCCTTGCTGAGGTTTCTCATTTCAAGACATGGCCAATCGTGAGTTATATTTTCTTTTTGCAAGGAGAAAATAGCTTCGTTATCCGTAAGAACACATTCACTTTCTTGTTCGAGCACATTCTTCCATAAAAATAACTCCAGGATGAAGGGAGATGAACTAATCTGCAATGAAAATTTGTCATGTTAGTCCGGTGAATTTTTTACTTTAAGTTCTTGATCTTGCAACGAGAACGAAATAAAAAATAATTCCCGAATTATCTAAGGTAAGAAAATTTTGCTTAAAAAAAAGAATGAAACAATACCTTTACATAATTGTCCATGACGAATAAATCCACATTTTTAGATCGATTTTTTAAGGGTACGTGTATTATTATCTTCTTCTCTGTCTGACGCCATTGATAATCCTTGATAATTATGGCCGGCATCGATCTTGAATTTTTATAAATGATTCGATTCGATACAACTTACTTTCCTATTCGCTTCATATAACGCTATATTGATTAAACAAGAGTATCTAGGCAACTACACAAAGCAAATACGACTTCTGTTATAACTAGATATTGCACTCATTGCGCATTATATACTAAGGTCAAAAAATGACGAAACTCCAATTTTACGTATTGTACGAATTACTTTTAATTAAAACGTTCAAGAGTATTTGTTGACAATACTTTTTTAGACATATTAAAAAGCTGCCGTTTCGCATGTAACCCATCATTATCATTGTCATCATCATCCTCGTCATTATGATCTACGATCATCTTCATATCATCTCTTCGTTATTCTAATCATCTATCCATTTATGATCAACAATCTCAAATCAATAGGGACTTATACACAGTTCAGATCATACACGATCTAACGGAAACATTAAGAAAAACGTGTGATAACAATTCTCGGAAAGAAAAGAAACGTTATCAATACGCTTCCGAAGCTCGAGATATTTGTAATGTAAATTCAAATACATTACAATTTGTCATCAGCAACCAAGTCACATTGCATATATTGCTAATACTACATTTTAAGAAACATCCTTTACTTTTACAAACTTTGCAAATTATCGTTATGACAAAAATTATGCAACATGACAAGTTGATATTTCGTAAACACTCATTAACAACTGTCAGTTCAATACACATGTCGTTGCACAGCTATTTTATGACACAATTATATCTACGCAATGACATATATCGAATAAATAATTGTCAACAAGCGCATATCGAAATACATGTGTACAAAAAATTTTGAAGAATCTCGTTAATCGCTTTGTAATTAGTTAGATCGTATATGAGGCGCTCCTCGAAGTTACATGATTAAGTGATCTGTCAAAAATCGGCTACAAAACTTATGATAAATCAGTCGGTTTTGCGAAGAGTCCGTCTCTAAAAAACGGAAATAAACAAAGATCCAGAACTTGAGGATCTGAAAGGTCGTGCAGCTAAAAAGAAACGCGGAAATGGATCTGGCTGAAGAAACAAAGAATCTAAAAATATATGAGTGAAACAGATTGATTAATCTGATTCGGATTGAACGATCAATTAGAATATTCGGATATTTGAAAACATATAAAAGAAATTACGTGTTTGGGGATATAAAGGTTTCAAGTTGAAGAACCTTAATTAAAAATCCAAATTGTGCCAGAAGTTCGGAGGTCCAAAGAATTCTTAGGAGTCAAAGATACAAAAACTTAAAGTCCTAAAAATGAAAGTTGCGAAGAGAATCTGCTAATCCAAAATTGTTAAAATGCAAAGACTCTGAATTGCAGAAATCCAAAGATCCAAGAACGGAAAATTCTAATCACACCAAGTTAAAAACATACCAGGACCTCAAAATTCCAAAACTCTAAGAAACCCTCAATACCTAGATATCCAAAAATCCTAAGTGAGTGTAATGAAGGAAATATTGAGGAGAATAAAAGCAAAATTTAACTATAGACAATCGAAGTGCAAAAGGATCGGAGTACCTTTGATATTTTGTCAGCAACTAACGCATTACAATTCTCATAAAGAGACACGGGTAACACATCTGTTCCCGCGGTTCGTTGTGAGTATAACAACAAAAACAACAAGTGCACGTCGCAGTTGCTAAGTAATGGAGGACTTTGATAAGGACTTACGACCATGAAAATTCAGAATTATGCCTCGTAAAGAGTAGCATTATGACACTAATAGTCGCTATTCTTCGCTCCGCGATCTGACGCACTCTCTCATGTACACTCTCGCACACACACGCATCCACACAACGTACACATGTATTAATCGTTTCACCAGTTACAGTCATCGTTATTAATCGTCGCTCAGTACATATGTATATTTACACAATATGCCCAGAATTCAACATTTCTTCTCTGATCACTCACGGTGAAGCGTTTTGAAATGTTCAAGACGGAGCATAAGAACTTGAACGCTACTATAAATAAGTACGCGCACAACGGTACGCTCGTCTCGTGTCTCTCTCTCTCTTTCTTTTCTTCTTTCTTCGTTCCTCTAGTGAGGCTTTGCGTCAATAGAGCAACATCCATCTCTAAACAGCCTCTCACTACTGTTTGGGAGGATTTTTCCCAAACACGTGAGTAGCTTGGCTGTTCGACTTTGTCCTACTGTTTGTCAGCATCTTTCGCGATTTGTGTGGAATGTTCGACACCAGATGTCCTAGAATTTACAGCGACTCTACTCACAGTAGCACGACAACGAAGGGAATTGTCTTCGAGCCTCTTCCGCGAGCATTCGACAATTCTGTGGTAAATAATCGAGCGAAGGATAATATAAATTTGCTGATTGACATTTGTCTTAATACGACAAGGGTTGCCTTGAGCAAATTTGGAACAAATAAATATAAATTAGAAAGACATGTCTTCTCTCTTAGTTATAAGGTAATTACAGTAAAAGTCTGTGATGTATATAAAGCGTCCCTGATCAATTATGTTGTTCTTTCAAAGAATGTTCTTGCAATGATCAATTGCAACAAAATATTTTTTATAAAAAATGTTAATATTAAAAAAATAACACTGCAGAAAATTCTAATTATTTAACAAAAAAATGTTTTTCATAATTATAGAATACTGAAAGATAACTGTAAAAATTTCATCTTGAAAATGTATAAAGGCTTAAAAATCTAACATTGATCAGGAATGCGTCTTTTAATAAGTAATCAATAGTTAATTAATAGTTCGTTGAGACGACGCATTTATATAAAATTGAAGAAGACGATTACATTTAAACGACTATTTGAAAGATCGATTCTTCGTCGTGAAAAAAGCGTCATTAAATGTGATCGTAAAAATAAATACGGGAACAATGCTTACATGACTATATATAACATGTATGTATAGTAATATAAAAGAGCGTATTCTCTCTTAAGTGACACGACGTTTTATTACACATTTTCCGCGCTCTAGGCGACGCGTTTAATGCTTAAAGCGACTCGCAACTTGATTTTTCTCATAAGAGAATATTTATTAAAGCGTTTATTAAAGCGAAGATCGAGCAATCGCATTTAGAGTTAAACGCGCGACTAAAACGCGGTAATTTAACTAAATTGCTCAGGTTTTTACACACATTCACACGCACACACGCACACACGTTCGTTTTTAAATAGTACTAATAACTGAGAAAAAATACTTAATAGTGAAAGTTTAGTAAATATGGCGATAACAAGTAAATGCAGAGGCGCTACACGTGGTCCTCGTTTAAGGAAACGAATTGTATTTGAATAGAATTAAAAGATCTCGAAGAAAACACCAAAATATATTAGGTGTCTCAAAGAGGCAATTGAAATTATTAATCGTAAATAATAATGATAAATTCAGCCATTAGGAATTAATTTGAGTAATTATGATCTTAGTTATTACTACGAAATCGTAAAAATCAATTATAAATAAAATTTAATGAAATATATTCCTGCATTCATTAAAACCAATTTAAATTAAAAGGATTATCGGAAGTTAACAATTAATTTTTAAGATGAATAATAATCCTTTTAATTAAAATTAGTTCCTAGTAATAACTGAGATTAAATCACTATATATTAAAAGTTATTATTATGTGTGATCGTTATTATTAAACTATAAATTATGTTATAAATAATTCATATAATAATAATTGGATATAAATTATATTTGCTTAAACTAATATTTCTAATACAATTTGCAATCAATAACTTACTATTAACTTGATATTATTCCTTAGGAATTATTTGATATAATTATGAGTCCAATTATTATTAAAGGAATTATTCGAAATCATTGTGAATTATTAAGAGAAATCAATCACTTTTTTAGAAAGAAATAATTGGGCAAAAACGACTATATGTCAGAAAAGTACAAATACAAAGGGTTAAGTCTTAATAAATACATAAAACCCTTTCATTGTCTTGATGAATATGGCACTCGATTTTAAAATACATGCAGATTTTTAGGTGACACCCTGTACAAAATGGACGGCGTCATTTCTAATTCCACATTCATAAAAAATTCTTAATTTTAATTGCTTAATTCTAAGGTTCACTATTTCACTGTATTTGATAGATAAAAATAACAATTACTTCTATTATTTAATTTTAGTGACATATTATGTCCTATAGTTATCTATTCCAAAAGATAACTACATATATTTTCAAATTTCCCGAGGAAAGTTTTTAAGTAAAATAATTCTCTTAGTATATATTCTAAGGAAAACAATTTTTGCCTCCAAATTTTGCAAGCAAAAATTTCTAAGAAATATATTGTTTCCGCAGAAATATTTCAAAAGAGAAACTCTTCTGAAAAATTTTCTAAGTAAACATTGATTTTGTCATATTTTTCATCGCGAATTAGAAATTGATTTTAATAAATAATAAAAGACTTTCATGAAGGTGTCCAAACTTTCAATTCTTTGATAAACATATAACTTTAACTCGCATTTACTTTCATTTATTATTTTCCGCGGGAAATTTGTTACCTAACTTTTTCAACAAATATTACTTCTTAATAAATTTCAAATTTCCCACTTTTCTTCATTTACCTCCTTTGAGACACCCTATATACCTCGCGCTCACAGGATTCGTAATATTCTACCGAATATCTAGTTAATACCAAACGCGTCCATCTTATTCGTAAGCTATTTTTTCCGTGCAGCTTTTTCTGCTTTTCGTCGCATTCGTTCAATTTCTTTACGCTCCTTACGCTCACGATCGGCCTGGGCCCTCAATTCTTTCAATTTGCGCTTCAGATGAGCTTTTGCTTCACCATAAACTCCCAAAGCCTTTAGCTCTCTTGATTCCAAACGTAGCAAGTTGCTTCCGTTGATACCACTGTCTAAAAATTGTGGAGAATAGCGTTCCAAACCGATTCCCGTCAGCCATTGGCAAACCTGAATATATGTTTCTCTTTTTAGAAGTACAATATTGAAAATAGGAATGTAAAATAGGAAAATATTTCCTTGTAAATTTATAGGACAAATTCAAATAAATAAATAAAAAATTGGTATGATAGCTTAAAGAAAAAGAGAGGAAGGATAACAAATGTTAAAAAAATTTGTAAGGCGTACATAATATCAATTTTGTAAATCTAAATTTGTAAAGTAATTGGTAAAAATAAACTTTTATCGTAAGTCGTTATTTTATTTTTCAATGTTTTTTTTTTTTTATTAAATACTCACTTGCTCTTTGGACCAATCCGTGACCGGAGCGTTCTGCCAAAAGTGGGACTTCTTGTCACCTAAACCAAAGTCGCTCAGTTGAGCGGGCAACCAAACTGCGCTCGAATCTACATTGATAATGCATGCATGATGGAAAGTGCATGTGGCAGGATCTTATTATGCTATTAGTAATCACTCTATCAGCAATTAATCACTACTCAAATTTCTACTATATATTCACATTCTATTTTGTTCTATTAATTTTACTATTCTTTTTATTCTATTTTGGCGTTTCATTATATTTTGTTTCAAATGCATAAAATGAAAATTACATTCTACTAAAAAAAATACTACTTGCTTTGAGTAGACAAAATTTTTTTACTTAAAAATACAAAGTAAGATTTTTAAGTCAATACAGCAAAATTGTATTTAAATAAAGTGTTATTGATTATGCACGTGAATTACAGAAAATCAGCAAAAGAATTTATTCTTGAATTCCTTTATTTTATACTGTAATCTCAACTAATTTTGTGAACTCTTTGATTTTAATTCCTGATTGAGTAATTGAAAGGTTAGTGCTGAAATTACATTAGTACACGTAGAATGTTTAAAGTACCTGCAAGGCTACCAGCTTTCGAAGGACTAGGATCGACAGCTGGAGGACTCACGGAACCACCAGAAGACAAGCTCGATGGAGAACTTCCTGGATGGTGCCAGGGAGCTCCTCCACTGCCGATTAAATTTGACGGAGGAATCGATACTTTCTTCACTGAAAGCACAAGTTTAGCTACACCAAATTACTTCAGTTAATAAAGTAATACTGCCATCTAATTAACTCAAAATATTATTATTTTTTTATTTTAATTTTATTATAAATTTATGCACATGGTGTAATAATATGTTCTATTTACCTCTTTGATTAGCCTCGCTAACAGCTTGTCGTATCTCCTCTACAAGATGATGCGTGACTATGGTTGGATCGTTATTATGGGGATTATTGAGATCACTGAAATCGCCAGAGCTCTCCCTCGAGGAATCATTTCCGCCAAGTCGCTTCTCTCTCTCGGCTAAAACCTGCTTTAGCTGTTCCGCCAATGATGCGGGAGGTCCGGTTAAAGCTATATAAAAGAGAATATTGATTTTTATTATATACTTTATTACCTTACTATCATATCTTACCTGCCAGTAAATCATTTTCATCTATTATATTTTCTATATATTATCTATCTATTATCTATATATTTTATTATCTATATATTATCTATCTATTATCTATATATTTTCATCTGCGTAGTTAATACATAAATAATGCGTAAACAAATATTGCGCGATCTAAAGAAAGAGTAAAGCTGTTTGTTCAATATTAAAGTGTAATTATTTAATATTTGTTAATTTTTATATAGTTATTTATCAGAACATGAAACAATTTGTACACTCCTTTTTATTAATTTTCTACATTCTAAATGTTATGACAGATAACAGTCAACGTATTGAAACAAATACAATAACATACTTTTTTGTGATTGAGGCCAGCTCTGCTCGGTCATCGCTCTGACTTGCGAGCTGATGGTGCTGTGTCTAATCGCCGTAGGATGTATGGGATCCATGTGTTTCCCCTTGAGCGAGCTGATGGATGAAGTACTAGAGTAAGAACTTAGGTTGGACTGCTTAGAGGTCAAGTCGTTGGGCGATCGGCTGCTGTTGTCCTGCGAAGTAAGTTTTGAAGAGGAATCGTCGTCTGTGTTGTCGCCCGACTCGTCTAATCCATAATCCTGAAATTGGAAAATTCATCAATTATTAACACAGACACATACATGTGTATATTATTATAAATATAAAATCATGGGCAATTTATTTATAACTTTCGTCATTTGTTTATTTTTATTTCCGATTCTTTATTTTACTGTCATTATCAATTTACATAATCATAGCGTTATAGATAACAATTAAAAAAAAATAACATACCGAACTGCTATTGCTGAGACCTCCAGATCGCTTAGGTAGTTGACGATTGGCTAAACCACCCCTGCTAGCAAGCTCTGCCTTGCTCTTGCCGGCAGAATTATCCAGCAAACGATGAGCCGGTACAGCACGATCTAATTCTTCTTTCACCGGCAGTGGTAAAGGCAATTTTCTTTCTACTGTTGCAGTTTTGTCACCGTCGTCCGGGCTACTGAGATCAGAGGTCTCTGTGTCGGAAAGCTGACAACTAGTCGACGAAGGCGGCGGTGGTAGTTGTCTGCGAGAAAGCTGTGGCGTCACTATCCTGGCAGTAGTATTGTCGTACGGCAACCGTACTGGCAAGCCAAATCGTTTCTGAGTATCGGTCAGCTCCACTTCCAATGTGATTACCTGAAATTATTTTTTATTCATGATTTTTATTATATACGTTCAAAAATCAATTCCTACTTTTTATCTTGACACATCTAGTTTAAATTTCTCAATGAACAATAGTATTTTACTAAAATTTAATTACTCAAGTGTTGAACGTACTCTGTCTTTGAGACTTTTCACCAACGCATTATACTCCGTGTCCTTTTCCTGCAACAATTGCTGATAAAATTCATCTCTGGCTGCGATATCTGCTCGCAACTCTCTGGCAGCCCTCCTGGCTCTGGCATATTTTTGCTGTAGAGCCGCGTTTTGCGCCGTTGCTTGGGACAACATATCCCTGGTTGCCGACAAGTCTTGGCGAGCAGTACCCAAGGCTCTCTCCGACTCGTGAAGACGTAATCCTGATTCCCGTAATTTAGCTGCATACTCTTCGCTACCTGCTCCGCTGTTTTCTAATTCCACCAGCTATTGAAAACATGAAACGAAAATTACAAAGTTATATAAAATGACAAATTAAAATTACATAGATTAGAATTATAAAGATAAACTTATAACTATAAAATTGTATATAAATTAGAAATATAATAGATATTATACATACTGAGATTTATACAAACTGAGATTTATTGATTAAAAGAAATGTAAAGGGATAGCTAATATAATTTAAACAACAGATAATATTGATAATTCAACTTTACGCTATACTATATTAATTCTAATTTTAATTTTATATATACTACTCAAGACCTACGTGATTATAAAAATATACATATCAATATACATATCAATATACATATCAATATATAGTTATAAATTAAAAATATTATACACAGTATATGAAAGAAAGGATATCATGCAAGGGAAATTTGTAAAGATTATATAATAAGCATATAAGAGCATAAGGAAAAATAATAAGCAAAAATTGATAAAATTGTTTTTAAACATTTTTCAAGAATATATTTTATACTTTATATATTAATACTCCGTTTTAAATTAGTTCTAATTAAAACGTCAGTTAATTCAAACAATTATATTATATATAATTAGATATAATTACTTGAATAATTTTGTAATTCAATTATATAATGATGAGACTGAAAAGTATTTAAATGACTGTTACAACATCAAGTTACCTTCGCTTTGAGATTTTCGACTTCCTCGTCCGCTATTGCAAGTTTATACTGACTCTGCAAGCAACCAATGACACACACAGCGCATAAGCGAAACAAAAATGAAAAATATCTACAAATGTACACTGTGTGATTGTAATATATATATATATATTATATATATACACGACACACTCACATATACATACGCATAACTGTGCACACGCTTACCTCTTTTTCATACATGAAAAATCCATATATTGTTTTCGAACAAACATGATCACAGCACACAAATTCAAGATACAATCGACAAAAAGACAAGATACAGTGAATTAAAAAAAACAGTGTTAGAAGCAATATTTGCAGACAAAAACTCGCGTGTTTCTACTAATATGCCACATGGAAGAAGTACAAAAGTGTATGAAATACCTCCTGCAGGAGTAATCTCAGACTGTCTACATCATTCTGTGTAGTAGTAGTGTGTGGAGGCAGGGACGAGCTAAGAATCGGAGATCGGCTGCGACTAGAAGGCGACAGGTAATTTTCGATGGGACTGTGAGGTGGTTCTCCCTCTGAGCATGATGACAGCACTGGCGAACCAGGAATTCCACTTATTCCGCTGCCAATAGAAATATCCTCACTCCCTCGTTGACCATCGGGGGAGGCATCAGAAAAGTTTAGTTTCCTGTTCGCAGATATATAATGTTTTCTTAAATAGAGAAGAAAACAGTGTGTTGTTTGTCGAAATTACGTAATGCTACATAAATTACAAAAATCATTATTCCCTCAGTACTCCAAGATGCCTCAGGCACTCATTGGAGTGGCCAAAAAGTGTCGTCACAGAATATTTGCGAGCAAGGATATTACCATCATCGGGAACGCAGATCGTTTCTTTTAACAACTTAACATAAATTTAACATAAATCGATTACTCACTTAGCAGCGTTCGCTTGTTCTCGTTCCCTATCCGCTTGAAGACTTTGCTTGATCAACATCGCCACTTCCGAGTTCTTGGGATCTTTTTCTCTACCGATAACAAATCGTACCAATCCAGAAGTATTCCTTAAAACGCTAGCGGCATACGCTTGAGTTACGCCGACCAAGCTCTTGCCGTCCACCTCGACAATTTGGTCATTCACCTGGATACGACCTTCGCGCGCGGCCGCACCCTGCTCGGTGATGGTCTTCACAAAAATACCCAGCTTCTCCAGGCCAGCGTCAGCACCCACACCCATTCCAATTATGCTAAGACCCAATCCTTCCGGCCCTTTCATTAACTCTACTGGGAAGACCTAAGTTAAGCAAATTTTTACCTTTTCATTAGTATTATAATATAACATTTCTAATTAATGTATTATGTTGCGATTCTGAGTTTAAAAACTTCTTTATAAAAGAATTAAATTCATTTTCTCTCATTCTCTAATTAATTTTCGCTTTTTTAAAATTAAAAGAAAAATTAGAAATATTGTTAGAGATTACCTCCATCTTCTCAACACGCTTTTCCAACTCGTACTCAGCACTGGCCGCCACAGGATCTACGTCTTCGTTGCGACGATCATATTCATTTACGGAGTGCGTGGAATAAACACGCATAGGACCAGAGTCGAAAGATACTTTAGTCGTTTTCTTAACGGGCACGGTGGACGGATAATCTTCGTCATCGTCATCAGATTCTGGAATCCCTGCGACCTCCATCCAGAAGTGGCCATCTTCGAAATAATGCACGCCATTCTCTACGAGAACCTGTTTAAATATGCATATGACGTTAACAATTCAACTTAATATTAGCAATTCATTTCGATTTCTTTGTTAATATAAGAGATAATATTGATAATATTGAGAAAGGTATTTTTTATACTCAAAAGAGGCTAATCTCGACAAAACGAAATTATAAACATGTAATGCCTTTTCTCTTCTATAAATTTAGACTTGTTCTTCGACTTTTTACTATGTTTATACTTTTAACCTAATCAAGAAGAAAAGTTAGAAAGAAAAAATGATAATGCATTATATATTACAATTTTCCCTGGAATTGGAATGTAATCGTCTTGATGTTCTGTTTCAGTGTCATCGTTGGTTTCATGGGTGTCGTTCAAACTGCTTACAGAACCCAGTAGTCCGCTCTCGCTTCCTGTTACTGATCCCACTTGACTCTCCGTTAACGAATCTATTGTCAAGTCACTGCGGGACCTATGAGTTAAACTAAAATAAAAATTTAATTATAGTGGATATGATAAACGACAGGAATAGGTCGTCTTAGTTCAAAAATCCTAGCAACAATTCCAACAATCCCAAAAGTCCAAGGAACTTAAGAATCCTAACTGGTCCAGAAAATCGATAAGGATCCAAATATATTCGTGTAATCGGAGCCCAAAAATCTACTATGAATAAATATCATATCATATGTTAAAAATACAATTGCGACCATTAATAATGGATCCCTCGACGCTTATAAACTATCTTATTAATCCATAATTAATTATATGAGTACTATGTGAAACATATCGTTAAGATCGTTAACGAAGGGAGAATAAGAATGAAACAGCAGGGCGCAAAAAAGGGACACGCAACAAAAAAACATGGAAAATAATCTCGTTCACCTATAATCGTGAGTGGCGCTATTGATAAGACTGGAATCAGGAGCAGACAGGACATCGGACAGCCAGTCGGGCGTGTTGTCCTGGTCGTCTCTATCCCTGTCCTGTCCTTCCTTATCCTTGTCATTAGAAATCCCGTCACCTACTGCATCATCTGCACCGGTGGGAGACAACAGCCTCGCGATCTCCTGCGCTTCCTCGTCCGATAGCAGCGCCGAACCTTGTCTAATTTATGTTTCGAATCATTCACTTGGCATTGCGAATCGAATTACGTGATCGTCAATAATGAATCAATTTTGTTATTAAATGGCAGAAGCAGTTATATCGATTTAAACAATTTTTCATGTGTATAAAATATATCTTTACATTAAATATCTCATTAATATCCGACTTAAGAAACGCTTTCACGTTTAACATAAAATTTAAACATTGTGTAATGTTAAATGTCAAATTAAATTAAAATTATTACTCGTAAAATATGTGTATGTGTGTGCGTGTTTTATTATAATTATATGCAAATATTCAATAAAAAATAACTTCTCATGAAATAAGACTTTCGCGAACTAAATATTAAATAATCTATCTTTACTTTTATCCACATATAAAATTCGTGTAATAAATTACTTGTTAATGAAATAATAAAGTCTATGATAAGTAATCTATAATAGGTAAATATAATGTTGTATAATAAATACGGAATGACATATCTGCTTCTGTTATTCACTTGCACAATTGCAATTGCAAATGTATTCACCTGATCTTCTTCTCCAGGATGCTGTGTGGACCAAGGAAATCAGCAGATTCGCATTTCGATAAACACAAACGTATTAGAATTGAAACAAAAGAAACAAAAATTATTAATATTAAGCTTTTAAATTAAACGTTACAAGTAATACATGCTGCGAAGCTGCAGCGAAATAAATATGTCGTGCCATTAAATATCGACACGCTATTAAAAATGCAATCAATTTTTTAAAGCAAAACAATTCCTGTCAATGTATCCTAGAAGCGGTTCAAAACTAGCACTATTCTAAAGACATTTCTTACTCGTATCACAATATCGATATCAATGAAATTAAGTGTTCCAAGATTATATTCCCTCATTAAAAGTTCTCATCATTTTCTCCTACATAATTTCAAATATGCAATATTCAGAAACTAATACCAACGTTATTAACAATTTCCTCTCTCAAAATACTCACCGAGAGCTCAACAGATTTTCAGCCTCATCCGGAGTCATAGTGTCCGGTGTCACGGGTGTAATATGATTGACGCTGGCCTTTGAGGGAGTCTCCAAAACGGTAGAATTATTCTGCGCTTCCGTTGTTGCACACTCCGACGAATTAACGACTGTCTTTGTGTCACTCGAGTCGCTGTCCTCGATCAAACTGCTCTCCGACGTGTTGTAGTCGTTGGATCTTCTGCCGGAATGCTTTTGTGTAAGTACATTGGACGCTGGCAACGGGGATGTTGACTGATTGTAGTTCTCCGACAGCCTAAGTTTCGCCAGCTCGGCTTTCTGCTTCTCCTGCTCCCACGTTGTCTGCGGCTGCTCAACAACACTCTCCTGCGCTTTCTTGCTCATCAGTACACTGTTTACCGCCGCGATGCACTCCTTCCTACTGCTACTGATCTCTGACTTGGACACTTCTGTCGCGTATTTCTCCTCGTCTTTGCTTTCTTTCGCAGTGAGCCCTAAATTTGCTTCCTGGCTACGATTCGTGCCGCCATAAGTCGTTTTCTCCATACTGTCCATTTTACTTTCTGCTTCAGCGAAGCTGGAACGTTTGCCGGAGACTTCTTCCCTGTTCTTCGCGATCTTTTCCCTAACGCTGATCTTAATTTGATCGTTCTTTGCATTTGACACTGTCTTCTGGCACACTCCGTCGCCGGTAGGCTTCACTTTTGCGTCTGATATTGTTTCCGTAACAGATACGGAGTTGATTTTTATTGTTTCCACAGCGTTGTTGCTATAGTTCTTTACCTGCTCCGTGCTCGGCAATTTCGTTTGAGCTTTGCACTCGGCATTGCTCGGCGAAACAACTTCTTCGCTCTGCAGCCTTTTCGAATACGGCGAGGGTACAGGGATGTCCTTGTGCTCCAGTGGAGGATATTCCTGGTCAGAACTAATGACAGAGGGTGGACGTGGACCCAGACCTGCAGCTTGAAGATCGAGGCGCACATGAGAACGTCGAATGACTGTGGTTGTGTCTATTTCGTTAAACTTGAATTGATCCTTCTCTGAGAGGCTCTCCATCTCTGAAATACAGCTCTGGTATGTAGCTGGCTTTTCCTGATCCTCTGTCTCCAAGTCATAGCTGTTGCGACCTGGATTTGGAAAATACAATTATAAAAATATTGAGATTTAAATTGGTCATTAAAAAAGATTTCAATAAGTCTATAAAGCTAAATAACAAAAAGTAATTAAAATTTTAAAGAGATTCTAAGAAAAAATTAATAAATCTATAAATAATTTTGATTTTGATAAAATGTGTTATTGTTCCATTTTATTAATAAAAGTCGTATAATATTAATAATGAAGCATATAATATAAAATGCAAGCAGCAGTAATAAATTCAGTAAAAAAATTAAAAAATTCGTCCTTCGATCATTGAAAGCGTAAAAGATGCAAAGATGATGCTACATTTTCTGAAACTTGTATTTTATGTAATAAAAGTAAAACTACCGTATTTCTAAATAACAAAAATAATAAAAATATATAAAAAAATATTAAGTAACAAAATTATATTTTTTTCTCAACATTTAACTTTCTTAATTTAATCACTTAAAAGATTTATTGAGTACATCTCAGAAGTACCTCCACAATCAATGCAAAGTAATCGCAGACACATAATTTTAAATCTTCCTCTACACAGAGGTCCAACAAATACAAGAACTTCAATTGTATAAAATGTGACAGTGTCTCATATATACATATAAACACTATTATAGTTTTTACTCCTACATTCTATCACAAAACAATGCACTTGCAAAGTATAATCATCAGGGTATATAATTAGACTTAACACTATTATTTAAATTATTTAATTCGTGTCACTTAGTTGCGGACGCGTATTAATTTTTTCGAAAACTGCATAATAAATTATTCACTTCATGTTTTACTTAATTCTTTGATTTAATTCCTTTCATCATTTTACTAACTTAAGATATAAAAGAACATATTTTGATTAAAAAACTTTTATAAAACTATACATTTTACTTCCTTAGGAGATCGTTAATCCATTGAAAAACTTGTTTACTTATATCACATTTTATCTATAATAGTGTTTACAAGCTTCCGGGCGTCTATTATCTTGATTTTTATTATTATTGGAGAAGTCACTGTAGTAATTGGAAATGTGTTCGAAGCACAACATTAGAAATTTCTAAATTCTAAAAATCTGTGAAAAGTTTCAGAGACACTTTTGCAAAGTAAACGTGGCGAGGTACGAGCGTTTTGGCTGCTGAACAAGCCACACAGTGATTTCTATAAATAATATTGTGGCACACTGGTAGGAGGAAGAGCGTGAGAAGGAGAAAAGGGGGGAGAAGGGAAATCGTGTCTGGTACTTTTACTTTTTGGCACTTTGGCACACTGCCATGCCAGTTCACGACAGCGGAAGTCACCTGGATCCACTAATCCTTTACAAAAATGTAAAAATTCATTTCTAAGTTGCTTATATTTCTAGATGTTCCTTTTTATTTCTAGATCGAAAAATACTTTAAAAACAAAATTTAATATTTAAAACAAAATAGTTTCAACGTAACTTTCACGTAACTTTCAGTTGAAATAACCTTTAGCTTTCTTTAGCTTTCCACTCAGTACACTTTTTCTATCGAGGAAAATTTATAATTTCCTTTTCGAAAGATTCAAATTGGAAGTTCTACTTAAAAAATAGAACAAACTACAAAACAACGAAAATGACCGTAGATACAAACTCACCTGTCTGATGCTTCTCCGACATCTCCTTCTCCGCCTTCTCCTCCTTGCTATCTTTGGAAGGTGAACTAGGCGAACTCATGCTGGACGAGGCGCTGTCGGTGCCTGCGGAGGAGGGCAAACCTAGTTCGGATTCCGGTGAGCGCATCAGCTCGTTCCTCTTGTCGTCGCTTGTCGTCTCTTTCCTCTTAGCGTTCGCGCTAGGCCTGGCCCAGTCGGGTCTAGGATCCGGCCTTGTTATCACCTCACCACGTGTAATTTCCGCTTCTAGTGCCTCCCTCGAGGAGGACTTCAGATCCTTCATATCCACGGTTCTTTTCAGGATCTCGTCATTCTTCGCCAACCACTCATTCCGCCACTCAGATGTTTTCGCTGGCGAATGAATCGGACTTGGAGGGCAATTTAGATACTCCGGTGCTTCTAACAAATCGCTCTCTCTCCTCGTCAACTGGGCACTGTCCACCGAAGTGCTGCTTCGAATCGGACTAGAAAGCTCGCAGTGGAGCACTAAAGATGGTTTTGTTTGTTCCGATAAGTCATTGTGTTCTTTCGTGATTGCAATTTTAGTGTCTACGATTGTCTCCGTAGCTATTGGACTCTTCGAAATCTCCTTCGAGCTCTCCACAGTCTCCTTCGGGCTCTCCGTTGGCCTGGAAACTGTAGTTTTAAAACTTGCCATTTCCTCCATAGTTGTGGAGCCCTTTGAAGTCTCCTTGGGAACGTCCGCTGATCTTGGAAATGCATTCTTGCATGTCGGAATTGCTTCTACAGTCGTTGGATCTTTCGAGTTTTGCACACTAGACACCTTCGAAGCATCTTTCGGGCTCTCCGACGACCTCGAAACTACAGGCTTGCAAGCAGGAGCTACTTCCGCAGCTAGTGAGTTTTTAAAGTTCTGCGCGGTCTTGAAAGCCTCTTTTTGACCATCAGCCGGCCTCGAGACCGACTTTGAACTGTTTTTCTGCACTACAGCGTATTCCGGCACGGCGGAGTCCTGAATCTTATCAGAACCACTGTCCTGGATTTCCTTTGAATCCTCTTGCGGCTTTCTCGTTTTCTGTACGACGGCATATTCCGGAATAGTCGGCGAGATGTCGTCGAACTTTTCTATCGTCGCATATTCTGGACTTTCCGGTAGATCCGACGGGCTGAGCGCGGCGATACTGGCCGGTCGCTCTCTTCTACCGGCTGCCGACGAATTTCTGACCGGTGGTAGCGGTGGCGGAGGTGATCGCGCAGAACAGAAACTCGCCGACCTAGCCGGGCTAGCGGTGTCGTTGGTCGCGCTCGTTGTACTCTGACATAACCCGTCGACGGACGACTGCTGCTGCTGGGTCGCGTTATGAGTTGCGTTCTGTGAGTTGAGAGACGTTTGCACCAGCGAGCGATTCGGGTCGGAGTTGTAGCGGCTTGGTCTGGTTTTTGAGAAGTGACTGGTCCAATTACGTTGCTTTTCGATCAACTCCTTCGAATTCGGTCGGCGCTCCGGTTTCTCGGGTCGTTCGGGACGGTCGTTTTCCTTGCCCAATGTTCGTTCAACCTTACCGCCCACCAGTCCAGCCACTACGGCACGCCGCTGATCCGGCATGTTGCAGTGACCGTTTTCGAAATGCCGTTCCGCGTTCAAGGCCGGCACGCTGGCACTCCACGTGCTCAGATGCTCGCGACTGCCCGGCGGAGACGGCGAACGCGGACGCGGTGATCTCGCGGGAGAGGTGCAACCGGAACCCGAGTTCGCCGAGCTAGAGCGAGATCGAAGACCATGCAAGTTGTTCGGTTTCGTGACTCGCTCCACACTGTGGATTAACGAAGTGTGTGATTCGAATTTTATGAGTAAAAATAAAGGACAACAGAACAAGATTCTTTGAATAAACATTGGCAAAGTTAAATAATGGCCGGTATTCATAGTCGAATCTTATTTCAAGACCATCTTATGTAATGTCTTAAGATGCGAATACGGCTCTGTGATTGGTTTAAGACATCTTAAAACAGTATTTAAGATAATCTTAAATATAATATCTGACTATGAATACCGGCCAATGTAATAAATGATCAATAGCAAAAGAATTTCATTAAAAAAAAATGATTTAATTTTGATTGAGATAACATTTATAAATTTCAAAATCTTTACATATATTATATAAATAATATAATTGTAAACAAATGCTTACGGTCTGCTCGTTTTATTCTCTTCACCAAGTTTTTCGAAGAGAGCACGTGCATTGTTGAAGCGTGCCACATGGCTTTCAGTCCTGACTACTGTCACTTGCGTCGGCGACTCCTTCAGCGGAACAGCTGGTTCCTTGAAACCATCCGATAGGATATTATTCGTTCTGTGGCTCAGATTTTCCAGCTGTGGCTTGGACTGGAAAATGTTCGCGATGGCTGACACCTTAGAACCACCCACTCGTTTCTTCTCTTCTACCGTTGCCATGTTTAGCAAAAGCTTATACAAACAAAAATAGTAACGTATTTAATACATTTTTCGATTGTTTTATAAAAATCTATGATGCATTTAGTCTCATTTTAAAAAGAAGTACTTTTTTTATTAAAAAATAATTTTAGACTTCAGATTAAATTGTAGAAGATAAAAATATGTAAAAAATAAAGAATCAAATATTTTATAATGCTTTACCTGTGACAAAAAAAGTATGTGACAGTTATGTGTAGATGCTGATTATTCAGACGTTTCAGCCCATTGTCATTCGTATAAATTTAATGCACTTCATTGCAGCAATCTATAAAGGAATAAATTGTCAAAAAAACCAATATACTAATTATAAATTAAAAGTGAAATAAGCTGAAGTATATAAAATACAAATAAAGTATCTTGTATATGTTTTAGGCTTTCAATATATGGAGAAATATGATTGGGTTGATTTGGTTTCCAAGTTAGAAATAATTTTTTTAAGTTGTTTTTCTCCTTGAAGAAATAAACTGGAATGTTCACAAAACAAATTCGTGAAAGATAAGGCACCAAACCAAAAGCCAAACCAAGTAGATATCTTCACAGTAACAAGTTCTTATATCTTTAGTCATATTCTTTTCATTCTGAAATTATAACTCAATTTCTAACAATACATAAATTATATTAAGTGCTATCTAGTATAAAAGCCACATAAACTATATATTTAAAAGATAAAATTGCAATTAATATCTAAAATATTTCAAAATTTTATGCTTTTACATCATACTAAGAACATACATTTTCTACCACTATCACCTATAGCTATCCCACATTAGCACAGTCAATTGGATTTCCTGACCTTTACAGAATTTGAATATACTCCTGCTTAAAGAACTAATGCTATACAAAAATTTTTCCAAATTTTATTAACTCTACCTCTATTAAATTATTGAAAAAAATGAAAAAATAAAAAAATTTGTAAAAGTATTTTCAAAAAATGCTTATGAAAATGCTAGAACAAAAGTTACAAAAGTAGTAATATGTAATTAAATGACATATAACTATAAAGATTATTATCATATTATAGATATGTAATATATGATATAATTGTGCTATTAAAATAACAATTTTTTTTTAAATTCAGGTACAAAATATTTAGAAATACATAAGATATGAAATAAAAATAAATAAAATTTAATATATAGATGCAAAAACATGTAAATAAAATATTATAATGAGTTGTATAAAATTTTATTAAATTTATACTAAACTATTTATAATATATTTATTTTAATATAAAATTTTGTTTATTTTCCTACTTTATTTTTTTCCAATATTTTCATATGCATTATGTAAATATTATTGTTTACATTTTTGGAATATATTGAATGAGAACAAAAGTTGAATGACAGGTATGAGATATAATATAATAGGTGGGTCTCCCTTGTCTGGGCTTCAACCCTCCTCCCATAGCACACCATGTTGCTTCAATCAATACTTGAGTGCTGTTTCTGTGGTAGAGAGATATGAAAAGAGATGCAATTTTGCATCACTCTTGTAGTCACATGGTTGCTTATGTGATAGTAGAGACATTAACTCATGTTTGTTCTGAGTCAAATAGTTTGCTACAAGATACATTCACAGTGCAATTACCTAGACATACTGGATATCTCTTTAGAAGTATCTAGAAACATATTCACAACAATATATTGGATATATTTGTATCTAGATACAAAGTTGTTTAATAATTTAATTTCTCAAATTAAATTATCAACATATAATTTAAAAAATTCAATTATATGTTTATCTTATAATAATGAAAAAATAATGATAATGCCATTATTATATATGTTCTACTTATTGACAGTAAATATCTAATTTAATATTTGAACGTTAATATATAGTAACAATATTGATTTAATTGATTTTAGTACAAATATAATCATTTGAAAATCAATGAAATCAATAAAAAAAAGTCTTGATATATACAAAAACTATAATTTCATGAAATACCTCTTTAATCGCTTACGATCAATAAACTGTACATTTATAAACTCTATATTTTCTTTTAACAATAATCAAGTAAAAATGTCAGCTTGTAACAATATGATAAAATGTGGATTAATAAAATGAACCAAATATAATTTTTATCAATCAATTTTCTTAATTCCACAATGTCATTAAACTACTCAAGCACTAATAAATATTTAACTTATTGCTTGGAAACTGTGCTACATAATTTCACTGCGGTCTTAATGAAAATATCCGCAAAAATATGCATTAACAACATCAATCGACTATTAATCGTTAAATTGACCAATATTACAATTTCACTAAACAAAGTAACTCCACAATTGTCCAATGTAAAATTCAATACTTGCCAACTACGTTACATGATTTTAATGTTTTCCCCATGAAATCAGTAAAAAAGATGCAATAAAATCTAAAATAAGAGAATCAATTGAACATAATGTGCAAATTTACCAGTCCCACAGCATCATTAAACAAAACACCTTCCCAATCGCCATTACACCCCATGAGCTACCCACGGAAGCGCCGTTTTAACGAGCTCGCCGGAGATATTTCGAGAAAGCCAATTTCGGTGTCGTCTGATAAATACGAGCTCGTCTGCCACGGCGCACTTCCTTTCACATCAAAATTACTTTCGGACTGACCCGGAAGACGATGTCACCATGTGCGCGCGAGCATCCCTCGGTCGGGCGAGCCGCAGACTTTCGCCGCGCTCGGACACGTTCGGCTTCGTTCGTCTGCACTCGGTGGTGTTCGGCGCGGCTTCGGCGGTTTACGATTCGTGTCGCGTTCTCACGATGTGACGGCCGCGACGCGATGACCAAGTTCCTCGAGTTGCACCTGTGCTGTTGTTAATGCACAGTCACCTTCACCATGTTGGCGGTGGCGAATTGGCGACACGCTGATCTCAATCCGTGATCCACACGCCTATCGATCACTACTTCGCAATTCGTCCTCCCACATCGCGATCCGCCGACGGCCACTGCCCGACTATGTCGACGACCGTGCGGAATGAATCAAGATGGCCGACCGCAATGTTTATTTCCAATATGGCGGCGAGAAAGTTTAGGGTCTCTCAAAATGTTAAGTCTATATCACAGATCGAATATGGAAGGTAGACCAATCGGGACGAAGCGAGCTAAGATTGAGATAACCTGATTGGCCGAGCAACCTCCAATGAGCTTCATGAATTCTTAGACTGAGTTCTCATTTAGGCTGAGTTCCTACTGAGCGCGTCACGCGTCGCGTTGTTGTGCGTTACGAGTTAACCAATCAAATCGTTCCATTGGAACAAGTGCGTTCGTGCGTCATGCGCGCGTCATCCCAATTAGAGGATTTGATTGATTAACTCGTGACGCAGGCAGACGACGCGACGCGTGACGCGCTCAGTGGGAACTCAGCCTAAGAACCAATAATCGCTGATTACTCATTGAGCAATTGCTTTTTCCGCTAAACATTCCCATTAGTTTTTACTGTTAGATCCCTAAATCTAGATCAATTACATTGACGAATTGCTCAACTATTGTGCAACTGTTGAGTTTGCTGAACGCACCCAATCTCATTGTAAATGGGCCTTTACAATAGAAGTCGTAGAGTCGTAAGTCGTAGAAATTGACCAATCGCAATCGAGTATGAGATGAATAATCGATCGCGATTAGTCAATTTTTACGACTTACGATTCTATGATTTCTATTGGTTTACATCGTGCACTTGATATGCGTACTAAATAGTAACTTTCTATTAGATAATTTTAATATCGACAATGCATATCAACGGCGATGTATTCAATCAATACGTTTTGTTGATGAGTATTATACCAGTTTAATATACCGTTGTTTATATAAATCGTCGATATCAAGATTATCTAATAGAAAGTTACTATTTAGTACGCGTATCAAGTGTACGATGTAAACTAAGCCATTAGAGAATAAATATAGTGTAAATACATTTATATCATTAAAAAAATTATTTTTCAATTATTCTCAGAGAACTCTTTCTGCTAAATACTGCATGCGTTTCGAAATTGATAGAAGAAAAATATTGCTCATTTTATTTACCTGTTGGTGATATTTTTGTGAACATATAACACGATTGTCAATAGCATTTTCCCCAGTTTTTCCCTGCAGCTGTCATTTTGTAGTGTCTTTTTCGCTATTTTCCAAAAATATTAAATATTAAATACAATAATAAGTAGACAAATAAAACATGTGAGATAAAGCGTAGTATGCAGGGATAATGGAGTGGAGATAGTGTGATGTAAGAGAATTAAAGTGGTGAATTTTTTTGCGACACACTTCGTAATTTCTTGAAGAAAAAGATTGTACCAAGTAAATAATCTGAGTCGTTTCAATGTTTACCTAAAGTGGATGATTTTAACATCCATTAAGTCACGTTAAGCAGTGCAAATGGTAAGAATAATTAATCTTTCTGCATGTGTTTATGAATCTTATTATTAGCCATTTTCTCAGACTAATTAGTAATGCCTCCAAAGGAAGCTAAGTCATATTTATAGAAAGAATGCTTGTTTGCCATTTAGACTTTATTATGTGCACTTTATTAAACTTCAGGTTATGCTATGACAAAATTCGGCACTATAGGTTAAAGATAATTTGGAGTAGTCTTTTTTTCTTGAAAGTGATCTAAAGCTTTGCGGTAAATTTATTCTTTACTCTTTTACTTCGTATTATAAACACAAGTGCAAAATATATCATTTATTGCAATTTGCACCTTTTTTAGAGTAAATTTTGCATTTGTATTAATTAGTTTAAAGTTTAATATAAAATGATAAGAGTAACAAGTAACTGTAGATGAAACTATATTTAATGTGAATTAAGGGCTAAAAAGTTATAATTTTGCAGGCTGAACATGTAAAGAAAGCTGATTTATTCACTGCTGTCAAACATTTAGCAGAAAGTGAGGTTGAATTGATAAAAGTAATTGAAAACTCTAGCAAGTCTCAAAGAACTGCTGAAAATATGCCTACAAATGCAAAAAAAATGAAGAAGCCTGGGAAGTCAGGAAATGTAATTATTATTCACGATTTTTACAATATTGTACTATTTTATATACAATATATTTTTTTGTCACATTATATTTAATTAATTTATTATTTTTGTCATATTATATTTAATTAATTTACATAAAAGTGTATGTATTTCTTTTGTTAATATTGCATCCTAATATTTTGTTATTTTTTATACTGCATATGATTTAAAATTATTAATATTTCTAAGTATATAATTAAGATTTATGTCTATAATTTTCTACTAATAATCCTACTGTTTTTGATAGGTCCGTCCATCAGCTGCATTATTGGCTGCCAAACGAGAGGCAGCGCAGCGACAGCTTTTGCTAGCAAAGAAGCCAAATAACAATTTCGTACGAGATATATACCAGAAAGCCATTGATGCATATGAGACAGTGCGCAAGGACACTGGCCTTGTATTTGATCAAAGTATGGCAGAGCATGAATGCTTTTGGGATCCAGATTATCCAGAATGTCCAGCAAGATTTACAAGAGTCTTACAAAGATGTGAAGAGTTAGGTTTGGTGCAACGGTGCAAACTCATCAAAGCAAGATTAGCAACAGAGAGTGAAATCTTGATGAAACATAATCAGAAACATATTGATATCCTGAAAGCTACAGATGGCTGTACAGATTCTGAGAACTTGGAACTATTGTCATCCAAGTATGATTGTGTCTATATTCATCCAGTATGTATAAAAATTTATAATTTAAATTTTAGTAATAAATTATATAATAAATAAGTTTCTATGTATTTTGTTCTAGCTTATAAATTCAATTTTTATTTTCAGTCCACATATAGATTGTCTTTACTGGCAACAGGCTCAACGATTAATCTGGTAGAAAGTATCTGTAAGGGCAAGATACAAAATGGTATGGCTATTATCAGGTAAGCTGGAAATATTTAAAGATTTTTACGATATGTATATATTTTTTATGTTTTGTTCTACCCCTTTATTGATATAATTACGTCAAAATTTTATGTATTTTTATTTTACTAAAAATCTTAAATATTTTATACAATTATATTAATTAAATATTTGGTTATATTTTGAATTAATAACACATACATTGATAATATTACATGTTGTAATATAATATTATGTTGAATATTACGAATGTTTTCAGACCACCAGGCCATCATGCGATGAAATCAGAGTATTGTGGTTACTGCTTCTTCAACAATGTAGCACTTGCAGCAGAAAAAGCTCTAGCTTCTAACTGGGCGAATAGAATTTTAATTGTCGATTGGGATGTTCATCATGGACAGGCAACACAACAAATGTTTTACAATGATCCGCGGTACATATCTTTTTTCATTTTTTTTTCAGATCTTTTGTCACGTTAAATTAACATTAAGTAATTCTTATAATAATGTATTGCAATTTTAAAAATGCTTTCAATCCTTTTACAGTGTAGTTTATTTTTCAATACATCGTTATGAATATGGTGAATTTTGGCCTAACTTAAGGGAATCGGACTTTCATAACGTCGGAGAAGACCTTGGAGAGGGTTACAACTTTAATATACCTCTAAATAAAACTGGAATGACTAATGCTGATTACATTGCAATTTTTCAACAAGTTTTATTGCCAATGGCTTATGAAGTATGTAATCTAATATTATTATTTAGTGTTAATGAAAAATTATGTATTACATTCTAATTTTTTTGTTAATATTTCTTTTAATTTTACAACTGATGTAATTTTATGTTTAATCATCGAAAGCTTTTAATGTTTATGGAAGTATTAAAACTATTATAGTTTCAACCGGATCTGGTAATAGTGTCAGCTGGTTACGACGCTGCTCTCGGCTGTCCAGAGGTAAATTTATGCATTTTTTTAATTATTCTTATCTTTTTCTTCCCAGTTTTGTCCAGACCTGGTTATTATTTCCGCTGGTTTTGATTCCGCAATTGGCGATGAAAAGGTTAAAATATTTTATTCTTTTTATTTGTACGCGTGTTTGTGTTAATTCTTACATATTTATGCTATTATGCTTGCTATATAATTGTACGTATTTTTTTATGAACAAGATAAAGTGTTGAAGAAAATGTTTATTATGATTACTCTAAGGTTACTTATCTCTTAATTTCCTTTTAATATTGATATAATATGAGATGTTATTTGCTGTTTATTATATATATTTTTTGATAAAATTATATATATTTTTTTATAAAATTAATAAAACATAATTATTGAGTTATATATAGTCAAGCAATCATTATATAATAATATAATACTATTATAATACTATTATAAGGAGAAATTAATTTATTGTACACTAATATAGGGTGAGATGCTAGTGACTCCTGCATGTTATTCACACTTACTTTCATCATTATTAAGTCTGGCAGTTGGAAAAGTCGCCGTCATCCTAGAGGTATGCAAAAAAAATATATTCTGTATTTTTTTTATCACTTTTCACTTTCTAAATTTTTTATCACTTTTGAAATGTACGTTTTTATCATTAATTATATGCATGATTAAAATATTTATTTTAGGGTGGTTATTGCTTGAAATCTTTAGCTGAAGGTGCAGCACTAACTTTAAGAACTTTACTGGGCGATCCATGTCCCATTTTACAAACACTTGATTTACCTTCATTGAGGTAAGTGATACTAGAATTTCACTTTGTTGTATTTAACTTTTACACAGTAATTTATATCTTTGTAAAATTTCGTTTTGTTTCAGTATACGTGACACTATTTTAAACGTAATTTACGCACATCGACAATATTGGAAGTGTTATCAATACCAAGATGCACACAGTATGAGTACTGTAACTTTCAACAAAGAGGAGATTGCTAATCAACATATAGTTATAGTTACATACAAGTAAGAACTATCATGTATGATTAATATAGTGAATTCTATAATCTATAATATAATCGATGAAGATAATTTAAAGAAATTAATGTTGTGCAGGGGAAGTCAGATTAAACCAGAAAAATATGAAACTCGAAATTGCTATCCTAAACAAAACAAAGAAATTTTCGAAGCTATGGATAAAAAACTGAACGAATTAATACAATGTGAGTTGTTTAGTCTGAAAAAAAATCAGGAAGAAAGATTTTAATATATGTTAATTTTAATATATATTCGTATTAATAAATTCGTATTAATAATAAATATTTTATATTATTAAGTGATTTCTCTTTACATTTTTTTAAAGAAATTTATTATTATTTAGACGTTATTATCAAACAGTGTAATTTATAAACATTCTTGTTGTATTAAAATCCAGCCTTTTTACAGTTACAAATTTACACAAAGCACCACATAAGATATGCATCGTTTATGATGAGAGAATGCAAAAGCATTGCAATATTTCTGATAATTCTCATCCAGAAAAGCCAACTCGTATCTCTAGCATCTATAAGAATCATGAAGAACATGGTTTGCTAGAACGATGCTATTTATTACATGTAAGATGATAATCATTTGATTTAATAAATTGCATGGATTTAATTTTTCATCTAATATTTAACATGAAATATATAAAAATAAAATATATTTTACAATTTCTTTTACAGGGAAGAAGTGCGACAATGGAAGAATTATCTCTAGTTCATTCAAAAGATTACATCGACAGTGTCAAGAGCACGATGTCATTAAAACTACAAGAATTGGATGAGAAAGCCGCCGACTATAGTTCCGTTTATCTTCATAACGAAACATGGTCAAATGCCTGTATATCTGCTGGGTCCCTTTTGCAAGTAGTGGACGCGGTTTTGAACGGGGAGTGTCAATCCGGAGTAGCTATCGTAAGGCCACCAGGACACCATGCTGAGGAAGATGCTGCATGTGGTTTCTGCATCTTTAACAACGTGGCTGTCGCTGCAACATATGCTGTACAATTTCATCATGTAAAGAAGTACGACATTGTGATTGTTTAGATCAATCGCACTTTAATTTATATATTTTTTATACAATTTCAAATTCTTTACATAATTTTATTTATAAATATACAGAGTACTGATAATCGATTGGGATGTTCATCATGGGAATGGAACTCAATCTATTTTCGAAGAAGATCCGAGAGTTCTCTATATATCTGTTCATCGTTACGATAACGGAAGTTTCTTTCCAAATTCCAAGTCTGCTAATTATACGAACGTCGGTTTGAATGCAGGCGAAGGTTTCAATGTAAATGTACCATGGAACAAGGTAAGTAAATTAGCTGTTACAAAATACATAATCGTGACTTGTGATGCCAAAAATAACACATACAGAACCTATTTGTTTCATAGATTAATAGTTTTACTTATAACATTGTTTTAATATTTTACAACTAAAATCATTGTTGTATTCTTTTTTCTTTATTACATTTGTAGAAAGGAATGGGAGATGCCGAATATATAGCAGCATTTCAACAAGCTGTAATGCCTATTGCTTATCAATTTAACCCAGAACTGGTTCTGGTCTCTGCTGGGTTCGATGCTTGTATAGGTGATCCTTTAGGAGGTAATGTACCTTGACATTAAATTAATTATCTCATATATAAGAGAAAGTATAAAAGAAAGAATTTATATATATTTTATATGTAATAATTTTATAATATACATATTTTTAGTGAAACTGTTGGACTTTTTGAAAAATCTTTAAACTGATACTTTCTTTCTCTCATCAGGTTGCCACACAAGTCCAGAACTCTATGGTCATTTAACTCACTGGCTCTCATCCTTGGCCAACGGTCGCGTAATTCTCAGCCTCGAAGGAGGCTATAATATCAACTCTATCTCTCATGCGATGACTATGTGTTCCAAAGCCCTCTTAGGCGATCCCTTGCCAATGCTGGAACCTAACCAGATACCCTGTACCAGCGCAATCAATTCCATTAACAACGTTTTAAAAACTCATAAGAAATTCTGGCCCAATTTGCAATATGGAATGTCCTTGCCGAAGGAAAAGCTCCTTCCTAAACTCAAAATGATTTCTAAGAGAGAATCCTCTAAGAGAGATAAGAGACTCGAAGAACGTGGGAAGAACGTGGAAAAACCGAAACAGACAGAATCAAAGATCGCCTTAGAGGGAATCGAGAGTGAAAAACTAGAACTGAGTCTGGCAATCGACAAGAATTGCCTGAATCTTGTGACGGACGAAGAAATTCTAAAGCTGAGAAACGAAGTGGAGAATATTAAAATTAAGAATTCTAAAATGGATATGATGAAAAGTGATTTTGAAGAAGCAAAAAGAAACATTGATTTAAACAAGAACGAAGCGAAAAATCTGGATGGTAATTATCATCAAACTCACCGTTAAATTAGTTTTTGTAAGAAGCAACACACACACACATACACACACACACACACACATTATATATATATATATATATATATATATATATATATATATTTATTATATATGTGTGAACATAATTGCTATAATGAATTAGAATAAGTTACTGAACATTTGATGTTCAGTTTCGCAGAGTATACAACAATGTATAAATGAAACGAACCAATCGAAAGACAACCAGCAAGGGAGTTCTGGCATACGTGACGACTATGATGACGAAGGAGGAGCAGCGATGCGACGTGAAACGCAGGCTACGAATCTTCTGGATTATCTTTCTGATCATCTTCAGGTGTGCAACTTTTACATATTTTATCGTGTAGGATATTTACTTGTTGTATAAATCGGTTCTTTTTTTAAACATATTAAATGTTGTGCATGTTTTAAGTAAAAAAAAAAAGAAAAATGATCACACTCACTATATAGGCTTTGACCGCGGGAGAAATGTTTGCGGTGGTACCTCTGCGAGACTGTCCACATCTGTTTGCGGTTAACGAGGTTCCTCCAAGTGGCATCAATGTAACTCTACCTTGTATGGAATGTACCAGCACCGCAGAAAATTGGATCTGCCTGCAATGTTACACTGTACACTGTGCTCGCAACGTTAATCAGCACGCTGTGCAGCACGCAGAAGAGTGTGAACACCCTATCGCGCTCAGTTTCAGCGATATCTCCGTTTGGTGTTACGGTTGTGAAGCATACATTGATAATCCCGTGAGTATGTCTGTAAAGAAAAGAAATTACAATTTGTTATTTCCTAAGTAAAAGTAATAAAAACAAACAATTTACTGTGTTCTTAGCGATTATATGCAGCAAGGAATGCAGCTCATCAAAGCAAATTTAACGAAGTACTTCCCTGGACTTACAGCGAAAGTAGCGCACACGCGTTGTAATTGATTTGAACGATAGAAGCATCTTCTTCAGATTTCGCAAGTAAAAATTTGAAAATGAAAATTATTTGATAAACAATCTAAACCTATAACATAGTAATCAGTTATATAAGATGTTATACTTGCTTTAATTTAATTAAACTCTAATTACAGTTTTTATTAAACAATTATTAATATATATTTTTATACTTTCTGGTAAAATAAATTATAAATTTGCAGGTGAAAATTAAATTCAGCAAATTTTAATCGCTAATTATTGATTAAAGAAAATAAGATTGTATTCTATAAAGATTCACTTATATTTTATGTAACAGCCAAATTAGTATAATTGTAAATAAAAATCACAAAATATAAATTCACAACATATGGAATAATAGATAAAATTTTAAGTGAAGATGCAATTATATAAAAGCAAGATTTTTATGGATACAAAAACGATGATTTCTTTTTCAAAATAAAACTCTGTTTAGAGTACCGAAACTGCTATAAATAATCAAATTACAAAAATGTTAATAATATACTAAAATAATTTATTATTTCTTCTAGAAAAATACTAGCTATATTATACACTAAAAATACCTCATAATGACTGACCTGTAGAAATATACAAAGTGTCTGGAAAGTTTAGGTTTCAGGAGTTCAGTAAAATAATTTTTAAAAATTATAAGAAAGATAATTTTATCTTTCCTTGTTTCCTTCATAAATAATTGAATTATTTACCTCACTAACTAATAATATTTTCTCTTCACTGAAATTCTTCCAGCACACTATTATATTTTTCTATGTAGGATAATAAATATAATAAAAAATATATATATATTGTTTTAACATAACATTATATTATCTTTTATTACTTTTAAAGTACTTTATAACAATCACAGCATTGCGCTTCTCCTAGTATACGAATTAATGGTCTATTTATACCTATGTAATTTAATTAATGAAAACTTATTCCTCCAAATTACTTTAAGAAAATTCACTCTTTTGAATTAATTGAGGAAAAAATAGATCCCACAGAGAGAGAGAGAGAAGAGAATATTATTATTTTAATAAATTATATTGATAAAGATTACTTCTAGTCGGAACTCTAAGTGAATAATCCTATAAAATATAAAAACAAGAAATATTTTATACTTGTATTATTATATTAATTAATTTCCCATAATTTACCAAATCCTTATTTTATTTAAAATTTGTTTCTAATATTTCCTTCATATGATATCCTGCTTGTCAATGTCATATGAATAACAAATGTATCAACAAATTACTAATTTAACACCTCATTAAGAGTTTAAATACATTTGATAATAATATCGCGATTGATCAATATACCAATTTTTAATTTTTGTTTAAAACAATATTTTAATCCCGATATTAATTTTACATCTGAGATATTTGACATTTTTAGTTTTGTTTTCTCATAACATATTATGATATTATGTGCTTATTACAATACTTATCGAAGTAGTTTTCGTAAAAAATTATGAAAACTGTGTCCCAATAAGTTTTGTAACAGTGCTTCTCTTTTTCTTAAACTAAATTGCACACTTGCCGTCATATTTTTTATAAATCTTATAACAAGCCAATGAATCGTTTCAAGCTCTTTCTCTTCGTATATTGACTAGTTCTTTATAAAATTATTATTATAAGAGAAATGCAGATATTTACAAATTTCACTATTAGCTATTTTTCTCCTACTTTTTTATTTTACCACGTCTATTTTGCTTCGAGGGGTATTCGATCTTTAGCAACAACAATTTAAATTGTCCAACGTACTCATAAATATCTTTCGCGACCTCTACACAATTGCTAGAAATGCTATCAGTCTGCAGAAATGAATTAAACTGCAAACTAAATAAGTTCTGTAGGCTCTCGAGCGAATGCAACGACGGCATTCTCTCCACGGAGACATGAGGATAAAAAGTCTTGACTATGCGAAAATCAAATAGATGCGATCTGTTGTGCGATAATTCCGTGAACTCGGTTAACGCGGAAGCCGGTAACGCATAGTATAACCTGTAGGGGATTTTCTTGATAGTAAATGTTCTCTCGCAGTCACGAATTTTCTTGGCGATGTCGTCCAACACTTGCGGTAACGGCTTGGAGCCTTGCTCGTATAGATAAAAGTCCTGGACAAGCTTGTATTTGCGTTTGTTGACGCTGTCATGATAGACGCGATGAGTGTTGCGCAAATGCAACAACGCTGTGGGCATTGGGTAGCTGTACGACGTGTATAGATGCAGATGCACCAAGTCTGGCTTAGCCTTCAACTCAGCCGCGACATGAGACGTCAAAGGGACGATGCCGCCCTGATGCGCGAAACCGTAGAACAGTGTCAACCAAAAATTGCTGATATACCAGAACATCAACTTTCTGGATTTGCTAGCATGCCTCTTCGACGAGGTGGGATTGCGAGGCTTGCTGTTGTTAGCATTCTCATCGTTGTTAAATCTTGAAACAATGTCCTGATTGGGAACTTGACTCAGTTCGGGTGCGTAGAGAAACACCAGCGGGAAAAGCACTGGGATTATGAAACGAGGCTCTTGATGGGGAAAGAGAGACAGTATAGTGATCGGAGTAATTAATGTGCACATCATCAGGCCTACGATACTTTGCAAACGTGGCAGTTGCAGCCAATGTGCCCTCATTACACTGAAAAAAAAAATTCTTTTGTTAAATGTACTTATACAAAGAATATAATTTTATTAAATAATTAAATTTACTTAGTTTAACTCAAATTTAAGAAAACTATTTTAATTTTTTACTTCAGATTTTTTTCATAAAAAACTGACCTCTGGAATATTTTCATCTTCAATTTCTGAATCTGTAATTAATTTAAAACGATTTGGTTTCTTTTATAGATTATGTGACTCACCTGTATACCATTTTTGCAACTCTTAACAGTGCAATAACTCCTAGGATACTGAATAATAATGTAACGTTCACCAGAATATGCAAGTACCAAGGATGTAGACCATGTGTCGCAAGATTCTTCGTTTCCATGTTATATCTCAAGAAATTAAATGGCGTCACCACGAAATTATTAATTCCAATCTCCAATTTAAGTATCTCTCCTAATGTTAAGTATGCGAAATAGGAGCTATCGACTAGAATGAAGAACAATACGGTCGGCAGTCCGCAGCAAATGAGACAGAATATCCTGATGTGAAAGTCTATGAAGCTGACGCTTCTTGAACCTAAACCTCTTTGCAGCCAGAAAAAAATAGGTATAACAGCAAATGCAATAAAGGTCGGTCTATTAAATATCCCTATTATCGTTATCGTCGCCACTATGAAACAATGCTTAAGCGAATGTGAGGGTAGCAAAGCCATAAGCTTGTAATATTTGAGTCGCTCCACTCCAGGCTTCGCCTCGCTGTGTTTCTTAGAAATGTAATTACTGTAGAATACCACCTGGAATAACAAACAATTGATAAGCAAGAGTTTTTGAAGTATTCTTTCTTTAGGTGGAATTAAACACACCTCTTCTGAAATCGCTATACATTGGGAAGTGAAGTACAGCAGAGCAGCAGACATCACAATTTCAACAGAGTTGGAGAGAGTGCGAGTTGCATATGTCAGCATAATGTAAGAGCTGGCATAAGTGATGAGTCTCACTCTGTAGTTCTGCCCATAAATGCAGCAGATTTTGTACAGAAAGTAATCCGATAGAAATGAGAGCATGCACATGAAGATACGTGGGAAAAGTACATAGAAGTACGGGGTCCTCAGTGATAAACCAAAGAAATAAAATAAGTAAGGGGACAGTCTCGTGAGGAATGCATAGGGTAGACCAACGATGATCTGTGGAATGAGTGGAGTACGGATTGGAAATGTGGCATTAAACTCCCAGGGCTTGTAGACATCAATATCAAAGTGGTTCCCTGCAATAAAAAACAGCAACATTTTAGAAAAGAGAAACAGCAGAAAGAATCAATGATCATACCAGAGATAACTTCAATGGATTGAAAGAATTCATCAGGATGAATATAGCCAGTCTGTGGAACAAAAGTAAGCACTATCCTCAGTATAGCCAAAATCCAATAGAGGCCAATCTTACGCTTTACAGGTGTCACGGGTAGATAGTCTTCGATGGACTTGCGATACTCAGTCTTGTGCTATCAATAAATAAAAAATTAAAATGAAGGTATAAAAGTATAGAACATATATATGAGAAGAAATCATTTATTATTTGATTCTGTGATAGATTATATGTTTATTTAGTTATACTAGTTTAAGAATTTTATTATATTTTTTGGATATCCTTTAATTATACTTAGATCACTCGTTTAAACAACTTATTTAATTATTTAACTTATTGAATTAGCAAGATTTAAAGTAAGGAATATACATAAGTGTATATGTAAAGTGTGTATATGTACTTAATATACACGCAACACGTCTTATATACAAATTATATAAGATATTAATGTTTAAAAAATATAGATAGAAATTACCTCCAACATGTTCCTCGCAAAATTAATTTTTATAACAACTTCAATGATGCCTTTCTTCGTTCTTTTCTTTTTTATGTTAATGCAATGATTGAACAATAGAGATATATATTTATTAGATACAAATTTAAATTGTAATGTTTTTTTACGAAACGTTACTTATATTGGCTCAAGCGGGGGATTGTATAATTAAAAACGATAACTTTCTTTTCTTTTTCTTATGAATTGATCCAGAGCATACGATAACCTCAATGACAGCATAATGGAGGATTCATACTACTAGAATTTCTAGCTAGCAACATTTTTGTCTCCAGAAAACCAATTCTGCTATTGGATATCGGATGTTATAGGCAAAGGGTGCTTTCCAGTTGCGTACAATGTGTTACACAAAACCAGTTTATTGGTTGCATATTATATTACAAGATGTTTTAGGGTGCTTTCCAATTGCTTAACACATCTTGACCACACGTACACAAAACCAGTTTATTGATCACATATTATCTAAAACATCTTGTAAGATAATATGCAACCAATAAACTTGTTTTGTGTAACACAGTGTACGCAACTGGAAAGCATCCTTAGATAATATGTGACTAATAAACTGGTTTTGTGTACGTGTGTGTCAAGATGTGTTAAACAATTGAAAAGCACCCAATGTGAATCCTCCATAATGACTGATTGCAATGACGTAATATGTAGACCGGTATTCATAGGCTGTGTTCCGAAATTCACTGCCAGTACTGAAATTCTATAATAAATTCACTGCCAGTACTGAAATTCTATTATATACGTAACATAAACTATAGATATTCTGGCAGTGCATTTCGGAACGCAGCCATAGTCAGATCTTGGCTGCGTTCCGAAATTCACTGCCAGTACTAAAATCCTATAATATATGTAACATGAACTATAGATTTTCAGTACTGGCAGTGCATTTCGGAACGCAGCCATAGTCAGATCTTGGCTGCGTTCCGAAATTCACTGCCAGTACTAAAATCCTATAATATATGTAACATGAACTATAGATTTTCAGTACTGGCAGTGCATTTCGGAACGCAGCCATAGTCAGATCTTGGCTGCGTTCCGAAATTCACTGCCAGTACTAAAATCCTATAATATATGTAACATGAACTATAGATTTTCAGTACTGGCAGTGCATTTCGGAACGCAGCCATAGTCAGATCTTGGCTGCGTTCCGAAATTCACTGCCAGTACTAAAATCCTATAATATATGTAACATGAACTATAGATTTTCAGTACTGGCAGTGCATTTCGGAACGCAGCCATAGTCAGATCTTGGCTGCGTTCCGAAATTCACTGCCAGTACTAAAATCCTATAATATATGTAACATGAACTATAGATTTTCAGTACTGGCAGTGCATTTCGGAACGCAGCCTATATTTAAGATCATCTTAAGTATTAAATATTAAATATAGGCCGGTATTCATAGTCGAATCTTATTTCAAGACCGTCTTAAGTAATGTCTTAAGATGCAAATACGGCTCTGTGATTGGTTCATGACATTTTAAGACAGTACTTAAGATGATCTTAAATATAAAGATCGGACTATGAATACCGACCATAATTCATATCTTATATTTAAGTCATCTTAAGTACTATCTTAAGATGTCATAAACCAATCTAAAGCCGGTATTCATAGTCAGATCTTATATTTAAAACCGTCTTAAGTTTATCTTCAGATAATGAACGGATTATTTCATTGGTTACGGAGTATCTGAAGATGAACTTAAGACAGTCTTAAAAATAAGACCCGACTATGAATACCGGCCATAGAGCCGTATTCGCATCTTTAGGGCTATCGCACACAAATTGACATAACTGCATATGCATAGCATAAGATCGTATGGACCAATGAGCATCGAGTATTAAGTCGCCATATTGGTGTTCGATGCTTAATATTCGATGCTCATTGGTCCATACGATCTTATGCTATGCATATGCAGTTATGTCAATTTGTGTGCGATAGCCCTAAGACATTACTTAAGACGGTCTTGAAATAAGATTCGACTATGAATACCGGCCATAGATCAAGCATTCTATCTGCAAAGTAAAGCCGGAAGTTAATAGTTTAAAACAGAGTGAGAAAGTTGATTTGTCCCTAATGCTTTCTCACTCTATACTATTGACTATCAAGAAGTAAGACTCATTTAATACTGCAAATACTCGACATGGGCTTGGTTTACATCGTTCTGTGTGCAGGAGCCATTAGTATACACCGGTTGCTTTTCAACAAGAGACACAAGTCGACACAAGTCGACACAAGTATCATCCTATCTTTGTTACTCACTAATAGCATGTTCGACTGGCTCTGGGTTAACCCACTCTGGGTTATTCAGCCTACGTTTATTGGTCGAACAAATACTTATAAACTTTATGATTGGCTAGAGCTTATGACGTCATTAATCGCTCTCGGAGCGATTAACCCAGGGCCAATCAAACATGCTATAAATGTGGAATAAAGATAGAATGATATTTGTGTCAACTTGTGTCTCTTGTTGGAAAGCAACTACTGCTTGCACTAGTGCTGCTAGTGTAGAGGAAAAAACAGACTTTTGAACGCAGTCATTATAACAGTTTCTAGTAAAAAATACTAAGGCTGAATTCCCACTGAGCGCGTCGCGTCGTCTGCCTGCGTCACGAGTTAACCAATCAAATCGTTCCATTGCGTCGTGCGTCGCGTGCGCGTCATCCCAATTAGAAGATTTGATTGGTTAACTTGTGACGCAGGCAGACGACGCGATGCGTGACGCGCTTAGTGGAACTCAGCTTTACACAAAGCTATTTTATTGGCTATCTATTATCTCAGAAAATAAGATATCGTGTGTATCTTAGATAAAATATTTCAGATAATGTGTAGCCAATAAAATGACTTTATATTCCTTGCTGGAAAATATTTATGTCTCTCTTTACTAATCTTATGCCTATATTTATAGTCAGGCCTTATATTTAAGAAATACGAGCATTAAGAAATTGAAATTTATAGCGTCTTTTCTCATACAATCTATAACAGCGATTGGCAATTCTGCTCGCTATTGATTCGGGACACGTCACATGATGGACGCTGCAGTCAGGGGGTAATAACTCCCGTCTGGTAAGTGGCACTACCTACACCTACCGCCCTCTGAGATTGTCTCCGGAAGTGACCGAACTAAACGGGTGACGTCACGCGGAGTGGGGATGCGCGCCAATGGAAGTATGAATGGCACGCACAGCAGCATTATAGAGAGCAATAGCAAACAACTTATGCACGTATGGCACGTATACAGTTGTGTATGAGTGATATGTGTGGATGTGTGTGTATGTGTTGTATGCTATTGTATAGGTATTGTAGTTGCTACTTCTACGATTTAGCTAATTGTTTTAGTACTATTACTACACTATTACTACTCTACAATGATTAGTAATAAGATAATATATATATTTATTGCTTTATATTAGTGCTCGCTGTTGCCCGCTATTGCTCGCTGTTGCTCGCAGTTGCTCGTTATTGCTCGTTAAAACGTTTCAAGAACGTCTGCCTATGCATGCCAGTTCATATTCATTGACGCGTATCCCCACTTCGCATGACGTCACCCGTTTAGTTCGCCCACATCCGGAGACAATTTCAGAGGACGCCACTAAAAACGGAATCCAATTTTTACAAGAGCGAGTTTGTATCCCCTGGCTGCAGTTCGCGTACAACCCGCCCGCGAATTGTTTACAGTGTTCGTAATGTTTTTGTTGGGTTTTCTTAAATCACATTCGGTTCTTGTGTAAGCTTAGAAACGTGTGAATCGTGCCGTGCTGTGCGAAAGATCGCGTCGGGCAATTCCCGAGGGTACTTTTGGTGTGAAGTGTGTCAGTGAAAGGACGAAGGGTGTCACGTAAGTGTGTGCCGAGCCCTCGGGAGGACTCGTCAGAAAATCGCAAGGACTTTCATGGGAAAAGAGAGAGAGAGAGAGCGCCAGAAATAAAGAAAAAATATAAATAGCAACGAAAAATATTATTCAATATTTTGTGGCTATTGCTTCTCGACGAACTTCTCTAGTTAACCGAAAAAACGCGACAAAAAAGAAAATAATAAAAAGGCAAAGCCAGTTATAACAAAATCCATCGACGAACTGTTAGCATGTTTAGGGAAACGAAAGAGAAACATGGTCCCGGTGTAAAGGGAACAAGTCTATCGGTTGTAACTGACCTCTGCTCTCGCAGAAGAAGTGCGTAGAGGTTAAGTAACAAGGACCCGTGACGCGGTCTACAGTCCAAAAAGCTTCTCCGTGCTTTCAGAGACTTCGTATGTGTTACTATCGCCAAATAATCTCTCGTGGACTGATTTCGTAAAGCCTGTTAAGTTCGTTATCCTGGCGAAACCGTTGGTTGCGCTGGGTTTAGCCCAGCGCTCGAGCCGTCACGCAATGTGTCCCTCCTGTTGATTTGTGTTAGATGTAAGAGAGCAAAAAAAAATGAGAGAGAGAAGCAGCTCCGAGAGCTGAAAGCCAAGGCGCCAGGGCGCGTCACGTAGGGGCTTTAATTGAAAGTTCTCGGGACAGTCATGGACCTTACGCTCGACTCGGAATCCCCGAACTATCCTTGCCATAAACTATCTAGTCCCTTGCTACCGCGCTGTTATCGTGTAAAATGTACGAGAAATGCTATGACACGTCGTGCCTCCGGGTGCAGTATTCCTGCGCGGCCGCAGGCGGCGCGGGTAATAACTGCCATTCTCTGTTTTCTTTGCGTTACAGGCAAACGCCTGATCTGCACGAGACGAGCGGTCCAGACGACTGATAATGGGCAGCAACACCGACGGGGACAATGCAAACGTCAGCGGTGGCGAAAACGACATCGGCGACGAACTGAAAATCGGCGCGGACGAGACGTACGACACGCGCAGCGAGGTCTCTTCGAGCAGCTCCAACTCGGACTCCTCTCATCCCACCATCAGCACGGTCTCGAGTACGTCCTCGCGGGGCGACAACAAGCGCAGCAAGAGAAGCAGGGGCAAGAGAGCGAGATCCAGAGACACGAAGTCGTCTAGTCCAGAGCCAAAACGAGCAAGATCCAAGGAGAGCAAAGGCACAACCAAGAGTTACGATTACACCACCAAGTTGAATTACTTGTTTAGAGATGCAAGGTTTGATGTGAATAGTGAATATTTCATTTTACCGTACACAAGATGTCCAATGAATCATAGTGGAAGCAGCGATGAGATTATATTTTGTGATAAACACTTTGTGATAAAATTGCGAAATATTTATATCTATCAAAAATCTAAAATTTTTCAATCTGAAAATATTGCTATTCTTTGTCAGGTACTAATTTCATTATAAAACTCTAATTTTTATAAAACATTGATTATGTTTGTTTTATTGTTGTTTCACGTGATTACTATATACAAGTAGCAATTACATCCCTTTTGTATTGATAATAAAATCTTGTATAAATATTAAATTCAATTGTATTCAGTTTCATCGCTGTATATTGATGTATGTAACATGTATGTTTGAGTAAACAAAGATTGCTTATATTTAGTAATAATTATAAAATTACGATATTATCTATATTTCATGTGATATAAACATGTGAATTATAAACATAGCCATCTATTTAATGGTCGTTTAGATTCGGAGTAAAAATATTCTCAGTCTCCCTGTATACTAGATTTTTTATCATCAAGTCCAACAACGCGGAGAATGTAACATTGTCGAAGGCCAAGGGTGTATGGAGTACATTGCCTCAGAATGAAGCAAATCTGAACCAAGCCTACAGGGAATCACGAAATGTTTTGCTGATATTTTCTGTGAAGGAATCGGGGAAGTTTGCCGGCTTCGCGAGACTTAGCACAGAGTCGAGAAGAGACGGTGCCCCGATCTCTTGGGTATGTGCACAATACATATCTTTAGATTTAAAGGAATTCTATCAAATCATTTCATTAATTCTATTATCCTATTATTTCCGCTAACTATTAGAATTCTACTGATTGTCCTGATCTATTTATTCTTCATTTTCTGGGAAAATAAACAAAAACTTTGTTATTATCAATATTTTAAATGAATTTCTATGTTACTAATATTATAAAAGTAAGGACTATGCGAGCTGTAACTCAGACATAGGTGCGTAATACTGTGTATTTCTTACACAATATTTTGAATTGTATAAAAGAAGAGGTAGTACGATTGAATGTCTTTCAGGTTTTGCCTCCCGGCTTATCTGCAAAGGCCCTAGGCGGTGTGTTTAAAGTTGACTGGATCTGCAGGAAAGAATTACCATTTACAGCCACGTTGCATTTGTACAATCCTTGGAATGATGGTAAGCAAGTCAAGATCGGTCGCGATGGCCAAGAAATCGAACCCAGAGTCGCCGAGGAATTGTGCAGATTATTTCCGGAAGATGAAGGTAATCGGATTATTTCAGATAAGATTCTAGGATTAAAAACCTATGAGTTCGGTGTGAAATTTAATTGTTTGAAAATTTAATTGTCTAAAATGAGGTCTTTAGAAAATTTTGTAATACACCTCATTTTCTCAGATCCTTATTTTAATTCTTATTTTCGAACAATCAACTAGTAAAATAACAGACAAGGTAGGTAAACATCGACAACATGGGTCGGAAAAATTTTACAGGAATCGAAATGACGCCTATTCTGCGAAAATCCAAGGAAGCGAGCAAACACGTGACAAAGTCGTCGCGTTATCGTGATAACAAACCTATAAGATTTTTTCGAAGAGGCGGTGGCAGAAGCCGCCGATTATTTTTAACTTCGAGGTCACGTTTAGCTTCACTGGCTAGAAGTTCCCATGGAATAGCAGGGGATCACAGAAGTTCTAGGGATCATCCTCATCGGTACACGCCATGGTTTAGTCGAGGAGATTCCCCTTACACGAAGTACGATTTTAATCTAATAAGTATATAGAAAATATATTAGATCAATCACACATTCTTCAACTGGTAATTTATAATAAATTTTTTACAATTACAATTTGTAATAATTTTTTAGAAGTTATGGAACAGAAAATATATTGCAAATATATTCTTTAATTATCGATTTCTTTAGGTAATGTCAATTTGTAATAAACTTTCTAGAGGCTATGGAACTGGTCTTGGTGTTGCTGCGGTTGCGGAAGCTTATGTAGCAGATTACATGCGTACCATGCAACATCAGTTGCCTCCATTGCCTCCTTATGGTGCTCCACACCCATATGATACTTTGCCACCACCTCCCCCACCTCCAAGGTATGAAATTACTTATTGAAATTATTTATTGATTATTTTTGTATATGTTTTCTGGATATTTCACCACGAGGCAACTGCATTACGTACTTCAAATGAAATAAATTTACTTAGCTGTGAAATAGAAAAGGACTTGAAAGAAAAAATTACCAATTTATATGAAAGTTTTCTTCTTATATGTAATTTAATATGATATATTAAACATAAATAAGATATAGTTGTAATTAAATATATTTGATATTGAATTATACGAAAATTTCTATCAAATTAAAATATTTCTTTTCCAGATACTACGATGGCTTGCCACTGCCTCCGGATTATAGTACGACTACATCAGCATTAGATAAGCGCTACGAAAGGAGCGTCGACGAATTTCTGTGGAGAACAGCTAGCCGCCATAGTCGGCACAGTGATCATCGTTCATCACGCGACTATCATCACAGATACAGAGATCGCAGATAAAAATTTAATCTATGTTTTTTATTGACTCGCCGATTCCCAGATTGCGTCTTGTATCAATATTAAATCGACGATAAATTAGTTTATTGTTCATCATATGAGAGGTAGTTTAACAAATAAATAACACTTTTAAAAATTGATCATTAAAGTAGGGAAACCACTTAAAATAAAAAATATTTATTATTTTGTGCTATTATCTTTCTTATCATGACTATAAGTTACATATTAGTATGAATCAAATTAAAATTGTAAATTAAATAACAGAATTGTAAATTAAATAAATAAAATAATGTAAAATACAAAAACATAAAGAAATTTTTGTTGAAATATGATTAAATTAACATTTTTTTCGACGAATTAGTTCGACGATTAATTTATAACAAATTAAATATTCTTAATCGAATATCTCATATATTTATGAGAACTAAATAAACAATTATTATAATTAAAAATATAATTTTTATTTAAACTAAATTATATATATATATGTACATATATATATATATATATATATATATATA